CATGTTGCCCTTGGCTGGTCAGGCCATGCGGGCTCACATCCTCGCCGCTGCACACCCCTCGTGTTGCCCTTGGCTGGTCAGGCCATGCGGGCTCAAATCGTCGTCTCGCACACCCCTCGTGTCACCCTTGGCTTGCCAGGCCATGCGGGCTCACATCGTCGCAGCTTGCACGCTCCTCGCGTTACCCTTGGCTTGCCAGGCCATGCGGGCTCAAATCGTCGTCTCGCACACCCCTCGTGTTGCCCTTGGCTGGTCAGGCCATGCGGGCTCAAATCGTCGTCTCGCACACCCCTCGTGTTGCCCTGGGCTGGTCAGGCCATGCGGGCTCAAATCGTCGTCTCGCACACCCCTCGTGTTACCCTTGGCTTGCCAGGCCATGCGGGCTCAAATCGTCGTCTCGCACACCCCTCGTGTCACCCTTGGCTTGCCAGGCCATGCAGGCTCACATCGTCGCAGCTTGCACACCCCTCTGGTTGCTCTTGGCTGGTCAGGCCATGCGGGCTCACATCGTCGCAGCTTGCACACCCCTCTGGTTGCTCTTGGCTGGTCAGGCCATGCAGGCTCACATCGTCGCAGCTTGCACGCTCCTCGCGTTACCCTTTGCTGGTCAGGCCATGCGGACTCACATCGTCGCGTTTCTCACACACCTCATGTTGCCCTTGGCTGGTCAGGCCATGCGGGCTCACATCGTCGCAGCTCTCACACCCCTCGGTTTGCCCTTGGCTGGTCAGGCCATGCGGGCTCACATCGTCGCAGCTTGCACACCCCTCTGGTTGCTCTTGGCTGGTCAGGCCATGCAGGCTCACATCGTCGCAGCTTGCACACCCCTCTGGTTGCCCTTGGCTGCTCAGGCCATGCGGGCTCACATTGTCGCAGCTTGCACGCTCCTCGCGTTACCCTTAGCTGGTCAGGCCATGCGGACTCACATCGTCGCGTTTCTCACACCCCTCATGTTGCCCTTGGCTGGTCAGGCCATGCGGGCTCACATCCTCGCCGCTGCACACCCCTCGTGTTGCCCTTGGCTGGTCAGGCCATGCGGGCTCACATCGTCGCAGCTTGCACTGCCCCCGTGTTGCTCTTGGCTTGCCAGGCCATGCGGGCTTACATTGTCGCAGCTTGCACGCTCCTCGCGTTACCCTTGGCTTGCCAGGCCATGCGGGCTCACATCGTTGCAGCTCTCACACCCCTCGCGTTACCCTTGGCTTGCCAGGCCATGCGGGCTCAAATCGCCGTCTCGCACACGCCTTGTGTTGCCCTTGGCTTGCCAGGCCATGCGGGCTCACATTGTCGCAGCTCTCACAGCCCTCGGTTTGCCCTTGGCTGGTCAGGCCATGCGGGTTCACATCGTCGCAGCTCTCACACCCCTCGGTTTGCCCTTGGCTTGCCAGGCCATGCGGGCTCACATTGTCGCAGCTTGCACGCTCCTCGCGTTACCCTTAGCTGGTCAGGCCATGCGGACTCACATCGTCGCGTTTCTCGCACCCCTCATGTTGCCCTTGGCTGGTCAGGCCATGCGGGCTCACATCCTCGCCGCTGCACACCCCTCGTGTTGCCCTTGGCTGGTCAGGCCATGCGGGCTCAAATCGTCGTCTCGCACACCCATCGCGTCACCCTTGGCTTGCCAGGCCATGCGGGCTCACATCGTCGCAGCTTGCACGCTCCTCGCGTTACCCTTGGCTTGCCAGGCCATGCGGGCTCAAATCGTCGTCTCGCACACCCCTCGGGTTGCTCTTGGCTGGTCAGGCCATGCGGGCTCACATCGTCGCAGCTTGCACGCTCCTCGCGTTACCCTTGGCTTGCCAGGCCATGCGGGCTCAAATCGTCGTCTCGCACACCCCTCGTGTTGCCCTGGGCTGGTCAGGCCATGCGGGCTCAAATCGTCGTCTCGCACACCCCTCGTGTTACCCTTGGCTTGCCAGGCCATGCGGGCTCAAATCGTCGTCTCGCACACCCCTCGTGTCACCCTTGGCTTGCCAGGCCATGCAGGCTCACATCGTCGCAGCTTGCACACCCCTCTGGTTGCTCTTGGCTGGTCAGGCCATGCGGGCTCACATCGTCGCAGCTTGCACACCCCTCTGGTTGCTCTTGGCTGGTCAGGCCATGCAGGCTCACATCGTCGCAGCTTGCACGCTCCTCGCGTTACCCTTAGCTGGTCAGGCCATGCGGACTCACATCGTCGCGTTTCTCACACACCTCATGTTGCCCTTGGCTGGTCAGGCCATGCGGGCTCACATCGTCGCAGCTCTCACACCCCTCGGTTTGCCCTTGGCTGGTCAGGCCATGCGGGCTCACATCGTCGCAGCTTGCACACCCCTCTGGTTGCTCTTGGCTGGTCAGGCCATGCAGGCTCACATCGTCGCAGCTTGCACACCCCTCTGGTTGCCCTTGGCTGGTCAGGCCATGCGGGCTCACATCGTCGCAGCTCTCACAGCCCTCGGTTTGCCCTTGGCTTGCCAGGCCATGCGGGCTCACATTGTCGCAGCTTGCACGCTCCTCGCGTTACCCTTAGCTGGTCAGGCCATGCGGACTCACATCGTCGCGTTTCTCACACCCCTCATGTTGCCCTTGGCTGGTCAGGCCATGCGGACTCACATCGTCGCGTTTCTCACACCCCTCATGTTGCCCTTGGCTGGTCAGGCCATGCGGGCTCACATCCTCGCCGCTGCACACCCCTCGTGTTGCCCTTGGCTGGTCAGGCCATGCGGGCTCACATCGTCGCAGCTTGCACTGCCCCCGTGTTGCTCTTGGCTTGCCAGGCCATGCGGGCTTACATTGTCGCAGCTTGCACGCTCCTCGCGTTACCCTTGGCTTGCCAGGCCATGCGGGCTCACATCGTTGCAGCTCTCACACCCCTCGCGTTACCCTTGGCTTGCCAGGCCATGCGGGCTCAAATCGCCGTCTCGCACACGCCTTGTGTTGCCCTTGGCTGCTCAGGCCATGCGGGCTCACATTGTCGCAGCTCTCACAGCCCTCGGTTTGCTCTTGGCTTGCCAGGCCATGCGGGCTCACATTGTCGCAGCTCTCACAGCCCTCGGTTTGCCCTTGGCTTGCCAGGCCATGCGGGCTCACATTGTCGCAGCTTGCACGCTCCTCGCGTTACCCTTAGCTGGTCAGGCCATGCGGACTCACATCGTCGCGTTTCTCACACCCCTCGTGTTGCCCTTGGCTGCTCAGGCCATGCGGGCTCACATTGTCGCAGCTCTCACAGCCCTCGGTTTGCCCTTGGCTTGCCAGGCCATGCGGGCTCACATTGTCGCAGCTCTCACAGCCCTCGGTTTGCTCTTGGCTTGCCAGGCCATGCGGGCTCACATTGTCGCAGCTCTCACAGCCCTCGGTTTGCCCTTGGCTGGTCAGGCCATGCAGGCTCAAATCATCGTCTCGCACACCCCTCGTGTTGCCCTTGGCTGGTCAGGCCATGCGGGCTCACATTGTCGCAGCTCTCACAGCCCTCGGTTTGCCCTTGGCTGGTCAGGCCATGCGGGCTCACATCGTCGCAGCTCTCACACCCCTCGCGTTACCCTTGGCTTGCCAGGCCATGCGGGCTCAAATCGCCGTCTCGCACACGCCTTGTGTTGCCCTTGGCTGCTCAGGCCATGCGGGCTCACATCGTCGCAGCTTGCACTCCCCTCGGGTTGCCCTTGGCTGGTCAGGCCATGCGGGCTCACATCGTTGCAGCTTGCACGCCCCTCGCGTTACCCTTGGCTGGTCAGGCCATGCGGACTCACATCGTCGCAGCTTGCACACTCCTCGTGTTGCCCTTGGCTGGTCAGGCCATGCGGGCTCACGCTTACCCATTGGCACACCCTCCTTTGGGATGCTTTTGGAGAGTCAGGCCATGTGGGCTCATGATTCACGCATGTCCCCGTAATCCACTTTGCACATCCTCCTTTACGCGAGTCGGGGGCTGACAAGGCCATGCAGTCTCAATTGCCATACGTCTCCCCGCAATCTGCTAGGCTGTTCTGGCCATGTCCACTTGTCGTCGCAATAATTCCATCGGCTGATGGAACATCCTACTCGTGGTCGCTTTGCGCTGTCAAGGCCTTGATGTCAGTCTTGGTCATTGTCGGTCTCAATCTGGGTCTTGGACTTCGGCTTGGTCAAAGCCTTGAACACATTCTTAAGCTGATGCCATGGTCAGGTAGCCATGAAACGCTGCTTTGCAAGCTAAGCGCCCTGAGACCTGCATTGCATGGGAAGGCAACCAGGTTATATAGTAGCAAGGCATCGCTATTGGCTGCACATAGTGGCGCCGAAGATTATTTAGGAAAAATGGAACGGCAATGCATCGGCACGAAAACCGCGCTGCGGTAACAACGATAGGTCTATTTGTTGACCAATACTCACCCGTTAATTTATCCTCAAATATAGGTGGAAAACGGTGTTATTGAAGATGGAGGATCGGTTTTTCCATGAAACCACCTGCGGCGCGTAAGCAGGAGCTTCGTAAGTATCCACACGTTGTAACATAACGCATCAAGACCTGCCAAGTATTTACCTTGGAGGCATGCTCGCAGGCAGCCACCACATCCTGGCCATGCCGGAATTGTTTTTCGCCATAGTTGTCTATTTATAATGTACAGGCTGTGTACCTAAAATTGCTAGATGTTGCGAACTTGTAAGTCATCAGAAGTGTGCGGCCTTGGGATACACGCGAATGGCCATCGGTGTTGTACGAATACCGTAGGCAGGAAGTAGCGTGCATCGTGCAAGGAAAGAAACACGAAGCAAAGTCACCACAGGTATTAAGTAGTTACGCCAGGGCTTTCAGCGGCTGCACCTTCGCCAAGTGTTGCTAACTGTTGAAACCTTAACTGAAGGCCCACTTAAGCAGGGAGCAAATCTCCTTCCTTACTTTACAGTCTAAGTTCTTGGCTCAGAAACGAGCCTTATGCACAGTTGCTTGACATCAGGCGGACGGGCAGATAGGGATTGTACTATTTGTTGGTTACTAACATAACACCCGAAAAGGCCCAAAGTAACCACTTGGCTCCTAAATAATTACCCAGCCTAAAAGGTTTAAGAAACACTGGATGGTAGTAATGTCGCGAACAGCCAAACTAGAAATTGGCGTCCCAAGAACACCTCCGCTGTGAACAGTTACACAAATGAATATGTGTCTACGTTTGCAGCAGAATTGGCCCGAAGCCGCAACCATTACGGTAGCAATGTCTATACGACGGAAAATGGGCGTTCTTACATTACCAGTGTCGCTGTCAAAGCGACAAGTCGGTCAGCTTCAACTGGATAAATGGTTGTCAGCTCGTCGTTTCATACATAGCCAACTGTTTGGGTGTCGTCGCAGTCGGAATCCTGCCGTACTGCAAAAGCGTACATCCCAACACGCGCAAGCGTTGTAAGCACCACCCATGCTGTGCCCCCTGCCTCCATCAAGTCAGCACAAGCCCCCAAGGTGCGTCTACGACCGGAACCCCCCACACGAGTTGCCGCAAGATATTGCAATTCCAGTGCGTAGCACATACACGCAACAAGCCAACATGTCTCTCTTGTGTTTTCTCCACGTGACATACCGCTACTTCGAGCAAGCGGACAGGAAGGCACCATGGGTGGCTGCTGCAGCACTCAGCCCTGTAGCGTAGGTTGCTTGTTCCCGAGCCTTTCTGTCGAAACCCTCCGCCGCTCCCCTCTCCTGCCGCAGTCCTCCCTCCCCCTCGCCGCACCCCCCCTCCGCTGCCTCACTGCAGGAGCTCCAGCACCCGGGGGTGTGCTTGCACCTACAGGAGGGGTGGGGGCAGAAGGGACGCGCAGCTCTCGAGTGCATTACCGCCGTACCAGCATCATTCGCTGCCGTAATCCCCATACCACACTTCATACCCTCTCATAAGGATTATACTTCGGACCCCCTGTCCTGTCCTGTACGCCAACTACAACCGTACTACAACCGGCCCGCCGTGTACGGCACACCCACCTCGTGCTGCAGCAGGTACTTGCGGTTGTTGTCGTACACCGCCCCCAGCTGGTAGTCGTAGTTGACCATGATGCCGAAGCTGCGCTGCAGCCCCAGCGGGCCCATGTCGGACCTGGGGGGGGGGGGGGGGGCGTCAGGGGGGGCCATGTGAGGTGTTGTTGCATGGGAGATGGGAAGCATGTACTTTCCGACACCTCATACCTTTCGCGGCAATGACGTACCAACGCGCCTCCTCATCCCCCACGCACTCCTCCCCCTGCTCCTTCCGACCGCCCCGCACCCCACCTCCCATGACGCCTTACCACATGGTTCGTTAGTCGTTTCCTCTTTACACCCTCCCCCCTTTCCCTTTCCTATTGGTTGGTATGGTCTTTGACCCCCCACCCCACCCCCCCACCTCCAGTTCAGCCTCCAGCAGCTCGCCCCGTTACGCAGGTGGAAGTGCGCCACCGGACACAGCGCGAACCGCCGCCGCTTCTCAGCCAGCAGGTATCGAGCAGCCAGCCGCAGCAGCAGCGGACGCAGCACCCACTCGGCCTCCATAACATCACCGGGCTCCTGCTGCTGCTGCTGCTGCTCCTGCTCGCAGTCGACGACACCCGGAGGCGCGGCTACCCGGTCTTCCCCTAGGGCCGCTGGTGCGCTGGCCTGGTCCTCGTGCGGCACCGCAGCAGCAGCAGCGCCGCTACTGCCGCCGCTGCTCGCGGAGGGGGGACGCAGCCAGCGGTCGTCCTCCAGCAGCCAGGACAGCGCAGTCGCTGCGGCTGCCGCAGCGGGGACACCGCCAGCGCCGACCCGTGGGTCACCGCAGGCAGGAGGAGGAGCCCAGTGCGGCCCGGGCGCCCAGCCTAGGCTGCCCGCCAGTCGCAGCACCGCCGCCTGCTCATCAGGCCGCAGCAGCCCCGAGCTGCTCGCCTGGGGGGTGGTGCTGCTGCTGCTGCTGCTGCCGTGTCCCGCTGGCTCCCCTGCTGGCTGCTGCCGCTGCGGCTCCCACTGCTGCGCTTGCTGCTGCTGCTCCTGCATGAGTCGGGACGTGAGCCAGGACCGGAAGCTGGGCAGCGGTGAGAGGGTCACCAGCTGGCGGATGCTGGGGTGCTGGGACTGGGCGGGGAGGGGGGGAGGAAGGGCGAGGAAGGGGGAGAGGGGGGTGAAGGCGGTCAGGGTGAAGCGGGAGGCCGTCTGCCGCTACCTGGTGGATGGGCCGCAGGCATGGGTAGGGAGGCAGCGGACACGGGGTAGGGGCAGGTTGAGGACACGGGCTCAACCCCACCCGCACCCACCCGCAGCAGCTCCGCCACCCGCTTGATGAGGAAGGTGCCCAGCTCCACCCCCCGCAGCCCCGGCTGGCCGGCGGAGATGGAGTAGAACACGGCGGTGGTGGGAGGGGGCGGTGGTGGTAGTGGTAGTGGATGGAAGGGGGAGGGGAAGGAGGGGGCGCCCGGCTGCTGCTGCTCCGGCTGCTGGCGCTCGTCCAGTAGGATCTCACTCATCGCTGCTGCGGGCTGCACGGGCGGGGGTGAGGCGGGCGGGGAGGCGGGGGGCAAAGAGCTGACCGAAGGGGGGGGAGGGTGCGGATCAGCGGGCGGAGGCTTCGAGAAGAGCGGCATGACGGCTTCTGACATGACCCCCGCCCGCGCCAACACAACACACTGGGTATTCTTCTTTCCCCCCTCCACCCCCCTCCACCCCCCCCACTCACCCCCTGCATCAGCGCCGTGTGCAGCACCACCAGCGGCTCCCCCGGCAGGCAGGGGTGCGTGAACGCGAACACCGCCCGCCCCGGCCCCAGCCGCCGCCGCAGCTCCGACCAGCTGCCACCCAGCGGGTGCACCGCCTCGCAGCGCATCACACGCTCCTGGGGGAGGGCAGGAGGGGGGCGGGGGAATGGCGGCAGCGGCGGTGCGGTGCGGGAGGGAGGAAGGTGCGGGGGGTAGTGGGGGCTAAGCAGGTTGCGGGGGGCCCTGTGTGACAGAGGGTGTGGCGGGGAGGCGGTGGGCTTCCCTGCATACATGTCGACGAATGCCCTGGCTCCATCTCTCTCGTTCAGAGAGCACTGCCGACAGGTCGCTGGTCAAGGGGCCGCTGACCCCCCCCTCGTCTGGTCCAGGAGCCCGCCCCGCTCCCCTCCCTCGGGAGCCCCCCCCCCCTTTCACGCACCAGCAGAGCCGCCGGGGAGTGCTGCCAGGATATGGGTTGCAGGTGCAGCAGCCCCACACTGAACCACTCGGCCAGCGACTGCCTGGGAGGGGCGGGGAGGGGAGGGGCGGGGAGGGAGGAAAGCGGTGCGGGAGGGGCGGTTAGGATCGACTGCAGCCATGCATGCGTGCATGCATGCCTGTGATGCTGTTGTGGTTGTGGTTATTGTTGTTGTCGGGGGTGCAGGGGGGAGCAGGGGGGAGGCAGTGCGTCCGCCGAACTTGCACCCTCAACAGGAACGGCCGCACTGCCCTCCCTCCGCCCCCCACCCCACCTGAGGTGGTCCGCCAGGGCCCTCAGCGGCGCCGCGGCCCCCGGCGACAATGCACCTGGCCCCCCAGCCGCCTCCCCAGCCGCCAGCAGCTGCAGCAGGTCAGCGCGCATGTCAACCAGGAACTTCAAACCTGGAGGCGGGCGGGGGCGGGGGGGCGGAAGGAGGGTAGATGAGCCGCTACTGAGCAGCGGGGGCAGAGACAGCAGCGGGCAGCAACAGCAGCAGCGACAGCGCTGTCAGAACACAACCACGAGGCCCCACCACAGCCCCGCCTCGCCCCCCTTCCACTCCACCTCCCCGCCCCCCCGCCCCCACCCTCCGGCGCCTGGCTGACGGGCAGGAAGAGCTGCGTGTACAGCGGCCTGCAGGCGCCCCCCAGCCGGTCGGCTGCGCGGTACAGCGCCGCGGCGTCAGCGGCGTGGAGGACGTCCTCGGCAGGTGCAGCAGAGGCGGCAGCGGCGGGTGGGGGGGAACAGGCCGCAGTGTTGCATGCGGCAGGCGGGCCCCCCTGCGCGGCGGCGCTCCCATGCGCGGCCTCCGCAGTGGCATCACACGCAGGCGCACCACCGGCGGCACCAGCACCCGCAGCAGCAACAGCGGCCCTGCGGCTGGCGGCGGTGTCCCACAGCCGCACCGCGGAGATCACCTCGGGGACTGGGAACCGCTAGGCGGGGGGCGGGCGGGGAGGGGTGGCCGGGTGGGGGTGAGGAGGGGGCCCTAATGTGACGCGGCTCCGTGTGTTGCAGGGTGATGGGAGGTGGTGGTGGTGTGGGAGGCAGCCGGGTGTGGCAAAAAGGCAGGTGGCTGCCGCAGCAGCAGGCGGGATGCGTGGACTCCGGGCAGCGGGAAAGAAGGGTTCAAGGCGTGGAAAGCATTTTGAAAGCATGTGAGTAAAGGTGTCCAAGGGTTTGCAAATGGTGGGTCGTGACCAGCCACACAAAGGGCTGGGAAGTAGGTTCGCGGCTGCCGCTCACCCGACAGGCCCATCTCGCCGGTGACCAGGCGGAAGAACGCCAAGCGCTCCTGGGGGCTCCGCAGCTCCGAGTAGGCCTGGATAAGGAGGAGAAGGCGCGAATTTGTTCCCGTGAAATATTTTGGGCAGCAAGGCGAAAATAGGAGCAAAGTAAGGCCGAGCTGGTAGGAGGATGTTCAATTCAGGTTAGGTCGGTGCTGGACTACCTGTATACGGACGGCTGACCTGCATGAAGCCGCGGACGAGTTCGTCCGGAACCAGGCCCCCAGGTACTTTGCGAGTGAATATGCGAAGCAGGTCCTTGATGAGGCTCGCCGATGGGTGAGGACTATTGCGACCCTCATCGTTGCGGCCGCTACTGGAGCTCCAGCTGTCCGCTAAGACACCACAGCTGCCGGATATAAGGGATTCATCTCCAGTAAGCTTGATACTAGTATTGTGATGGGCGGCATTCCCCGAGTCTGAGATGCCGTCGGGCGTCGGAAGGCAAGCCGTCGCAGACTTCTCGCCGTTGTCAGCTTCATTTGTTACAAGACTTTGACGGTGCTCACGTAAAAGTTGGCGGAGAGAGTCGACGCCACCTGTGTTGAAGCGCAAGCCTAACTGTTGGCCTATGCCGAGCCTGCTGCTGCACTCCTTGCGGACGACGGACCCAAGGTCCAAACATATCTGAACTACTTTCATGGGATTATAGGTATTGTGTTATCACATGCTGTGATAGCGAAAACGTTGCACTTTGGTCGTGCCTTTGTAACGCCTTTTCACCTTGTCATAGGCCGACGGAAGGCGTACACAAACAAGGTTGTATTGCGATTTGGTGATCGGTCAAAGCGAGGGGGGCGCATGAGGGAATGTGAAACGAGGATCTCACGCTCGTACGGCCATCGCGTTACTAGCGAAGTTGGTCCTGCACTTCTTCTCCTATAACATACCAGCATTAAAATGATTGACTGGTAAGTCACGTAAGTTTAATAAAAAAGTTGAGCAGATGTACCTGTAATTTAAGTTGCGACAGCTGTTGATAGGGCCGGGACAGCTCATGACGGGATACCACGTATGAACTCCCCCACAGCTAGTAGTTTAGTACGCTGCACGTTTTGCTCTTACATAGCAGGAATAGGTCAAGGTCGATGTTTTTCGCGGTGAACTGCCTGGCTGCAATGCCATACGGCAAGTACATGGGTAGCCCGTTGACCTTGTCATTGCCGCACCTGGGCCGCCCTGTCTACGAATGGCGGGTCCATGCATTGGCCGTCCCTAGTGCTGGCCGTTAGTAGTACCGGCGGTACACAACCTAGGCAGCTTGAGGTGGCATTGACGTGTTGTAAAGTCATATGGTGCAGCTCATCAGGTAAACCTTGCCTGTTATGCCTTTTTAAGGTTTCAGCCATTGGCTCAGGCGTGGCCGCCGCAAGCCGCAGCTCCTACAGAGCTCAAGCTCAGGAAGGGTGTTGTGGAGTGTGTGTTTACAACAGTATTCTTAGTACGCAACATATTCCATCATACCTGCAAATCGAAAACATATTGATCAGGCACATGGCAACAATTCACAACAATTGGATTAGGACTGTTGCGGATCATTCCAGGGTTCCAAGGTCACGCTTCCTAATGAATCTTGCTTTTGGTTGCCCAGCTTGTCGAGACCAACGGCTATAACCCATATGCCCCAACTAACGGAAACGCATCCTGTAGGTATCACAACTACCAGGTATCCTACCCATACTATTAAGTTGTGGCCAATTCGCCGTCTGTACTCGGTGGCCCTAGACAGAAGGGCGCAGAGTAGTGGACGCAATACCCCAGCTACTGCCCCGCGGCCCCTGCCGGAGCTCCTAACCCAGCCAAACCAGCCGCGAGCACGCATGTTTACCCAAAACAGAATCGACACATCCCAGCTCACCACCAGGACACATAAACCCTCGACCGGGCAACATTCTAACTACGCCGCCCCTGCAAAAGCTTCAATAGAACCTGGACAAGGGTGGTTGCGAATTCTCCTCCGAATCCTAAGGCCCAAAGCGCAACAGCACAGCCTCGTGCTTTTTCATGCAAAACCTCCTCCTCGTGCTGCTGCTGCGGGTGCTGCTGCGGGTGCTGCCTGGCTGGGGACCCGTCCAGGCCCCAAACCCGGGAGCGAGCGCACATCGCAACTCAATCGTGATCGCGGAGGCATCCGCATGTCCCAAGGGGGGAAGGGCCAGCAGCAGCAGCAGCAACAGCAGCAGCAACAGCAGCAGCAACAGCAGCAGCACACACAATGCCGGATGGCCGATACGATGCGGCAGAGTCCCATGCGTGCGTCGAGGGCGGCAGTGCAAACAGCGTCTGTGGGGCCGTCACCAATTAACAACGAAACCACAACCAAGGAAAATTCAAGAAAAAAACTCCAGAGCACAGCAAAACAGCGACGGCAGGCGCGAGATACAGAGGCGGACAGGCCTGCGGTTTCCGTTGCCAAGAGCGCCACAGACATCCAGGATTGTAAACGGGGCAGTACAATGCACTGATCGCCGGTATCTGACGGTAAGTGCCATGCAAGCAAGCGCCTTCCTTTGTGGGAGGACCGGATGGCACCCCGATAATTTTCTACGAAGGATCACAAGCAGAACCGCATTCCTCAGCAATTTCCGCACCAACTAACAATCGTACAAATCCGACAACTGTGTCAACAGAAAACGACCCGTACAACCCCGGGACATGACATGGCATGACATGACATGGCAGCGGACCCAACGCGCCCAAATCCAGCGCATGTGTGGGCTCCATAGCGCACACAAGCAGCACACACTCACAATCAGTTTCAATACCGTGTCGTCTCAACTCGCAAGCCCACTGGCTCGGGGTCTTGGGGATACACGCACGAATTGCGCACGTGAGAGGGGCTGCTGAGCAGCCTGCCTTCTACTCAACTACACAAGGCGGCTGGGTCACAACACGCGTACGTGAAAGCGCGGCCCACGCCGCTTCGTTCAGCGTCAACACCACACGTTCGACAAACAACGCCAACAACAGCAAGCGAGACATAGCACGCCGCAGGGTAGCCCACGCCTGGTGGCGGGGAAGGTGGCAGCTATTGAAGTGCTGCACCAGTAACGCTGCTGCTGCCGGCGTGTCGGTCTTGCGCGTACATCCCAATACACAACATCATGTATTAAAGCTTGACGCAACGCACCGCGGCGTGCCTGCCACACTGCAACATGCAGCCCCACGCACACCCTGTAAGACCGGACTGCGATAAACGCCCCGGGCCACCTCCAAAGTGTACGGACAAACATACTCGGAAACAGACAAACGCCAAGGGTTGTCAGTTAAGATATCATGGCCATCATTTTAGTCGGTGGAAGGCGGGAAACCCTCCATGTGAGGAGCTCAAAAGCAACCCGAGAGCACAAAGCCCACAGCAGCCGTTGTCATTAAACATACAATGAAGCGCGCAATTACTGTTACGCGACGCATGTTCCGCCTTTACTTTGTCACCATTTCTTGTTTGCCCGTGAGTGATATGCCCCTTCCGAACCAGAGCTTCCAAATTTTGTCATCAATCCAACAATGATACATGGCCGTTTCGACGCAGCCCATTCCTAACAAGCCTACAGCGACATACATTGCTGACCAAACTAGATCGTCTTTTCCAACTTCAATACATCTGCCATCATGCTGCTGCGTCCCGCCTGCCCGCCTGCCCGGTTCAGCGATGCGGCTGCCGCTGGAGCGCCCCTCACACAGCGCTCCACCCGGAGGGGCCGCCGCACACACTTACTTGTACACACGCTATTGCGCTCACAGTTAACTGTCCATTCCAACATACGATAACCGTCCTGAACACGCCCCGTCTTACCAGTTTCCTGAACACATCCCACCTTTTTAGGTTTCTGAACACATCCCACATTTTTAGGTTCTGAACACATCCCACCTACATCACACATAGCCAGCAAGCTCTTCCACCATCCGCCGGGGGTCCTAATTCCGGCAAGCACAGCGCGTTCCGATTCGTGCGCGGCCAGTGTGTTTTGGTCGCACACCCCATCTCAGTCGAATCAACCACACCCCCATCCCAAGCCATAAACACACCCCCATCCCAAGCCATAAACACACCCCCATCCCAACCACATGCACGTCGCACCAGATGCCTGCAATCCCAGAATCTCGCCCAGCTTGTTCACTCTACACACCGCGCTGCCCCCACCTGCCCGGCTGCCCGCCTACCAAAAAGCAGTACTCACCACCGCTACAGCAGTTGCACTCACCCGTGCACCAAACATGAAACACCGTGCATCTGCAATTCTGCATGTCGTGCCGAACGAGGTATGAATGAAGTGCTATTTAAGCAATCATGCAACACAGCGGCCCCCCCCCCGCCCCCCGTGTGCACCTGCACGAGTATGCAGCGTATAGACACAGCAAGCAAGCACACCCCACACTTCTAAACCAATCTTGCCACATCCAGACATCCGAGCTCCCCCACATGTACCATACATCACGCCCCAATGCTATCCCGATTACCTCCCTCCATAGCCATCTTTAGCGAAACTGGCATTCTTTCTTAAGCACAGTCCCAGTCCCCCAACAAATTAAGGGAAAGCAGTCCTGGAAAGGCTAAAACGACGTGTCGGTTCCGCTCCAATAATTCATCTTTCCCAATACCGTACAACCACCCATCCGCCGCAAAGCCTCACGTACGCACCAGCAGCAGCAGCCCAAACACCCAACACCCAACACCTGACACGCAACCCCACCACGCACACCCAGACGTCCCCGTCTGCTGCCAGCCCGCGCGGAATGCCGCATGGGTTCCCCCCCCCTGCCTGGCTGGCTGCCTGCCTGCCTGCCTGCCTGGCTGGCTGCCTGGCTGGCTGCCTGCCTGCCTGGCTGCCTGGCTGGCTGCCTGGCTGGCTGCCTGATCCGGATTCGGAAAATGGCAGGACAGCAGACAAGGACAGCACCGGAAGCACGACAGCTACCGGTGAAGATGTCCCAACAGAAATGTATTACCAAAGCTCCAAGATTGGCGCCGATCCAAGCAACACGCACGCTCAACTCACTCGCTTCCCAGAGCGCTCAACTCACTCGCTTCCCAGAGCGCTCAACTCACTCGCTTCCCAGAGCGCTCAACCCATCCTGCGGTGGCCAGCAGGCTCGCTAGCTGCTACCCAAGCACCACACGCAACTTCCCATACACGGACCCGTTCTCCTCTCATCCGCGCGGGAGCCCCTCCATCAGTGCTCCTCAGGGTCCCGCTGCCGGCGCCGTCGGCCCCCCCGCTGCTGCTGCCGCCCCTGCTGAGGTCCGCAGGAACCCGACCGGCATCATGACGGGCGGCAGCGAGCCGCCCCTGTCCTCGGGACCGCTCCTGGGCCCCGACGGGAAGCCTTCGAAGGACTGCCGTACGGCTGCTCGAGGAGCTGGGCCCGCCTCCCGCCGCTGCGCCACCCCTGCCGCTGCAGCAGCGGCCACCTCGGGGGCGATGTTTGAGGAAGAAGACATCGCCTCCACGCCCAGAGACACGCTCCGTGCAACCGCGTCCAGGGAAATGACGGCGGCGGCGGCTGCAGGCACGTCCAAGCAGCCGCCCCAGCCAGCCGCGTGGATGCCGACCACCCCTTGTAAGATGCCGCTGTTGCAGGGCGTGCGGGCGCTGACAATGCGGCAGGAGGTGGTGCTGCTGTTGGCGTCGCTGTGCTGACCGCGACGGTGCGGCTCCGAGCTTCCTTTCCAGGGGGCGCAGCACGCCGGCAGCTCCGGCATCAGCTCCGTCGGGGTTGTGGTGGGTTGTGGTGGTGGTGGTGGCTCCTCGCTGGCGACCGAGCTACCGAATGTGGTTGCATAAGCTGAAGCGGAAGAGGGAAGAGGAGGGACCAGTGCGGACGGCGGCGCATCACGGGAGCTAGCCGGCAGCGGTACCAGTGGGAGCGGCAGGGCGGTCAGGGCCAGCGGGGCGGGGCGGTGCAGGTAGGTTTGCATGAGGCCTTTGCCCTTCACGTCGATGCCACCTGTGGGGCTCCAGTCCGCGTAGTTGTGCAGCAGCTGCCAGGCGGCCTCGCTGGCGTGGATGGCGCCGGGGGTGCCGCTGCTCTCCATGCGGCTGGTGGTGTTGACGGTGTCGCCTGGCAGGGGAGCAGGGGGCAGGGCGGGGCGGGGCGGGGGGGAAAGGGAGGGGAAGGCGGGAGGTTGGGAGGAAGCCGTGAGAGAGGGGGAGGAGGCGAAAGGAGGGCTGCTAATAACGAGCTTCGGGGTGCATCGGGGTCGGGCACACGCACGCACCACACACAGCACACACAGCACACGCAGTGCACACGGCACCCACCGAAGAGGCAGAAGCGCGGCATGCGGGTGCCCACCACTCCGCTCACAACTGGCCCGCTGTGCAGTCCGATGCGGATCTCCACGGGCTCTCCGGTGGTGGGCAGCCGCACCTGGCGGGCGGCCTCCAGCATGGCCTGGCGGGCGATGAGGGGGTCGGGAACATGAGGGGTCGGGAACATGAGGGGTCGGGAACATGAGGGGTCGGGAACATGAGGGGTCGGGTGCATGAGGGGTCGCGACAGGATGAGAGGTCGCGAATATGAGAGGTCGGGAACATGAGAGGTCGGGAACATGAGAGGTCGCGAATATGAGAGGTCGGGAACATGAGGCAGAGGGCTGCAAGGTCCACCACAGAGGGTGGGGTGGAATATGCCAACAGGCGCCCCCTGGGGGTGTCACATCCGCCCACACACAACCTTACCCGTTTTCCTGGCTAGTCCCACCTTTGCAAAGTCGAACACCTTGTGCGCGTGCAGTGGGTCCACCCGGCCGCCATCCCGCACCGCCGCCATGCCGTCCTCGTCCTCGTCAATCAGCCCGCCTGCCACAAAGTAGCAGTCACCGATGGTCTCCACCTGTAATGATGCGGCACGGTACGGCAGGCAGTGGAGCGGTTGGCAGGCGGGAAGGGGGCACCATGGCGCGTGTGGAGCGATTAGTGGGGGGGGTTAGGGGGTTGTTGCCAACAACCGCCTCTCAGCTGACGATGAGGTGCTTCCACAGTACCAAAACTGCCACCTGCTGTCGTAGAACTGCCACCGGCCGCCTTACAACTGCCACCGGCCGCTGTACAACTGCCACCTACATCTGCCGTACCACCCACCTTAAACACGCCGTATGTATCCAGCATCCCGTCGTAGCGCGAGTAGAGGTCGTTGAGCATTGTCATCACGGCGGAGGGCTCCACGTCCTTGCACATGGGGGTGAAGCCTGGGGGGGATGCAGGGGGGCAGGGGGGGAAGGGTACTTGGCAGTGCTCGAATGGGAGAGCGCATGACCGTGTTTTAGGGCATAGGGCGCGCACGGCTGGAGCTCCATCATAGGAACGTTAACACTAGTAACAAACGGGATGGCAAACGGTCAGTCCCTTCGCTCCCCATAGTATGCTCGCACGGCAAATCAGCATCTCCCCCCCCACACCTTTGATGTCCGCGAACAGAAGTGTGACCTGACAGGGGCATCAGGGGAGCGGCACAAGGAAACCAGCCCAGGTGAGCAGTGAGCGGCCAGGCAGCAAGCGCCGCACACGGGCAGGCACCCAACAGGGTACTCGCAGCAGAGAAACGCTGAGAACCAAAAGGCTCCCATTGGGAGACCTCCTGCCTCCCACCGCCATCCTGCCACTCTTCACGACTCCAGACAGTCGGCGCACCGGACTAGTGGGCGTCCCTACCCCCCTACCCCACTTCCTCCATTTTATGGGTTTACTTGGTTTGCTGGTTTATCTCTCACCCCACCCGCCCCGCCATCCCCCCCACCTCCGGGTGCCAGGTGGCCAGCGCCTTGCAGTTGCGAACCGCGGGTCGCCACGCCACGTCACTGCCCCCGCCCCCCGCCATGGCCGCCGCCGCCGCAGTCGCCACGAAGTCCTCTGTGATGTACTGCAGGATGTGGCGCGGGAAGAGCTGCTCCAGCAGCCGGTGCTCCGTCTCCATGACGAGAGCCAGGTGGCGCTCGGCGATCACCTTGGCAGTGACGTCATGCTGCGGGGGAGGGAGAGGGAGCGAGCGGGGGAGGGGAACCCAGCCAACATGCCAGGTTCATTGAATGGGACACGCCGCCTATTTGTCCTCTGTAGCTTCTACGTGCCATTGAAACGCTTTAACGCCCGTCCCTCGCCTCCTTCCAAGGCCGGAAACCTCTACGCCGACTAAACCTAACCATGCCCCCTCCGCCTCCGCTCCCCATCCCTTCCGCCCCCTCCCCCTCACCTGCACCAGCACCAGCACATCCTCCCCCGTCACCGGGTCCAACGTCCTTGTGCCCCACACCTCGTGCCAGCACTCCTCCGCCTCCGTCTCCGCCTCTGCCGCCTGCTGCTGCTGCTGTTGCTGCTGCTGCTGCTGCGGGCATTCGCCGCCCCGGCTCACGCGCGCCACAATCGCCTCCCGCAGCCGAATCAGCGCAGCGGACGCCGCCTGCTGCTGCTGCTGCTGCTGTTGCCTGGCCGCCTCCTGCGCGGAACTCGCCCCCGGGGTGAGTCGCAGCACGCGAGCCAGTTGCAAAGAGGCATCCACCACAGCACGAGCGGCCGCCGCAGCAGCTGCCTCTTCCACCTCGTTAGCAGTGTTACAAGCCTTCTGCCCGCCGCCGCCGCACGCTTCGTCTTCCATAGCCTCCCTGACCTCCTCCTCATTCGCATCCAGCTTCCCTTTACTGCCGCCCCACACACCCTCCTCCTCCTCCTGCTGCTGCTGTTCCTGTTTCCTCTCCTGCTGCGGCTGCTGACCCTCCCCCTGCTCGCCTCCCACCTCCTTACCTGCCTTGCTACGAAGGCATGCAAGCAGGTCCACGGAATCGAGGCCGGCCTGCGTGCAGGAGCTGCCTGGGACATCACGCACGCCGTCGCCCTCTTCGACTGCTGCTGCTGCTGCTGCTGCTGCCACGGCGTCTGCTGGCGCGGTGTCACCCCCACCGCCCAGCTTCTGCTGCCGGTCAACATCCGCTGTGAGCCCCAAGGTGGGGGAGCGGCTAACCGCCGATGCCGCTGCCGCGGCGGCGATTGGGCCGCCGACTGCGGTTGCGGTGGCAGCGGTGCCGGCGCCGACGGCGGCAATGGTGGCAGCGTGTATGAGCGACTGGGCAGGCGGAGCAGCGGCTGCTGCTGCAGTCGCTGCTGCCGCGGTGGGTGTGCTGCCGCTGCAGGTGGCAGAGGTGGAGGAGTCCAGCGGCTGCCACTCCTGCGGCCCCAGCTGCAGGCTGGCAGCGCTCTCCGGGAACTGAGGTGGGTGCGGGATGGAAGGGAAGCGGGGTGCAGGAGGTGCCTTGTTCGAGCGACTCGTGCCAACACATGGCGTGGCCTCATCCCCATCCTCATCCCGATCCTCATGCAGCTGTGCGTGTCCTCGTGCTGCTCGCAATGCTGCAGCACGCGCGGGGGCTGTCTGCTCGCCGGCCCCTCCCGCCCACCACCCGCACAGGCCCCCTGCGTCGCAACCACCAACCCCCCCAGCACCCCCCCCGCCACCCCCCCCGCCACCCACCCACCCCGCCACCCACCCCCCCCGCCACCCACCCCCGCCACCCACTCACCTTGGGGCTGCTGCCGTACGTGGTCCCCGGCCCCGACACCGCCCCCGGTCCCAACCCCTCCGTCGACAGCAGCAGCAGCGAATCCAGGGTGTTCAACGTCTCCACCTCCGTCTCAACCGCCTGCCTCCTCCTCCTCCGCCCCGCGCCCTCCCCCGCCTCCTCCCCCTCCTGCCCGCCACCGCCACCGCCACCGCCGCCCCCCGCAGCCGCCTCGCAGCCACCTGCCATGCTGTCTAGCGTGTCCACCATGCCCCCCAGCGCGGAGTGGGAGGTGCTCAGGAAGCCGCGCACCGCACCGTGACGCCGCTGGGACGGCTGCGAAGCCGAGGGTGTGCGCAGCGCCAGCTCCAAAACTGGCGTCGGTCCCGGCAAGAGGTCCGGAGAGCTCGACAGCGCCAGGTGTTGCGGCTGCTGCTGCTGCTGTTGCGGGTGAGGCAGCATGCTGCCGGAGGTTGGCAGCAGCGAAGGCTGCTGCTGCTGCTGCTTGTTGACGGGTCGCGGGGCGGCGCGCGAGCTCTGGCCGCTGTTGGGGCCGCTGGCGGAGGCGCCGCCGGCGCTGGGGCTGCCACCTGCCCCGGTGAAGCTGCCGGACGCCACCCCCGCCAGCAGCTGCGCAGCGGGCGGAGCGGTCTTGAGCAGTGCGGCAAAGGTAAGCACGCGTGCGGTGGGTGCCGCGTAACGCTCGCTCGCGCTCTGGAAGCCGAAGCCCGTGTGCGTGGCGGCGGCGGCGGCGGCGGAGGAGGAGGAGGAGAGGCCGTGGGGCTCGATGGAGGAGGCGCGACGGGAGATTCGGCGGACGTGGGGAGCCGGCGGACGGGGGCAGGCTGCTTCGCCCTGGGCGCCGCCTTGACCTGTCGTCAGCATCTCTCCAGCGGTGGCATCGTGATCTCTGCTGCTGTTGTTGTTGTTGCTGTTGTTGTTGCTGCTGTTGTTGTTGCTGTTGTTGTTGTTGCTGCCTGGCGCTGCGGCGGTCTTGTTGTGAAGCGGTTGTTGCGGCGGTGCTGCGGCTGCGGTCTCGCCGTAGCAGCAGCTGGCGGTTCGGCGCAGGCGAGAGGAGGTGTGCTGCTGCTGCATGGACTTGGAGTCAAGTCGGGTGGGTGAGCGGAGGAGGTGTTGCTCGGTGGCGTCCAGCAGGCCCCCCGCCGCCTCCTCATCCACGACAGTGGCGGTGGCTGTGGCTGTCGCAGAGGCCCAGGGGGTGGTTGCGGTGGCAGTCGGAGACACGCTGGTGCTGCTGCCGGCGGCGATCACAGACAGACGCGCGAAGCCGATTGCCAGGGTGGAGGTGGAGAGCGGGCCGCCTCCGCCGCCGCCAGCGAACCCTCGCGATGTGGAGTACGGCGAGCCGCCTCCGCCTCCGCCTCCGCCGCCAACTGCCGTCGGACGCATGGTTGAGGTGTCCCGGCACACGGAGACACTGGAAGAGCGGCCGGAGGGCTGGACGGAGGGGGGTTGCGAGTAGGCACCGTGGGTGGCAGAGCTTGTGTGTCGGCGGTTCCAACGACCCGTCTCGCTCTCACTGACGTTGTCGTTGACCGAACGACTCGGCTCCAACCGCCGTACACCGCCGAACACACCGGTGCTGGCGTGGCTGCGCACGCTGTGGGAATGCGCGCGAGTGGGTGGCGGCGGCGTCTTGGGTGTGGGTCGGGGCTGCTCCAGCGGGGCCTCCTCATGCTCCTCTTCATCCTCCAGCACGCTCAGCATGAAGGCGGTCAGACGGGTTCGCTGCTGGGGGGAGCTCGTCTCGCACCGCGGGGCGCCCGACGTGGCGGTAGCTGGGTGGGGGGGGAGGCAGTTGAGGGCACAGCAAGGCGGCAAGGGGGCGTGGAAGCGTTGGTTGTCGGTTTTGAGGCGGAGGTGGTGGTGTTGAATGCAACAAGGGGTCTGGGAGGGCATGCATGCGCGCTGGATGCCGGATGGCGTTGTGGCATGGTAGCGGCGGCTGGGCGGCGGCGGCTGCGGCTGGTGCGCTCATGCAAGGGCTCATACAGCGAGGACAAGCAGGGAGGAAGCGGAGGAAGGCGCGCATGAGGTGGCCGCACGCGTGCAAAAGCAGGTGAACACGAAACGAAGGAAGGGCTGTCGTTCGAGCGAACCTAAGCGCTTGTTCTTCGCCGAGCACGCAAGGAGGCTGGCATGCACAGACACCGCGCCACGCGAACGATCCTCACCTCTCCACGCCCCAGACGACTCCCCATCGGCCCCCAGCACTGCGCTTCTGCTCCTGCCGCCGCCGCCACTGCCGTTGTTCCTTGCGTTGACCTCCTCCCGCTGCCGCCCTCCTTCCGCACCCTCCTCCTCCTCCTCTGCTGCTGCCGCTGCCTCCGCATCCACCGTCTCCATCGCGCTCTCCAGCACCACCCCCCAGCCGTCCTCCTCCTCCTCCTCCTCCTGAGAACCGCGCTGCTGCTGCTGCTGTGCCACTCCGCTCCCAGCCTCAGCCTCAACCTCATAGCTTCCGAACGGTCGCGGCCGCTGCCCCTCCGCCCCCAGCCCCCCGCCACCTGGCCTGCTGCTGCCCAGCCCGCCGCCACCGCCATGCATGTCGGCGCCGCGTACTGCAGCGGCGGAGGCGGCGGGGGCGGAGGCCTGCCCGGGCCGCTCCTCCCCAGCGGGGGTTCCCAGCGGCAGGGGCGGCAGCAGCGCCGGCGCGACTCCGGCGGTTCCGGCGAAGAAGGAGGGCGCGGCGGATGGGCTGATTGCGGGCAGGGGGTCGCTCTCGTCGGGGGGCGGGCTGCTCAGGCGCACCGGCACTCGTACGACACCTGCGTGCCGTACCACAGAGGAGGCAGGTTGCAGCGGCAGCAGCGGGGCAAGGAGTGGGAGGAGGATGGTGAAGGAACAACAGGCAGGGGGGAGGGGCGTAGGACACTCAGTTCAGCTATACGCAAGTCCAGCCTTGTGATGAATCCGTCCCCTCCCAAGTCCCAACCCACTCACCCTTCCACACGTCCCCCGGCCCGCACAGCTCCTCCATCATGCGGCCCAGCGACTCGGGCTCCAACTGGAAGATGAGCGACAGCAGGTCCGCATCGCCATCACCACCACCCTCCTCATGTTCGCCTCCACCGGGGCAGCCCCCAGGCGCTCCGCCACCACCCCCGCCAGCAGCACCCCCGCCAACAAAGCTGGTGTCATCAGGGGCACCCGGCCGCAATGTTATCTTGGAGTCCGACCTTGGGAGGCGGGGTGAAGCCAGGTCGAGGCTGCTCCGTTGGCCGCCTGCCTGGCTGCTAGGGCCGAAGCGACTGGGGCCTCGGGTGAGCTGGTGGGCAAGGCGGGGCGAGGGCCCGGAGGGGATGCCGGGATGGCGATGTGCGATGGATTGAGCGAGTTGAGGTCGCGGTGATGACGAAGCGCCGCGCACGCGTTCGCCCATCCATCGCTTGCTGTGGTTGTTTTGATGCAGCGCGTACCGGCCGGAGAGGCTGATGATGGTGAAGCAAGCTGGTGTTGCGGTCAGGATGAGGGATTCGCGGAGGGTAGCCTGAGGGCGGTAGCAACTCAGCAGGATGTCAGGAAAGACAGAAAAGCGCACTTTTCAAGGCGTTTGTCTATGGGAGCCTTCTGGGCGTGCTCAAAAAAGGCCCCCGCCGTAGGCGGAATCAACTTGCTAACAGCTCAGGAGCCCGACAGACAAAAATTACACGAAGCCGTGCGACACTAGTGTTTGAAACGGGAATTGCGCGCGTGGTTAATCAATATAAGTCGTAGCAACGCGGCATACATACGTGAGCCACGAACCAGAACCACTGCCGAGAGTGCCGCCGCAACGTAACCGGCGCCAAATGCTAAATCTTCAACATTCATTTCAGTATGGAAAGCTCACCTCTCTTCCCCCATCATTGGCGGGCGTGTCGGGGCCCGGCTTCTGGGATGAGGCTGCTTTACGCGATGTTCCAGAGGCCAAGCATGAACGTTCCTCTATCGCATCTCCCTTTAACGTATCCGGAGCGACGTCCTCGTGCTCCCGAACGCAGTACTCAAGGCTGCGAGGTCGGTTACATGGCCACCCAAAGCAAGCCCTCCACATACTGGCATACAACGACGCGTGCCAGTAGGCAGTTTTAATCCATAACTTATGTGATGTACTCGTGTTTGGGGGCTAACGCGCTCACCGATAACAGTATCCTCTTGCGAATCCCTGGGTACGGCAAGATAGGGAGCCAGGTCGTCTAAAATCCTCCTTAGGCAAATATAAGCTGATCTGGCTACTTATTGTTGACTCAGTTTGCTTATGCGGGTTTGTATGGTCGTCATCACGGTACGCGCCTGCCAACAAAGAGGACCTTGATGTCTGACAGTCTGAGTGAAGGCGTTCAGCACCACGAGTGCCCAACAACCCACGCGTACAACATAACTCAAAGACATAAATGCATCTGGCGTAGTTACATCATGTTTGCTTGGGGCAATTCTGTATTAGTAAATTGCGTACTTGAGCGCGGCTGCTTGTCACAGGCAGTGTTACCTCGGAATGTTGATGTACGAGTATTGTTTTCTGTAAAAAAGCCAAGTCGCATTTTCTTGGGACGAGCGTCACAAGTGATGATGCCCATGAATTTGAGAGGCCGTCCGCATTGGTGATGCTTTGTCGATGCCGCTTGTTTGTTGACTTGGCACCCACTTTGTAACCTAAACACACGCAGCACGGGACGACGGGAGGGCGGGGTCCGGAAGGGGTCGTACGCATGCTCACATAAAGTAGCCAACTAGGCACTCTCCGAACTAAAAGCATAGAAGCAGGACCTTGTGGGCACGCCTCCGTCACGAACGCGTTCGTGAACTAGTCAAGAGTTGTGACCCCTAGGGTGTCGCCGCTGTTGTTCCCGAGTTACAGCTCAATCCGCCTCCCTCCGGCGCGCCTCACTCGCTCAAATCCATTCAGGTCATACACCCCCACGTTCGACACATGTGTGCATTGGAATCCTCGCTTTGGCAACACAGCCTATGCCCAGCCATCCATCCTCAGCTAAACAACTCCCGAATCTGCCTCACACGCGTTGTTCCACCACCACCCCGCATGCCTTCTTACACCTCGCACGCTTTGTTACACCTTTACAACGAGCCTGCTACAGCATGGCATGCGTGGGCTATGGTGATTGGTTGGATGAGAAGACAAGGTTGAGCACTGGCATGTCCTTCGGCTGGAGCAGTGCGCCCTGGTGCGCCTCCCCTTCTGTCTCCAGCTCGCCACGCTTGTCGGTGGATTCCACCGGCTTGATAGGTGCAAGTGTGGTTCGTGCAGTGAGGCGCAGCTCATTACCAGTGGACTTGCCCGCTGCTTCTGCCCGGGTGATTTGGGCATGTAAGCAGCATATGGTTACTTTTCCCACTCCAGACTGTTCCCGTGGCAATTGTTGGACCTAACTTGCATTGATTACGAAAGGATATAGGGCGGTGGCTTTTGGGGCACTTGGAGAGGCGATGGCGGGTGGCGGGGTGGTAAGGAGACAAACGCGTCATTATATGCTCTTGGGTTAGGCGGCGCACTGCACTGTATGTCATAAGATCAAAGGCATAGAGTAGTGCATAAGGTGCATTATAGCAATTGCGTGGCGCACTTCGGAACCACAGAGAGCGCCAAAGGCCACAGCGACGCTAGAATAAACGCCGTCCACACATCGTTTGTCAGCAACCCTGGATTAATTCAGGATTTTGCAACGTCACCGAAAACCAATGTACAAGCACAGGAGGACCGAAAAGCGCAAAACCGACGGTCGTACGTTACGGAGTCTGCGTATGATGGGTAGTGCTTTTTGCCTCGCTCTTCCTTTACAAGTAGCAGCTCTTAATGCTCTATGCGACACGCTTTTAAGTAACGCCTTCAGACTGATATGGGCTATCACGAGGGACGGTTGTACACGTATGTAAGATTAATGCATAGAAGAGAAACCACTAGAGCATTACCGGTTTAGCTGGAACACATCTATCCCGTTTTAACTTGGCAGCCCGTTTAACCTTTGTTATTACTACTACGATTGTATCTTTTGCCTTTTGGCGCCGGTGCGCATCTAGTGCTCCATTTGCAGCTATCTGCATTGCGCACTGTTATAGGCCTCTGTTACAATGGGCTAACCCGAAACCTTTTAAGATAAGCAAAACTCATACCTCAGTCAAATACGCCATTTGCCTCCCGTAGTGGCGTCAATGGACAACCCTTTATCTTTAACGGAAGACCGTCCAACGCGCATGCGGGACAGTTTGGCGCGTCCTGTGTCTCGCAGCGCAACACGACACAGTTCAGCCGAGCCTTTCGGCCTGGGACCCTGTCGTGATCTTAGCACTTCGGACACTTCTTACGTCTGCGACGCCGTGGTCCGGCCTCGACCACACCAGCTAGCCCGTCGACTGTCAGCTTACGAATGCCAACTCGCCAATGGGCTTCCCCTTTTCGCACAAACAGCGCATGGCGGGGAGCTTAGCTTTGTCATGGAATGCTCCCATCAATCCTCCTCACTGGCGGCCCCGTCGCTACACCGACATGGAGGCGGAAGCCGTGCATCATCGGCATTGGTGCAGCCCAGTCGCAGTCAGCCGCGTGACTCAGCAGCTACAGCTGCAGCAGCCAACCTCATGAACCGCTCACACAGCATGATCGCCGCCTCGCAGCATCCCTTTGGCTCCGCCCACGGAGGCACAGCCATGGGCGACACAATGTTCGGCGGCATTGCGTCCCCAAACAGCATCTGCGGCAGCGCAAGCAAGCGCAGCCTCCACATCCCCTCCCACACCAGAGAGCCCTCCTACCTGGCGCTCCCCACCAACCCAACCTCCACCGCGGCGCCACGCAACCACGCAGCAGCAGGCATCGTTACCTGCACCGCAGCCGCGGCAGCAGGCGCGCACGCCGCGTCCTCCATGCACGGCCCCGGCGTGCCGAAATGCCCCGTCACAGCCGCGGCCGCCGCCGCCGCCTCCACAGCCCTCCGCAAATCCCACCACTTCCACCCCCTCTCCCTGTCGCGCCCGCATCACAGCTGCTTCCACCTCGCCTGGGTGGGCGGCTGCACCGTGTACGTTGCAGCCTTCGCGCCCGCCGCGCTGCTCCCGGTGATCCGGCCTCAGCTGCAGCTGAGCCTGGGGCAGGTGGGCGCGGCGGCGGTGGCGGCGCTGGTGGCCTCCGTGTTCACTCGCTTCCTCATGGCGGTGCTCGTGCGGCGGTACGGACCTCGGTACTGCCAGGTACGACAGTACGACACAGCCGAGTGGGGGTCAGCCGAGTGGGGGGGCAGCCGATGCAGACGGTTCAGTTTGCAGGATTCTAGCTGATCCAGTACAACAGCGGAATTGAGGAGGTATACGGTAGCGCATCTCGAGCCGCAGCATGGACATGGGTTGGGAGGTGATAGATGATGTGCTCCCTGCCCTCATGGGCGCGCCGCCCCCCTGCTCGACGTGCTGCCGCCCCCCTTCCCGCCCCCGCTGCTCTGTTTGCGTGCTGCCTCCCCTGCCGTACGGCTCCCCCCTCCCCAGGTGCTGACGCTGCTGTACACGGGCCCGGTGCTGGCGTGCATGACGCTGGTGACTGGGGGCACGGGGTTCGTGCTGATGCGGTTCCTGCTGGGCGCCTCGCTGGGGCTGTTCGTGGTGGCGCAGTGAGTGGGGCGGGGGAGGAGCGGGGCGGGGGAGGAGCGGGGCGGGGGCAGGGGAGGAAGAGAAAACTAACTGGAGTAGCTTTGGGGCGGGAAGGGCGGGGAGAAGGGAAAGGAGAGCGGCCTCATGCGGCCCAGATAGGCTCCCACCCCTCCTTCCCAAACTCCTGACGTCTCCTCGCCGCGGCCCCTCCTCGTCCCTACCCTCCCCCCTGTCATCCCCCCCACCCCTTCCGACCCCGCAGGTGCTGGGTGGTCGCCATGTTTGACTGGAGCGTGCTGCGTACGGCAGTCAACTCCGCCGCGGGCCTCGTCAGCTCCGGCGGCGGATTAGTCATGTTGCTCGTACCGCTGCTGTACATCGGTGTACGGCCGCTGTACGGCGGCAGCGACGAGGCCGCCTGGCGCGCCACCTTCCACATCCTCGCCGCCGCTTGCATCGTGATCGCCGTACTGACGCTCATGTTTGGGCAGGACACTCCCTCGGGAGATCTGCTGGATCCGAAACCAGCCCTCCCTGCCAACTACTACATGTCGTACAGGATCCGGGAGAAACCCAATATGGCTGCTGCTGCTGCTTCCCCGCGGCGGCACCCGGAGGAGGAGTACGGCTACAAACCCGCTATCGCGATCTCGCCTGGCGGCGCCGCTGCTGCTGTCGGCACGTTCGGCCACCAACAGCAGCCCTACCCGCAGCTGCAGCAGCAGCAGCCTCACATGCTGGTAGTTGAGGGTCCGGGACCGACAGCGGAGGCGCGGGTGTCGCCGGGGGGCGGGCAGCGTGCCGGAGGTGGGGGTGGGGGTGGGTTGCAGGAGGAGGGGGATGCGGACTCGGGCCCCGCGCTGTGGAGGCGCAGGGAGCTGCAGCAGCTGCTGAGGCGGGAGACCTCGCGGACCCGGCAGCCGCTGCTGCGGCAGGCGCAGCAGCAGCAGCAGTATATACGGGAGCAGCAGCAGCAGGGGTCACCTCCACAGCAGCAGCAGCATGCATGGGAGCAGCAGCCGCCGCTGCACCCCCACCTGCACGACCAGCTGCAGCAGCGGCCGCACCATCATCCCCACCATCCCCACCCCCCCCATGACAGCCACCCGCAGCAGCCCCAGCAGCAGCCGCACCGCTCCCACCCCCATCCGCCCAGCCACATGCACCACACGCAAGCGAGCCCAGCACCCTGCCACCAGCAACCGCAACTCCATCCACAGCAGCAGCAGGAGCGGCCTTCCCCACCTGCGGCGGTTGGAAGAGCCAAGTGCGGAGCTCAGGTGGGCGACTCGGCGGACGTACCCGGGGGCAGCTGCCCACCTCCTCCGCTGGGGGGACCCCCCGCACCTCTAGCGACTGCAGAAGCAGCAACCGCGGCACCAGCAGCAGCCGGGGACAACGCGCCCGAGCCCTCTCTGCTCCGAAGCTCCATCGCCGCCGCCGCCGCGGCAGCCGCCTCCAACCACCCCCAAGCAGCCGACCCGACCCCGGACCTCCCCTTGCTGTCTGACCAGCACCAGCCGCCCCACCCGCCGCGCACCTCCACTCCCGCACACCGCGCTACCAGTGGTGGAGGCGGCGGCGGGAGCAGCAAGGAGGGTGCTGCGGGTGCTGCTGCCAAGGGCGTCACGGGTCCTCTTGCCGCCACCTCTCGAGGTCACCTCTCCCAGGGAGGCATGCAGCAGCAGCAGGGGCAAGGAGCTGGCACTCCCAGGCCCCGCTCGACCACCGGAGGGAGTGCGGGCGCGGTGCGGCGCAGCGGTGACATGGGGGCGGCGGGAGAGGCGGGTGCGGGTGCGCGGCGCTCCAGTGCGAGTGGGGGCTCGGAGGGGTCGGGGCGCAGCAGCGACAGCGGGGCGGCGCAGCAGCGGCTGGAGGAGCACGTGCACCTGTACGGCATCGTACTGCGGAACCCCATCTGCTGGATCCTGGCGTTCAACAACGGGTGAGGGAGGGAGGGAGGAGGAGGGGCCAAAGGGAAACCAACCCGCAGCTCCCTCCCCTGTGCTTCCCTCTCGCCCCCCTGATTTCCCGCCCTCTTTCACCCCCAGCACTGGCAAATACCAAACCCCTGCTAACCCCCTTTCATCCTGTCCTGCCCTGCCCTGCCCTCTTTCCCCCCACCCGTTCAGCTTCACCTTTGGTGTGCAGCTGGTGGTCTTCAACGTGCTGCCCATCTACCTCACCGACGTGTTCAGAATGGGAGTCATGCGGGCGGGCTGCGTGGCGTGTGTGTTTGGCCTCTCCAACATCGTCACGCGCGTCAGCGGCTGCCAGCTGTCGGACGGGCTGAGTCGGCGGTACGGCATGCGGGGTCGGCTGTGGCTGCTGTGGGGGCTGCAGGCGGCGGGAGGTGTGTTTTGCGCGCTGCTGGCGAGTGTTGCGAACAGCAGCTTCGGAGGCACCGTGGTGCTGCTGATCCTGTTTGCGGTGTCCATCCAGTTGGTGAGGGGGGGTGAGGGGGGCTGACTGTAACAACTATAGTTGGAGGGTGGGTCAGGGTGGATAAAGCAAGTACTCCTAATACCGCCCATCCTGTGGCGCGGCCCTCTGATACCGTACTCCCGGGCACCTGTCCTGCTGCTGCTGCTGCTGTTGGCTACATGCGTGTTGTTGCCTTCAGGCTTACGCAGCCCCCCCCCCGCTGCTATCCCCAATGCTTTGCCCTAACCTGTGGTTTCCTATGGTTCGGTATGTTCGTTGACCCCCCGCTGCTGCTGCTGCTGCTGCTGCTGCTGCCCCTCCCCTTTCGGGTATATCTCTGACCCCCTCTCCTGCCCCCCGCCCCCGCTGCCCCCAGGCCTGCGGGGTGATGTTCTCCATCACCCCCTTCGTATCCTACCGGGGCTATGCGGTGGTGGCGGCGGCGGTGGCGGCGGGCGGCCAGGTGGGGGCCGCGGTGCTGCAGGGCGCCTTCTTCACGCAGGCGGGGTGAGAGGAGGGGGGGAGGGGGGCTTAGGGAGGGGTTTAGGAAGGGGTTTAGGATAGCGAGCGGAAGGGGGAAAGAGAGAGAGGACGCCCAGCGGTCACGATGGCAGGTGTCGCTTCGTGTCGCGCAGCTCCTCCTCACCTCATACACCCACACCTACTCCTCGGCTCCTATGGCGTTTATGTGGGGACTGTGGGTCATCCTCCGGCAATCACAGTAAGTTCCGACTCGCGGCCGCTTTCCTTAACACACGCAGCGGTGGGTGTATCCCTATCCGGTATCCCCCCCCCTATGCCTCTTGCAAAGCTGCAACCCACTTACCTCCCCTCATTCCCCCGCGCACCTCTCCCCCACGTCTTCCGCAGCTTCTCCTACAATCGCGGCTTCCAGTTCATGGGCATCGCCTCCGTGGTTGCCTCCGCCTCTCTGCTGCTGCTGCGGTTCCCCATGTGGGGCGGCATGCTGGCGGGCCCCAGTGACACGCAGGCGCACGACGAGTGGGCGGAGGAGCGCTACTACGCGCGCGAGTGGAGCGAGATGGAGCGCGCGCAGGGGCTGGCGGAGGCGGCGGCGGGGTTCGCATGGCTGGCTAAGGCGGAGCGGCCGCCGCGGCGGGGCCTCAGGGGGGCGGTTGCGGTGGGGGGAGCGGAGGTGGGGCAGTATGCGTGCTGCTGAGGGGGGTGAGGGGTTGGGAGGGGGCTGGAGGAGGTGGAGGGTGGCGTTGGGGTGGTGTGGGGAGGGGCTGGGGGGAGGTGTGATTGGGCTTCTTATGACCAAAGGACCGGAAATGAAGACCAGTTGTGAAGCTCGCTGATGCTGCTTCAGAGGTACAACTGTCGGTGGGACCGTAGTCTTGTATACTGCTGTGTGAACATGTTTTTGCAATGCTGGGCATGGTAAACAGAAGATAGCAGCAACAGCGGCTGTTCGATAACACCTTCACATCACAGCTACACAGCTGCTAGCGTGAATCACTGCATGCGCACGATGTGCGGCCCCGCCTCGTGCCTCCCTCCCTACACTTAGGTCAACGCTGCAGGACCCAACTGCAGGGGGGGTCGCAGCCGAGAGTATGGTATCACAAAGTACTGTGTCTGCGACGCTCACGCCTGTCGCTGCTTTCCGGACGTTTCGTAACGTGCTTTACGATCATGTGTTTGGTGCCACGACGAAGGAGCAAAGCAGTGGTCGGATGGTTCAGGGGCGAGCCTTGCGAACTGCTTGCACTTGCTGTTTGGTGGCTTTTGAGTGGGGGCTTTTGGAGCCGCTCTTGGTGCGGCTTGGAGGGCGCAAGGTGCTGCTTGGCTGGCGGGCAGGCTGCTGCCTGGCTGGGGCTTAGCAGAGCGGTGTGGTCGGATGTCGGTTCCGCTCGGGGGGCGTATGGGTTGTTTTGGTGGCGGGAGGCGTGGCGGCGGGGAAGCGTCAAGGCAACTCGACTCGAAGGCATCAGGGGGGTTGCTTGAGCTTGCTTTAAATGTTTCATTTGTATTTGTATATTCAAATATCGCTTGGGAGATTGTGTGTGTTCACACAATTGAACCCTAGCGTCGTATTTCATCATGTTGCATGCATCGTGCTTTGTCGTCCTCAACTTGCTGCATGGAGGTCCGGTCCGGGGGTCTGTGTTGGGGACTGGTAGGGTGGTGTACGGTGGCTGGGTGGAGGAGGCGGGGTTGCAGTTGCAAGGGCATTGCTGTGGCCTGCGGTCCATGACCCATGGGTCTTTTCCTATGTGGGTGTGAACCTCCGGATTTCTCCGAATTCACTTGCATGTATGTATTGCGTGGGCAAGTATGGATACACGTCGAAGTAAAGCGGTCCTGGCAGTACCACTAGGGGGTGAAGAGTGTGACGTGCAATGCAGCAGACGCTGTCTGGCAGTACCACTGCATGTAGGTAGAGGGAGATCATAGAAGATGACAATTTAACAACCTTCTGCGAACATGCGAGTAGCGATTTCGCTGCTACCTCCTACGGAATAGCTGGCGTGCTGAACTGCCCGGTGTTTCGGCACACGCACTCGCATCTTCATGGGGTGGTTGTCGTTGCTTGCGGTGCCTTGCTTGACCCTCTTCCGTACGCGTGTACGTGCGGTATGCCCGTGATCCGGCTTAGGCAGCGAACTGAAAACTGAACATGGTTGGGGGACACAGTTAATAAATGGAGGTACCTTTCATACCTCCTTATGGTATGGTACCACCTGCAGATTGGGATTGGGGCGGCTGGTGCTGCAGTCGTGTCTGAGCTCGGACCTACGGGCGGTCTGCGCACCGGTATATGGGGCAACGACGTGACGAGCCGAGTGATAGTTCGGGCGTGTGAGGGCGAGAGCGGCTGTGGGGTGTAAAGAGGAAACAACTAACTGGCCGTGTGATAAGGCGGCATCATGGTTGTGATTGTTGGGTGTGTGCGACGTACGGTGAAACAGTCGTCGTGTAGAGCAGTTGCCCACAATTGCAATACGTCCTTGCCTGTTCTCGGTGTGATGCTCGTGTCCCTGCTGTCTATGACGAGTCCTTTCGACGCCTGTAGTAAGCTATAAATATCAACAGTCTACCGCTCGCTAGCCCTTACGCCAGCCCTTCACGAATCCCGCCTTGCGTCGTACAACACGACAGGGGTCTGGCACAGCCGTGGGCGTACGGACTGAAGAATGCTCGCGGCGCAGGAAGCGGGTTGCAACTGGTTTTGTTCCTGTCCTTGCGGAGGAAAGCGTTGAGAAGGTTGCCGTGTTCTAGTTACCGATGTAGCCTTAGCTTAGTAAGCACGCACCTGGCAACAGCTGGGATAGGAGTGTCCAGCGCCAGCAAGTTGTACGAAACTGAAGCTAGCTTGCGACCGGGGCTAGCGGCGTCTGGCTAACCCTAGACCGCACTTGGAGTACCCGTATGAGGTTGTGGTGCGGGGAGTTGGCGTGGACGGAGGTGCAGAAGGGTGAGCGGGTGGGATAGATTATGTCCGGGTCTGTTAGCAACTGAGGCACTGCAAGAATGGGTACACTTGATGACGTGAGGTGAAAACCGCCGTACTGTCACCAACCCCTTTCATGTTGCAGGAATTGCAGGTGTTATGCCTAGGACCTACTTGGCTACTGATATTGTTGTATGCCCAACGTACCTCTTACGGATCGAGGTATTGCCAAGTCACAAGACGTTTGTGGTCTCATACTTGTCTACAACAGCAGCGATGAAGGCCCATGCCTACTTGTTCTTTAATTATTAGGAAAATGCATTTGTCTTCAACATCAGCTTACGGCGAGAAACGCACTCGCGTGGAATGGAGGTCCTCCCCGCAAGGAGTGCGTTCATGTGGAAGACGCGCTCTTCACGTCTCAGCTGCTGGCCAGTGGTCAATTGGCAGCATTATCGGGGCTATTCAGGGCGCTTACGAAGATAAGGTCGGGATACGCCCATGACATCGTTGGGCAAGTCGCTGTCTTGCAGTTAGCCCTTGGCACTCATTCACGTTTATGTACTTGTTTGTATACCTTACAGGTGCCAGTACAAGGTTCTCCTTCCGCTGTAGTCTCCGGCCCTCAACCAGAGCTGCCAACGCTTGCTTCATTACCAGCAACGTTTCAACGGCTAGATTCGCAGCTTGTGGTGCTGTTGGATCCGAAACATGAGCGCCTTGTATACCTTGTTGGTGTCGATCAAGCCAGCGGCACAGACGCCATCGTGTCTCAGGTGAGCACTGCTTGCACGTCATGTCGCAACCATCCGCGCAAGCTGCTCCTGCGTTCACAGGCATTCCATTGGGCAATGTCGTGGGAACGTCCTCCCCTTACAACGCACGTTCCTTGTCATTCCGACATCCCAACCGCACATCCCAAGTCGCCTCGAAACCCTCACAAAGCCAGCCGCGCTCCCGTTCCCCCACATGCATCGGACCCTCCGAACGCCGTGTATGCTTTTACGAGCGGGTGTTGGGTGGCCTTAAACCTGAAAGAACCCTTGGACCTGACAACCTAAGAGCCATGACCCACTACATATCTTCGCAAACGCCTCGCCGCGCCTCTCCCCACGGCGCGCCTCCTCTTCCTGCCGTCTAAGCCACAATTTACACCCCCCACGCACCCCCTCCCCATCGCCCTCCTCCCCACCGCAGCTGCGCCCCCTGCTACGTGCGGCCTCCGCGCCCTACCTGCACCTCATGGCGCTGTCCGCCCGCCTGCGCTCCGCACTGCTGAGGGAGGTGAGACAGCCCCCGCCCGCCCCCTTCCGCGCTTCGTTGGGTATTCTTCTTTCCCCCGTGCCTCGCTCCCTGCTTCGCTGCCTGTTCGACCAACTGCGTTTCCGGTCGCGCGCAGTAGCCCGTTACCCGTTCACAGCACGCCACCGTGCCTCCAACAACCGTCCTCCCGCACTAGCAACCCAGTCCTTAACAACATGTCCTGCTCCCTGCTCCCTGTGCATTCACCCCTGCTTCACCCCCCCCGCCCCCCGGCCCCCAGTTCCCGGGCGGTCGGCCCATCATCACGCAGGTGCCGCTGCCGGCGGGGGCAGCAGCCAGCCAGGGGCAGGAGGCGGGGCCGGCGGCAGCGGAGGAGGCGGCGACAGCAGCAGCAGCCGGGGAGGGTGGGAGCTCGGGCCAGGAAGGAGGGGAGTACAGGGAGTACGAATTTCCTCGCGGTGGCGTGTTGGAGTGGCTGTACGGCAGCAGGGAGCAGCAGCAGCAGCAGAAGGAGCGGCGGCGGGAGCAGCAGCAGCGGAAGCGGGCGGTGGGTGGTGGTTTGTCCTCGTACGATGCTGGTGAGGAAGAGGAGGAGGAAGGGGGCGCGGCTGCTGCCCCCGACTCGGACACGCCCGACGAGGTGATGTCGCGGCGGCGGAAGCTGCCGACCCACATGGCATGGCTCAAGGTGGGGGTGGGGGGGTGCGACACCCGCTGCGAGGGGTGGGGGGGGGGGGTGCGACACCCGCTGCGAGGGGTGGGGGGGGGGGGTGCGACACCCGCTGCGAGGGGTGGGATTGGGGGGGTGCGAAGGGCGGGGCTCTTCCGGCGGCTTGTCGATGTGCACACGACGATTAGGGAAGGCGTCCGGACTCGACTCACATCGCACGCAACGCCGCAACCCGCCACACGGGAGCGTGTCGATCCCACCCTGCGCCCGCACCACCCGAACCCCTGTGCGCTGCCGTACACACACCCCCCGCAAATCCCTGCCCCCCGCAACCCCCCCCTTTCCCCCCACCCTCCTCAGGGGAGCTCCCAGCGCGTGGCGCTCTCCCGCGAGCGTCGCGCGCCGTACCGTCTGGAGTGGCTGCTGGGTCAGCTGGGCAGCTTCGGGCCGCTCAGCATCGCGGTGGCCACCGACGACATCATCTTCGTGCGCAACGCGGTGCTGGCCAACTGGGCGACGTGAGTGGGAGGGGGGAGGAGGGGGCGGGGGGCGGGGGGCGGGGGAAAGCCTGCAGGGGTGGGCAAGCAGGCTGAGCTGAACCGGTGTGTTCCATGGGCGCCTGCTGGGGGGTCGGGTGCCTGCTGGGGGGTCGGGTGCCTGCTGGGGGGTCGGGCGGAGGTCCGGGGCCGGGTGCCCCACAGATTACCCTTGCATCATCGCCTGTAGGTGGGTGTGAGGAGTCACCTTGCAGCCCCGACCCGCGGTATGCTGCTGCAGCCCCGACCCGCGGTATGCTGCTGCAGCCCCGACACGGCTGTGGCACCGGTACCTGCTGCTGCTGCTGCTGCTGCTGCTGCTGCTGCTGCTGCTGCTGTTGACACATCCTGTTCCCCGCAAACCCAACGACTCACCGCCCCCAACCCCCGTGCTGCGCCCCCTACCGTCCGCCCGCCCGCCCCCGCAGCGACTTCGACCCCTCCGACTACTACGGCGAGCTCTTCCAACACCTGCTGGAGCTGGGGGAGGAGGGGGAGGAGGGGGAGGGCGGCGCGGGGGAGGAGGAGCAGCGGGGGCCGCTGGGGGTGGTGGGTGGCCCCGCGGGTGCGGTGCTGGCGGCGGTGCAGGTGGATGAGGGCGAGCCGCGGGACCTGCGGGGGCTGCTGCAGGTGGGTAACAGCAGGGGCGAGGGGCAGGGTGGGGCATGCGGGCTGAGCCATGCGGGCTTACTCGGGTGCGAGGGTGTTGTGTGTGTGTCATGCGAGGTGCAGTGTTGGCAGGGTGCAGGGTGCGCAGCCGCCTGCTCAGTGTGTGTGTGGCCCCGCGCACCTCCGCCCGCCCTGCAGGCCATCGGGGTCATCGGCGCCGACAGCGACAGTGAGGAGGAGGATGAGGACGACGAGGAGGAGGCGAACGTGGCGGAGGAGGAGCATGGCGAGGGCGAGGGTGGCGGCGAGGGTGGAGGGGTTACTGTTCTGGCAGACGGCGACGACGAGGAGGAGGACGCCTCGGATGCTGACGAGGAGGAGGAGGGGGAGGGGGAGGAGGGCGGTCTGCCGCCTGTGTTGCGCATCCTGCGGGGCCCCCTGCTGCCCTCCTTGCAGCACCAGCCGGCAGCTCCCCCACAGCCCGCCATGCAACTCCTGCCTACCAGCAGCGGCAGTGGCGGCGGTGCATCTGGTCCTGATCCTGCTGCGGAGGATGGCGAGGTGGAGGGTGAGGTGGAGGTGGAGGGTGAGGCGCGTGTGCCGCCCCCTGCCGCCTCGCTGGAGCTGCTCTTGGCGGGCGCTGCGGGCGGTGGCGAGGAGGAGGCTGCTGGTGGTGGTGATGATGATGATGATGATGATGAGGAGGAGGAGGCTGAGGCGGTGGACAGCGACGATGATGATGACGAGGACGAGGACGAACTCTTCAACTCCTTGTTTGGTCCGGTGCCCGGCTGGCCCGATGCCAACGAGGATGATGACGCGTCCTTCAATCTGGACGCGCAGCTCTCGGGCGGCCCACTGGGCTGGACGCTGTCGCTGCGGGTGCGGCCCGACCGGGGTGGTGGTGCTGCTGGTGGTGGTGCTGGTGGTGGCAGGGGGTTCGGGGGGTTGCGGTGGGGTTCGGGGGTGCTGGCGGGTTGGGGCGAGGCGGGGGGCGAGGGGGAGCTGGAGGGCAGTCGGGCGGCGCTGGAGGCGGCACTGAAGGGTGAGTCGGGGGGGGGAGGGGAGGAGGGCGGGAGCAGGAAACGATGCCGGAGGAGGGGAGTGGGGGAGAGGCGCGAGCAGACAGTTGATGCCCAAGCGGCAGTTGATGCGGCTCAGTGGCGTGGGCGCTGCCCATGGTGCGGTGGTCGCACGCGCATGCGGCCCCTGCATGCGTGCATGCACCTGTCTTCTTCTTCACTGCGCTGGACGCACCCCCACGTGCCATACACACCTGCCCGGCCTAAACCTTAACTCCTGTCCCCCCTCCCTACCTCCCCCCCTCCCCTCGCCCCCCCCCCCACCGCAGTGGACATGGAGTACCTGGCCCACGTGCAGCGGCTGGAGGCGCTGTGGGGCGCAGGGGGGCAGGGGCAGCAGCAAGGAGAGGAGGGACAGGGCGGAGAGGGGAAGGAGCTGGAGCAGGGACGGGGGCTGCAGCAGGAGGAGGAGGCGGAGGAGGAGGACGCGAGGAGGGCGGCGGAAGCCAGGCGGCAAGTCGCTGACCCGCACTGCCCGCAAGGGAAGGAGGAACCCCCAGAGCCGCAGCGGCAGGGGTGCAGCGGACGGCACCCGCCGCCTCCCTCACCCTCAACCTCACCGCCCTCATCACCCTCATCACCCACGTCAGCACCCGGGCGATCACGCAGCCGCAGCCCCACCCCTGGCCGGCCCACCCGCAGCCGCAGCTCGCTGTCCGGAGCCGCGGGCCCACCAGGGATGCGCGCGAGGCCCCCGGCCGGACAGGAGGAGGGGAAGGCGCTGCTCGCGCCCGGCCACCCCGGCGGCGAGGCTCCCCTGGGGTCCATGGGGCAGCCCTCCGGACCCATGGGTCACTCTGCTGGACTCCTGCATGGCTCCGCGTTCGCTCCAAGCACCGCGGACGGCTTGGAAGGGGACCGGCAGGAGGCGGAATCGCACCGGGCTTCCTCCGCCGCTACCACCGCAGGCCGAGCACGCCGAGGTGAGGACGGTGGCGCGAGTCGTGCTGCCGCCGCTGCCGCTGGTTTAGGCGGCAGTAATGAGGAGGAGCCTGCGCCGCCAGCAGAGCGGCTGGTGCGGCGCCCCGTCTGGCGGCCGCCCAGTCCCGGCGGGGCAGCTGCAGCAGCACCAGCAGCCGAGGAAGGGAGCCAGCAGCGGGGTGCAGCTGCCACCTCCCCCGACCCCGATGCCACGGCTGCGGGACCGGTGTCTGCGTCAGCGTCGGCTTCTTTGCCAGCGCCGGCGCCGCTGGAGGGTGTGGTTCGCAGCACCCGCCTGCCCCGTGGAGCGGATGCCCCCAACTCCGTCGCCGGCAGCAGCAACAGCAGCAGCGGCCGCCTTACCGTTGACGGCACGGCCCCGGGCAGCAGCAGCACTAGTAGCAGTAGCGCGGGCGGCGTGGCTGGCCGAGCAGACGCTGCGGAGAGCGCTGCGTCGGAGGCAGCGGCTGGTGAGGGCACCGGTGGGCCGCTGTCGGGCCTCTCACAGCCCCGGTCTCGCATGGTGAAACGACCCCGGCGGCCACAGCAGCGGCAGGGGCTGCACCGGCCAGGCAGCAGTGGCGGCGCGGAGGAGTTCCCTCCGCCCTGTGCCGAGGCAGGGTTGGGGCCGTTGTCGCCAGCTCCCACCTCCGCATCTCCGCCACTGCCCGGAGCCTTTGGAGCGGGCAGCCTCAGCAGCAGCGGCGGCGGCACGGACAGCGGTCCCAGCCCCGGGGAGGAGGTCTCCATTCCTGCCTACCGGCAAATGAACCCGCCGCAAATCCACGGCAGCAGCAACATCAGTAACAGCTACACAGCAAGCACTGGCAGCAGCGGCAGTAGCGCCAGCAGTGACGCCAGCAGCTCCCATTCCGCCCCACACCACCCGCCCCACGGCAAGCCGCCCCCGCCACACCCCTGGAGCACCCACCCCAGCAACCCCGGCCAGCAGCCGCATGCATCGGGCCAGTCCCCTCATGCGCCATCCACCGGCGGCGGCGAGCACCCAGCCAACGCGAACATCCACAACAACAGCACCGACAGCAGTAGCAGCAGCAGCACTAACGGCCCCGCCGGCACCTCCCCGCCGCCCTCCTCTCCCCGGCAGTCCGAGGGGGGCGGCCCCGCCGGCCCCCCCGCGCTCCCCCCCGAGGTCAGCGGCTACCGCGCCATGAGTGCGGAGCAGCTGGCGGACTTTGCGTTCGGGCGGAAGGCAACTCCGGAGGACGTGCGCTTCATCGCGCGGGTGTTGCAGCAGATGGAGGCGGTGGAGGCGGCGTTCGAGGAGGTGCAGCAGGAGCAGATGGCGCGGCTGCAGCAGCAGCAGCAGCGGCGGCGGGAGTCGCGGGGGCGGGGGATGGGGAAGGGGCCGGCGCGGGTGGGCATGGGGTTGCGGAGGGCTCGGCAGGTGGCGAGGCGCAAGCGTAGCGGGTTGCTGGCGGGGCGGAGGCGGCTGGGCGTTCCCCCTCGGGTGCTGACGTTGGTAAAGGGGGCGGCGGAGGCGGCGCCGGAGGCGGGGCCGGGGGCCGTGGAGGAGGTAGACGGGAGGGAGGGCGGAGGCGAGGAGGGGCCGGCTGCGGCGGCTGGAGAGGTGCAGCAGGCATGTGGGGAGGAAGCCAGGACGCCAGGTCCAGCCGGGGGGACCAGTCAACATGTTGGCGGAGGAGGAGCAGGAGGAGGAGGCAGCAGGGGTGCTGGCAGCCTCGGGGCTCTGGCGGCGAGCGTAGGCCGCTTCGTGGCCGGGCTGCCGTTGCTCGCCGTCCGGGCGCTGGAGCAGGGACTAGGCCTGGGCGTCGTGCCCTCCGCCCTGCCACAACTGCCACCTCCATCAATGAAAGAAGAAGAAGAAGCGCCGGCGGTGTCTGCGCCCCTGGGAGCCGCACAGCCGCCGCCGAGCCCGCCGTCCCTCCCAGCCCCAGCCGCCACTGCTCCGCCCAGCACCGAGCAGCTGGCGGCGGAGGCGGCGGTGGCGGCGCTGTACTCCGCCTCCCCGCAGGACCGGCAGCTGGCTGAGGCGTTAGTGGCCTTCCTCCGGGGCAGGAAGCCTAAGCAGCAGCAGCAGGGGCGGGGTGGGGCGGTGCGCGCCCCGGCGGTGGTGCCACCCGGGTGGGGTGGTGAGCAGCCCCCCGGAGGGCTGCTGCGCCCCCCCGGCGGCAGCAGCGGGCTGCCAGGTCTGGTTCGCGGTCGTGACGCGGTGGTTGTGTTGCCTCGGGAGCTGCTGGCGGTGGCGGCGGGCGCCTGGCAGGAGGCGGAGGAGGCGCTGATGCACCCCGAGGTGCTGGCGGGGCGGCGGGGGAGGCGGCAGCAGCGGGGGGGCTAGGGCGGGTGCGAGGGAGCGGTTGGGTTTGTAAGCAGCAAGAGTAGGGCGGCCACGGCTGCGGCTGGGGCGGTGCGGGTTGTTCGCTGGGCGCACTGCTTTGCAGTTGCTGCGATGTATATTAGCAGGGCGCTTCTGGGTACCCGCAAGCGGCAGCCTTGCCAGGTTACCTTGTGTGTTTTTGTGGTCCGGCAGGTTACGGCCACTTGGTTTGCGGTTGGTGGGCTGAACGTCAAGAGCGTGTGTTTGTGTAGCGAGTATTTCTTCCTGCGTTTGGTTTGCTGCTGTTTTGGACGTGCGTACCTCATCATCTCCCGCGCAGGCGGTCAGCTTTCCTTGCATGCATGGACAGCGGCGGGAGCGAAGCTCTGCGTGTGGTGGGCGTGTGCTGTTCAAGTGATGCGAGTGGTGACAGGTGAGGAGCGGGTGAGGAGCGGGAGCCGTGTGGATGGGCGTGTACCCGCGAAGCAGCGAAGTCTACTCACCGGTACCCGTGTCGGGGCGGAGGGCCGAAGCAATTGGCAGCATACTGCCGCGCGACTCCCGATGATAGAGTCTTGATAGTGCCCGGCACACCTGTCCTGTTAAGAGAGCTGCGTGGGTGGCGTGTGGTAAGAAGACTGGCCGAGAGTTGGGTGCTGTTGTGGGCGCTGTTCTGGCGTGTGGGGGTGCTGTGTGCTGTCCTGTGCGGCATCTCCGAGCATTGGCGTGGTAGGGTGCACTCTGACAGCTGTGGGGCATCCATCGTCGCCGATCTCCTTTTGAGTTGGCTAGTACCGGAGTGTTAAGCATGGTAGTGTGGCTGTATGAGGGCTGTTGTCCCGGTTTCAATGCTGGAAAATGTCAATAACTCTGTGAGAGGAGTGGTAAACAGTACAAAGCTAATGGCAGGAAGCCTTTGATGCCTGAGTGGGAGTATGAAGAAGTGTGTAGGTAGCGGTGTTCATGCGAAGAAGTACAAGTCGGGTGGACACTAGTCGGGTGGCTACCGTACCGCCCGACTGGAGGTGTACTACTGGAGACGTACGAGTGTGGCTGAGCAGCTGAGTCGGTTAGTGCTGTTACCTGTCTTCATTCGTCGGGAGGGCAGCAGGGAAATGGTCTTGAGGAGCGAGGATTGTAGGACACGTGTCTCGGTGCCGGTAATGACGTGCGATGTCGTAGATGACAGTCCCTTCGGAACGTCGAAGGGGAAACCAGTACCGGCAGACCATGTAGATATTCTTCGACATCAAAGTTTGGGTTGTCAGCAAAGCCGGTGCCAGCTGGCCTTTGACCAGGGAGGTGAAATGACGTTCGCGACGTAGCAAGCTCAGCGCATCAGGTGCTTCAAGAAGCTGGTTACAGCGAGTATTGTGTTAAACAGCTGGCGTGTGCCCTGAAACAGCCGTTTGGGCACCACCCGTGTATTTTTGTGGCATGGCAGCCGATGGCAGCGACACCTAAGTCGAGCAGTGTCGGTTTAACAGCTTAATATCAGGAAAACGAAACCGGTTTCGCCTGCATATCGTCGCCCTGGAAAGGTCCGCGATTAAATCATCGTGGCCATGACGGGCCAACGGTAGCTCTGCCGACGGTTGGTAATCGGATGGTACGCACTAGCTTCAGACACCGAAGCCCCCATTGCATACAGCATGCTGCAATGTGTACCGCCTATCCCGCATCGGTCACTCCAGTTCGCAGTTAAAGAAGAACTGTTGCTACTACTAAGGGCCTCGCGGTTAAGCGCATGTTTTCTGTAGTTATCTTTTGGTGCACTGAATAGATACCGGTAACACTATCTGCTCTTACTCTGATCGGTCATCGCTTGCATTAACTTGTTATAGGAATCCGCTCTCACAGACAACAAGTGAAGATGTGCTATATATAACAGCAAGTCCATAGCGCATTCGTTGGTGGCTAAGGTCACCTAACGGGACCACAGAGCAGCGCTTACAGTGTTTTTTGGAAGCGTCCGGCCGCCATGTCTGTGCCGGCGGTCGCTGAGGAGTTTAGCCTCACAAAGACAATAGAGGCTCTACGGGCAACAAGAGAGCTAGATGTTAATCTGGCAGGTTGGTATACGTGTCCTCGAGCGTTCATGCCGCATGCATGCCTCATAATGACCGTATGGCACGAGGCAATAGTTTGCTTGCTGGGCTTTTCGCTACAAAGTCAAGAAGAGGGGGGTAGCGTGTCCTACGTTTTGGTTTCAACTGGGACTCATCGGTCCTTTTACACTCGCCGTCCGACCTGTGCTCCTCTTTGCCCATTTATCCGGCGCCCCCTCATGGATAGCGGCCCATCGCCCCAATCCCTGCGTTTCGTTCCTTACCGCAAGACCCGCTGCTTAGCTCTTGGAAAGTCCTGCGTTCGCATCCGCAACGATCCTGCTGCATTAACCAGCATGCGTCCTTGGGGCTTGGCTTGTTTCCAGCGGTCGGGGCCCGGCTCCACAGTAGCACCCAATTCGCACCAGGATTGTCTGAATGACAGACCCGTTGTATGATACTCCTGCTGGAGGCCGTTGCCCTCCTGCCCAGCACAACCTTAGTGCGCCCAAACATGTCTTCCTCCGCTCAGGTTTAAAGGCACTGCGCGGGGCGGTACGGCAGACCGGCCCCCAGGGGTGGCAGCACCTCCTATCGTACATTCGCTCCTCGCCGTGCTGCTGGGAGCTGACCAACATCTGGGAGGCGCAATCGAGCACAAAAGACCCACGGGTCTTTCCGGAGCTCTTGCTCCTGGTCTCCGATATCATCTCCGCCAAGCCCCCAGCACCATCCACGTCAGCAGCAGCAGCAGCAACGGCGGCATCCAAATCTGGCAGCAGCAAAAGCCGCAAGAGCGGCGGCAGCCGCAGCGAATCAGTCGGCGCTGCTGCCGCCGCCGAGGACACGGCCGCCGTCGCCGCCGCTGCGGATCGCTCGTTGGTTGAGTCGGCGCAGCAATCGCTCCTCGCCGCCGCACTCGGCCGCCGCCTGAAGTCGCTGTACAGCTGCCTAGGGGCGGACGACCAGCGACTCACCAATGCGGCGCTTCAACTTCTGTCGGCAGTGGCGGCGTGCAGCACCGCGGCGGCCCGCGATCTGGCGGCGGCCTTTGACTGGTCGTTGACCGCACTCACTCGGATCTGCCGACCAGCCAAGCCCGCTGCCGACGGCAAGCCGGCCAAGGGCAAAGGCACTGCTTCCGGCTCCTCCGCCGCTGCATGGAACAACCCCAACGTGCTGTCGCGGCCCCGTCGAGCAATGTTAGTGGTCTTGTGTCGGGCACTGATTGGCAGCGCAGATCATGCCACGTTGGCTCGTCTGCTGCCGTTACGGGCGCTTACGGGCGGTCTGCTGAACCACCTGGCGGCGGACCCGCCGGCGCAGGCGTTACAGACACTGACGCTCCTGGCGCGCCGCGTGCTGGCGCCCGCCGCCGCCGGCCTGCCGCCGCGACTGCGAGGCGAGCCATTCGGCGACACCGCACTGGGGCAGCTCGCGCAGCTGGCGGCGGCGAGTGACGAGCTGGCGGCGGCAGCGGCTGGCGCTGCGACGACGACGGCGCCGGTCGTGCTGGCGGCGGAGGCGGCGTTTGAGGTGCTGGTTATGCTGTGCACGGATCCCGCCAACGGCCTCGTGACCCATGGGCCAGAGCTCTCAAGCTACGACGCCAGCAGCGGAGCTCCTCCGCCGGCACACCAGCAGCAGCAGTTCGGTTCCGGCGTCAAACGGGTGCTACGGCTGCTGCCGCGGCTACAGCCCCTGGAGCGCGTACGACATGCTCGATTGCTCAATGCGGTTGCGGACCACTGCCCCTGGCTGGCAGCGGAGTTCGCTAGCTCGCTGCCGTACGACCTGCAGCCGCGACTGAGTGCGCGCTGGGTCGCCGCAATGACACTGGCGGCGCGACTGACCGCCGCCGCCGCCGTGGCGCCGTCGCCGCTGCTCGCGAGGCTGGCGACGGCGGCGGCGGAGCGGGCTGCGCCGCCGTCGTTCGATTCGCCGCAGGTCCGAGCGCACCTGCGCTGCTGCCTGCCGCCGGCGCTATCAAAGGTGGGGTCCTGTGGATTAATCGGTTAGTTGGTTGCAGGTCGCGTGGGCCAGTGGTTGGGTTGCACAACGCATGGATGTGTGCCCTCAGCGTTTTCGTAACCCCTTCCGCCTGACCGCTGTCCTATCCACCCCTCCGGCGCTGCCCACAACACCACTGCCTGCAGGCATTCCTGTCCCGCGGCGTGCAGCACGGCCGACCCGTGGTTCAGTCGCTCACACTCGACACACTTGCCGCCATGTTGCGCAGCGTCGAGCCCCTCGTGGCGGCGGTACGAGCCGGACACGCAGCCGCAGTCGCTGCCGGGTCCCCCACCGCGTCCGCCTGGGCGCATTTCCACCGTCGCGTGTGCAACACCCTCCGCGCTCGCCTCCCGGACCTGCAGACCTACCTGGCGCTGCATGCAGTGCTTGAGAAGCAGCAGGGCAGCGGTGGGACAGCAGCAGCGGGGGCGCCAGCAGCGGCTGATGGAGGAGGAGGTGGTGGTGGTGATGGTGGTGGGACGCAGCGGCAGCAGCAGAAGAAGCGGCGGGGTGGCGGGGATGTGAACGGCGGTGACGCGATGGAGGTCGATGAGGAGCAGGCGGCTGCTGACGAGGAGCGGGATGAGGAGGAGGCGGAGGAGGAGGCGGAGGCTGGGGACGGAGAGGATGCCTCGGCGCCTGAAAGGGGAAGCGGGGCTGCTGCAGCCGAGCTGGCGGAGGCGGTGTTTGGCGCTGCGACAGCCGCCCGGCCGCAGCGCGTGCGTGTGGCTGTGCTTGTGCGGCTGCTGGGTGTGGTGGCTGGGAGCTGCCGACTGGTGCCGGATGCGGTGGCGGAGGCGCACCTGGACCCCGTGAGGCTGCTGCCGGCGGTGCGTGGGCTAATGAGAAGGGAGCTAGGGAGGCTGGGGGCGGAGGAGGGGGAGTGCACACGCCGACGTGTGTCCCGCGAGGAGTGGGGTGGGTGCCCACTGAGGCAGGTGTTTGGGGCTGTGTGTGCTTATGGTAGGTGTTGCCTGAGGCAGGGGGGCGTCGTTTTGTTCTGGACCCCCAGGATTCCAGTGCCCGCTGCCCCCCTGCCCCCCTCGCGCTCTCTCCATCATGCCCCCCCCAACTTTGCCCTAACTTGTGGTCTCCTATGGTTTGGTATGGTCTTTGACCCCCCCAACAGGATGTGTTGGCGCTGGAGGAGCCGCTCCAGCTGGCGCTGCTGTCGGTGCTGCAGGCGACCTCCTCCTCCTTGAGTGGAGCAGCAGCAGCAGCCACCTCCGCTGCTGCCGCTGCTGTGGTGGCAGCTCCGCTGAGCACAGCGCTGGTGACACCGCTGCTGCGACTGACCAGCCGGGCGGCCTCGCCTGCCGTGCGGGCAGCAGCGGGTGAGGGGGCGGAGAGCTTGAGGTTTGACTTGTGCCGCCACTCCCAGCAAGTTGCCCTACCTGCCGACTCGTGCTGACTTCCTTGCACTTCAACGCCTCTCGCTTTGTTTGAATTGTTTCCCTCCTAGCTTTGTCTCGCCTCGCTTTGCCTCCCCACTCCCCACCTTTTTCAATGTTACCCTCCCCCCCCGCCCCCCCGCCCCCCTGCCCCAAGGAGAGCTGCTGCTGCTCCGCCTGCAGGCCCTGGTCTCGAGCTCGGAGGCAGACAGCGCACCACCCTCCTCCACCTCCACCTCCACCTCAGCCGCCGCTGCTTCCACCGCTGCTCGCTGGGGCGCCGACGACCTGGAGTTGCGGCTGTGGCTGTGGATGCTGCCAGCCTGCCCGCCGGCACCCCCCGCTGCCGCTGCTGACAACAATGTCCCCGACACTGCGGCCGCTACCGCTGCGGAGGAGGGGGAGGGCGGCAGCGGCGCCAGCCCCGTACGAGGGGAGGGAGGGGACCGTACGGCGGCTGCGGTACTGGGTTTCTTCGCGGATGTGGTGGTGGGGGCCAGCCGCCGACCTCAGGTGGGGTGGGTGGGTGTGTTAAGAGGACTGGCCGTTAGTAGGGTGGGTGTGTATGTGCGGGTGCAGCGAGGGGGGAGACACATGCGGGCTCCGCGCGCCTCATGGCTTGTGGTGACGGCAGGGGAGTGTGTCATGCTGGTGTGTGCGCCTTGTTACCGTGCTCGGCTCCGGATGAAGGGCCCGACACGGCGTTGAAGCTGTGTGTTGCTGTGTTGCGGGTTGCGGGTGCTTGCAGGACGGCTACGAGCTGACTCAGGCCTGGCTGCCGACCGGGGGCTCTGCGGCGGGCGGTGGTGGTGGGCAGGGAGGAGGAGCAGCAGCGGTCGGAGGGGGCCTCACGAGTCCGCTGCCTGTCCTAGCGCTGCGCAACTGCTTGCGGCTGCTGCGGTCGAAGAGGGCGGGCGGGGAGGCGGAGCGGGCGGCCGTGGCGGCCTATGTGGCAGGTGTGGAGGGGGCGGGGGGGGGAGTCGGAGTGAGGGATCGGGCGGGAAGACAGATAGGAGTGACGTGCGGGGCTGCTGCCGCGCTGCTGTGTTGTCGCCGCTGCAGCGTTCCTCTCGAGGCATGACTTTGGTTGGTTCATTCCGCCGGGCTGTTGGGGATGTGCCGCAGGTGTGCTGCACTTATTGCTGCAGCAGCAGTCCGACCCGTGGGTCATGCTGCACCTCCTGGAGCGGGCGCTGCGGAGCGAGGTGGCGCAGCAGCAGCCGGCGACTGGGGCCACTGGAACTGAAGAAGACGCAGAGGTGAGGAACCTCACTTGCTAACGAGGTTGATCGGTGCTGGTTGGGTTCGGCTGCCTAGTGGACCCAGTAGTAACCCTGATCGTATGTATGACTCATTCTCGCCAACCCCGGTGTCTGCCACAACACCGCAGGTGGCAGTCAGCTTGCCGCCCGAGGGGCGACCGCTGAAGGTGCTGTACGAGTGGGCGGTACGGCACTGCACCGCCGCCACCGCTAGCGTCACGACTGACGTAGCCGAGGCCGGGGCGGCGGCGGCGCCGCCAGCTAAGCGGCGACGGAAGTCCGCATGCCCCTCGGTAGCACCGGACGGTACGGCAGCGGGGGCGGCTGCCCTGCGGGCACCCTGGGGTCTCGGAGCGTTGCGGCTGCGAGTCAAGGAGCCGCTGGTGTGTGGCGAGGCTGGTAACGACGGCAGCGGAGGCGGCGAGGGCGACGGAGGGCTGCAGCAGGCCGCACAGCAGCTGCGGGGTCACGTGAAGGCGGCTGCAGTGGCCGTCAAGAGCGCTAGCAAGGAGAGGGCCAAAGCAGCTGCGAAGACGGGAACCCAGGCAGCAGATGCCAGTGCGGGGGGCCTGCCGCAGGAGGCGATTGCCTCTCTCACGGCGGCAGCATCGGAAGCTGTACGGCTGTTTGCGCTTGGCTGTACGGAACCTGTGCAAGCGCTGGAGCATGCCGTACGGCTACTGCGTCTTGCCGTACGCAAGGCGGCACGGAAGTCGCAAGCGATGCCGGCGAAGGGCGCGACTGACCCACGGGTCGGTGAGGACGGCCTGCAGGACGTCTTCCTTGCGTCCCTGTGGGCGCACGTGTTGTCCCGGCCGCTGACGTCGCTGTGTCTGGGGCCGTCGGAGGTGCTGCGACATGCATGCGAGCACCGGGATGAGGAGGCGGAGGAGGAGGCGGGAGGGTTGCTGCCGTCAGCTGCTGCGTTGGCGGCGGCAACGGGAAGCGGCTGCTTGGGTGTGGGTTCGGGTTCGGAGCTGCTTGGTGGGTGCGAGTGGGGCGGTCAGCTCCCGCAGCTGCTCCTGCGGCAGGCGGAGTTCCGGTTGGCGGCGCGTGAGAGGGAGGCGGGCCGGGCGGGCAGCAGCAGCAGCGCCGTGAACCTGCCCGCAGCTGGCGGCTTCTCCTTCTCCGCTCCGCAGGCATCGCTGCCCTCGCCAGCGCTGCTGGCCGCGGCGCGCAGTGTGCCCTTCTGGCTCCCGGTGATCGCTGCCAGCGGTGACGTCGACGCGGCCTTCAGACTCGTACGGCAGCTGCTGCCGCAGCCCGCAGCGCAACCCGCCAGCAGCACAGCCGCAGCCACCCCGCGGCCACCCTCGACAGCCGCCGCGTCATCACACAACGGTAGCACCCACCAGGTGAACTCGGCAACATCGGCGGCTTCCCCGCAGGCCTGCTGCGGCGCCCTGTGTCACCTGCTCGTCAGCCCCGCGGTTTGCGGCCTTCTAGCCACCCCGCCGGGTTCCTTTCCGCAACCTGCATTGGAAGGCCCCATGCCGGCAACAGCAGCAGTAGCAGTAGCGACGCAGGCCCGTCGTCAAGCCGTCGCGCTCGTGGTGGATGCTCTGGATCTTGCCACGGGAGGGACGGAGTCAGTCCTCGCACGGGCCTGGGGCCCCGCTGCCGCTGCTGCCGTGCGTGCAGTGTGTCGACGGCATGTCGCCGCAGCGGCTCGAGGTCTGCTGTCCCTCCTGAAAGACGGGCAGGGCAGCAGCCGGGATGCAATGGCGGCGGAGGCGGCGGTGACGCAGCTGCTGCCGCTGCTGCGGTGCGCGGATGTACGGCAGCTGCTGCCACTGGCGGAGCATACCCTGGCGGCGGCGGCGGCGCTGCCGTACAATGATGCCTTGGCGGCGCCCGCTGCCGCCTCCGCCTCCGCCGTCGTTACGACGCCGAGTGCCGCCGGTAAGCAGTCCGGCAAGCGGTCGAAGGCCGGGGACACCGCGACGACGACGACGACGGACGCCGGGGCGGCTGGTGCCTCCGCTGCTTCGTGCTGCGAGGCGTCAGGGCGGGAGGGGCCACTCCTGTTGACGACGGCGCTGCAGCTGACGTCAGCACTACTGAGCGATCCGCGGCCTCTCCTGGGCGGACTTTGCGGGGGGTGGTGGCTGGAGGAGCAGGAGGAGGGCGTGGAAGGGGAGGTTGTGGACGTTGAAAAGGGCGGCAGCGGGAGCGGCCGGGAGCGCGTGTGCCGGGTCTTCTCCTCCGTGCAGTCCACGTTGTCACGGCTGGTGGGCACGGCGCTAGGAGGGGAAGGTACGAAGGACAGCGGCGGTAAGGCGCTGCTGGCGGCGGCGGTGGCGGTGGCGGCGGCGCTGCGAGCGGGTCTGCGGGGCCCCGCGGGGCACCTGCTGGCGCTGCACGTGACGGAGGCGGCGCCGGCGGACTGCCTCCGCCTGGTGCCGTACAGCGCCGCCGCCGCTGACGTCGTCGCCGCGGCGCTGGCGTTGGGTCCGCCGGCGCTGCACGCGCGCTTTGCGGCGTCGCTGCCGGCGGCGGTGGCGGAGGCGGAGCAGCGGCGGCCTGGTGTGGGACGGCGGCTGGCGCTCGCGCGGCTGCTGCCGGCGGCGGAGTCGTACTTGAGTCTTGCGGAGGCGGCGGCGGCGGCGGCGCAGCCTGGTACGGCAGCTGCCGTCGGGGACGCTGGCGGTGGTGGTGAGGACGCTGTGTGTCAGGTCTTCCGCGAGCCGCTCCTCGCATACGCGACTCGCAAACAGAGGAAGCCCTCCAGTACGGCGGAGGTGGCGGAGGCGGAGGCGGCGGGTTTCCCCCCGGATGCCACTGCGCTGCTGCGGTCGCATGCGGTTCCGCTGCTGGCCCGGATACTGCGCCTCCGTACCGCGTCTCGCTCCGGAGCCGGGGCGGGGGCGGGTGAGGAGGAGCGCGCTGCGCTGCTGCAGCGGACACTGCCCAAGCTGCTGCCTCCACCAGGTGGGCACTGGGGCACTACAGGTGTCCTAAGGGTGCTACTTGGCTCCAGCATGGGAAGCCGGCAGATCTGTGAGATGTCCATTAGTTTACATACTTGTGGTTACTATCATGGTGGTTGTGTACTGCCTGAAGCCTCTTCTCCATGTGTCCCGACTGAAGTACCCTTCCGTCTCTCCTCACGTGCACCACAGGTTCGCCGTTCGCCCTAGACCGCGAGGAGGCCGCCGACCCGGCGGGTCAGCCGCCCCTCGCCACGTCAGCGGAGCGGCTAGCGCTGGCGGAGGCGCTGCTGCGGATTGGGCTGTCGTACGGCGGCGGTGTCGCCTCCGCCGCCGACCTGGCGGCGGTGGGCGCGGTGGCGGGCGCGGCGGCGGCGACGTTGGCGGCGTTGTACGAGCGCGGTGTGCTGCCGTCAGGGGGCGGCGGTGACGTGGCGCACAGGTAGGCTGGGGATCCGGGGGAGAATGGTGTGCCCTGCGTGTTTGGGAGTTCAAACGGCACATGCTGCGTTACAAGCTTGCACAACAGACGCGTCGTGTCCTTAACCGACGCATTGCCAACACACATGCCATTGACATATTTGACTACATCTTGTGCAGGCGTCTGTTATCGGCTGCGTCTGGCTGTCTTGACGGTTGCGTGGGCGACCTGCTGGCCAACACACCGGACGAATTGCGGAGCGGGAGCGCCTTCGCGGCGGTGTGTGCGTCGGCGCAACCGCTGGTGGAGGCGACGGCGGCGCACGCCGTCACTGACCCGGCGGCGGTGCGGTGTGTACGGCGGCTGCTGGCGGCGCTGCTTCCGCTGGCCGCCAGCCCGGCGGCTGCTGCTGCTTCTGCTGCCGACGGCGCTGGCGAGCAGGACGTTGATGACGCCGGAGCGAGCAGCGGCGGCAGCAGTGAGCAGGGTGATGTTAGCAGCAGCAGTGAGGGTGGGGACGAGCGAATGAAGGAGGAGGGTGATAGCTCCGAGGAAAGTGATGAGGACGATGCGGCTGTTGCGAAGGTAAAGCCAGCGCTTCATGATGAAGATGGGGATGAGGAGGAGGAGGGTGGTGCTCAGGGGAAGTCGAACGGCGTCGCTGGCAGTGACGATGGGGATAGCAGCGATGGGAGCAGTGAGAGCTCCTCCTCCTCCTCCGACAGTGACAGCGATGAGGGCAAGGGCAGTGACTCTGACAGCGACGATTCCGGCAGCAGACGAGCAAAGGCTGCGGACTCTTCTGATAACGAAACGTCGTCCTGCTCATCTGACGACGATGACGATGACGAAGATACCCAGGAAATGCGGGGCATGCAAGCGGAGGCTGCCGCAGCCAACGGCCCCAACACAGCTGCCGCCGCCGCCGCCGCACCCGACGTCGACGTCGACATGCAAGGTGCTGACGAGGCGCCGGCGGAGGCGGGACTGCAGCTGCCGTACGGCATCGTCCCCAACGCCGGCGCCGCCGCCGTCGCCTCCGCCATGCTGCAAGCGGTGGTGACGTGCCGCCAGCTGACGGAGGTGTTCGCCCCGCTGGAGGGGCCGCCGGCGTTGCCGCCAGCAGTAGCGCGTGTGCCGCTGCCGCTGGTGTCGCTGCTGCCTGTTGGCGACGCGGGCGAGCAGGAGCCCGACCCGCAAGGGCAACAAGGCGAGGGCGCAGAGGAGGCTTGTACGGAGCTGGCGACGCTGCTTGAAACCCTGATCGACATACGACTAGCGTACGATTCGTACGACCAGCACGGTAGCCTTCGGGACGTTGCTGGCGGAGTTGACGGCAGCAAGGGCGGCGGCGCGGCATCTGCTGCTAGCGGCCCGTTCGGTCATGCAGCCGGGGAGCTGGCGGTGCTCCACGCGTTGCTCCAGCTGCTGCAGTGCGCGTTCGGTGCCACCCTGCGGGCGAGCGATCGGGCGCTGCTGCGTGTGATGCTGCGACTGGACGACATCCTGCTGCTGGCGGAGGCGACGGCGGCGGAGAAGGAGAAGGAGGAGGAAATGGACAGCAGCGACGAGGGCGAGGACGAGGAGGCTGGCGGCGGTAAGGAGGACCGCTCCTCCCTTGCGTCCGTCCTCGCTGCCGGCGTCGTCACTCGCCGCCTGTCGGGTCCTCTGGCGCGCTCGGGCTTCCTATGGGGCGCAGCTGCCCGGCATTACTACCAGTCCGTGGCCGCCACCACCACCACCCTGCCCGCGGCGGCGGCAGGAGCTGGGGCAGCGGCGGCGGGGGCGAAGGCTGGCGAGGGCCCGCTTCGCGCGCTGCAGGCTAGGGCCCTGGCGGAACACTGCCCGCCTGAGGCCAGGGCGCTGGCCCTCGCATGTGTGCGCTTCCCCGTTGGGAGGACGCTGGGAGCTGATGAGGACGACCCGTGGGTCACTTCTGGCGCCGGCGCTGGCGGCGGCGGTAGTGGAAACCCCGTTCGAGTCGTAGGAGCAGCAGCCGCTTCCTCCACCGCCGCCGAGGCAGCTGCGGACCCGGCTTGGATGCTTCCCTTCGCGGTGTGCGCGCTGAGGCGGGGCGTTGCGGGGCTGCGGGAGCTAGCCGGCTGGGGAGTGCTGCCACTGTGCCTGCGCTGCCTGGCGAGCGACGACGCGGGGCTGAGGACGCTGTCGTACGAGGTGTTGACGGCGGCGGCGGCGCAGATGGAGGCACTGGCGGCGGCGGCGGGCGTGGGGTCAGGGCCGGCGGCAGCGGCGGCAGCGGTCGCGGCGGCGGCTCCCAAGGGTCCAGCGGCGCTTGGAAACTTCCTGCCTACAGCGGGCGGAGGTGGAGGCGGCGGGCGGGGGGTGGCTGGAGGTGCGGCGGCGGCTGCAGGCGGGTCCCTGCAGCGGGCTCCCGCGGACTTCCGACAGCGACCTCAGCTGCAGGTGAGTGAGGCGGTGTGCGGCGGGGTGGGGGGGGTCAAAGACCATACCGAACCATAGAAAGCCACAGGTTGGGGCAAAACAATGGGGATAGAATCGGGGGGGGAGAGGGTTTAAGGGGCCTGCGACAGTGCCTCATATACGCTACTTACAAGCCCGAGGGTGGAGGAGCAGACGGCGCATGCCGCTTCCACCGCTTCATTCGGGCCAGCCGCCTCGCCGTGTGTCCGTTGCCCCTCCTGAAGCCGTACTCGCCAGCGGCTGTATCCCCTCCTCTTACATCCCTGCCACCCCACCCCTGTCCTCCTTCCTGCTCCCCTCAGCTCCTGCTGGCCCACGTGCGCGGCGCCCTCTGGCCGCAGTCCCCACCGCCGCAGCAACAGCCGCCCCTGCCGCACTGCAGCGCGCTGCTGGCGGCGGAGGCGGCGGTGGTGCTGCTGCAGCCTCAGGTGGGGGGGAAGGAGGGGGGGGGGGGAGGGGGGGGAGAGGCTAGCCGTGTGGGTGGGGCGGTGGGGGCGCTTAGGCGGCATGTAACCACCCGCCTGCCTGCCCGCCTGCCTGCCTGCCCGCCTGCCTGCCTGCCTGCATGCATGCATGCCCGCCTGCATGCATGCCGGACACCGATTGACTGATTAGCTGCCTGGCCGACCTGCCGGCCTGCATGCGGGAGGCCAGCTTGCACCCCGCCCCAGCCCCTACCCCCTCACCGCTGCCCCCCCACCTGCCCCCCGAAGGCCCCCATGTACAAGCCGCTCTTCAAGCTGGTGGGCCGGCGGGCCGCGCTGGACACCTGCAGCCTGCCCCTCTTCAACCGGTGAGGGGGGGGGCTGGGGGCTGGGGGGGCCTGGGGTGACACGAGGGGCCGCGACTGGGGCTGTGTGCAGGGTTCCCCCGCCCACACCGCCTTTCCTGACGACGGCATGTACTGGCCTTGCCTTGCCTTGTCTTGTCTTGTCTTCCAAGCGGCGCCACACCTGTTTGGTGGTGTTGGTGTGGACAACGCGTCGCAGCCCGTAACTCCTTGGGCTCCTCCGAGGGAAGGGAAGGGAAGGCTGTCCCAAGTACAGGATGGCCGGCATGCCTCCCCCACTCGCTACTTATTATTTCGGCGAAACCCTCTGCCAGTGTTCGCCTCTCCTCCCCCCCCTCCCCCCCTACCACCAGGGTGCTGTCCTGCGGAGCTCCCGGCCAGCGGCACGAGCAGACCTGGGCTCTGCAGCTGCTTCGCTGGGGGGCGCTGGTGGGTTGGGGAGGGAGCAGAGGAGGAAACTGACGAGCCGTATGGAGGGAAGGGGAGCGGCTGGGCAACTGGGCTACGGCTTGGGAGGGGAAACCCCGGGGGTACGGAGCCTCCACGGGGCCTTTCCGGCCCTTCCTCACTCCTTTTACCCTTCCTCCCAACCCCCGCCCGCCCCCACCCTCCGCACCCCGGCTCCCCCAGGGCCCCCAGGACGCCTCGCTGTGTCGCCGCAAGTTCGCTCCGGAGGTGCTGGCGGCGCTGAGCGGCTCCCGGGCGGCGGCGCTGGAGGCGGGAGGTGGCGGTGGTGGAGGTGGTGGTGCTGCGGATGCGGTGCCGCTGCCGCTGGCTGTGCTGCGGTCGCTGTGTGCGCTGCCCTCCCTGGCCCGCCACCTGGTGTTGCATGCGGGTGAGGGGGGGCGGGGCGGGGGCTGCGGGGGCTGGGGAAAAAATGAAATTCCAAAGTGTGGTATGATATTGATACAAGTTGCTGACAATCCCTGGTGGAATCAACTGGGGGGGAGTGTAGCGCGGATGGGGGGCGCTGTGTTGCTGGGGGGGGCTGGGGGGGGAGTGCTGCGGGTGAGCGGGGTTCTTCCCCTCGGGGGAGGAGGGGTCCCCAGCATGCATGCCGGAGTGCCCATGGCCCCCCGGGCAGCTTGTTGCCTGCCTGCTGCTCCCACTGAAGTACCCGGCACTCCCTCTCCCTCTCCCTCCCTGTGGGACCAACGGCGGTGCAGGCTTCGTTCCCTGGCTGGCCCAAGTCGCCGCCGGGGCCCTGCAGCAGCAGCAGCACCCTCACGGGCAACACCTGCATGTGGGCCCCGCCGCAGTCACCGTAGCAGACACAGCGCTGCCTCGCAACGGCGCTGCCCCACCCCCGGCGGCGGCCTCCGTGGCCCTGTCCACCCTGCAAGACCTCATTCGCCGCCGCGTGTGCCTCCGGCGGCAAGACGGCGATGCAGCCGTACTGCAGTACGCCCAGGCGGCGGCGACGCTGGCGGCGGCGGCGGCGGTGTACGGCAGCGGGGAGCTGGCGGCGGCGGTGTGTCGTACGGTGGCGGCGCTGGCGGCGGCGCTGCCGCCGTGGCGGGCTCAGCCGCTGTGGCGGCTGGCGGTGACGCCGGCGGTGCTGCTGCGGCTGCATGACGTCATGGGTGGTGTGGTCGGTGTGGGCAGCCGGGGGGTGCCGGGGCAGGCTGCGAGGGAGTGTGGGGAGCGGCTGAGCTGCTGGTTGCAGGTGAGCGGTGGGGGCGGGGGGTGGGGGCAGGGGGTGGGGGCAGGGGGTGGGGGCAGGGGGTGGGGGCAGGGGGTGGGGGCAGGGGGTGGGGGTGATGGGGACGACAGGGTGCGGCCGGGGGGGCGGCAGTGGGCAGCTGGATAGGCGGCGGCTTGGCGGCAGCAGCTGCTGCTTGCACCTCCCTGCGTGCCCCCGTGTGTTTGGAGCGCGGCCAGTCTTGTATTCAACACACACACAGCGTGTCGGCCCCGCCCCTCCTGAGCTATCACAGCAGGATGCTGCCTCCGCTGCCTCCGCTGCATCCTCCACCCACGCACCGACCTCCACCCCACTCCCGACCCCCCTGGTGACACCCCTCGCAGGCCGTTCTGCGCTCCTCCCACCCGCTCGCCTCCCTCGAGCCGTCTCCCTCCCACCCAGCTCCTCCTACCTGCGGCTCCCACCAGCCCCACAGCGCCCTGCCGGCCCTCGTATCCGCGGCGGTGCATGCGACCCTGGCTCTGGCGGCCCGGGGGGCACCTGCCGCTGCCGCTGCCGCTGCCCCCCTGGCTCGGGCTTGCCTCATGTGGGTGGCCTCGCTGGCAGCTGGGGGGCAGCCCCTGCTGGCGGTGCTGGGCAGCGCCGCGGGGTTCTCCAGTACTGCTACTGCTACTGCTACTTGTGCTGCTGCCACCGCTGATGCCGTCGGTCTTTCCGAGTCGTTGAATGCGCTGCACGCGGTTGCGATAGAGGCGGCCGCTGTGGGTGACAGAGTCGGCGGCACAGCGGCACACCAGCCGCCGCCACCGACGGCCACTCGTCTGACGTTGCTGGCTCATGCCGAGTGTCAGCGGGCGCTGGTGCGGCGGGGTGGCGGGGTGGCGGGGGTCGGGTGCGGGGCGGTGAGCGAACAGCGGCTGGCTGCCGTACAGGGGCACTGTGGGGCGGCGGTTGGTGGTGCTGATGGCGGTGGTGAGGCTCACATCCGGCCGCATGCGAGGAGGACACAGCTGGCGGCTGCTTGGCTGCGAGCGGCGTCGGTAGCGCTGGAGGAGGAGGGGGCATTGGAGGCGGGGGCGGGGAGAGGAGGCGCAGGCGTTTCTGGGGCGGAGGAGGGGTCGGCCGGCCGGTGGGAGGCGGCGGAGAAGGGGCTGATGAGTGTGTTGGGGGGCGAGTGCAAGGGGGAGTAGTGGGTGGGTCTGCGGGGCTGGGCATTGAGCGCGATATGCGGGGGACTTATATTGTAGCCTTGCTACACGGAAGGTGAGATGGAGGGCCGTCATCTCTTGTGATGCTAGGGTGCTAGGTATGTGGAGCAGAGAGGTGTGCTAGCGGTAACAGAAGACAGGGGCGGTTGGTCTGGGCGGTGAGAGTGCTAGCACGACGTTGTTCCCGGAGGTTCCGGTGCTGCTGGGCGGCAGCAGGCAGTGCGTGGAGGAGAAAGTCAATGGGGGCGGGGCGGCGGGGAGATTGACGAGAGGCGAGAGCCAGGTGGCTTGGCTTCAGAGGGTGCCTGTCTGGGACGGCAGCAGGCGACAGCATACCGGTATACGGAAGAGTACCGGTGTGAGCGGACCTGTGCTGCTAAATTACTCCTTCGACTGCATGCGGCTGCTGCTGCTAAAAGATTATTCCTTCAACTGCACCGTACGGCAGCTAACAACCCTCAGACAAGCACCGCAGCGCTCCCTCCTCGCCCCACACCAACGCATGTGTAAGCATCCACATACCGCTGCTTTCAATCAGTAACCAAACCAATCGACGGAGCCCGCCAACAATGACTACGCGTCAATTCCCCCCGCAAGATTCTCTTCGTCGTATCTCCATTCATCCACTGCTCTACTCGTTGTGGCGCCATACCTCGTGATAAGATGTGTTTGGCGTCCATTTGAAGCGCAAAGACACCCCCGCGCGACTATTACCGTTCAACCGCGGTTGAACTACGCAGTGCGCCCCTATCAGCTCTAGCGCCCCTATCAACATGTGCCCGAATACGATCATACAGAAGCATGGATGGGTGTAATCACATGATGCTAGTGGGATGCTCGTGACATGAACGCATGAATGCTGTACGACGAAAACCGCAACGGAGACCTCCCAAAGCAGCCCGTACGCAGCCGCTTGAGCAGTACTGAGCGCAAGAAAGGGTGCCGTACTACGGCCGGACAACCCCACACAACACAACAAAGCGACTGCCACAACAAAGCGACACCACTGCGACATACGGTACTACAACCCCCTTGCCACTCATCCACGTCACATCCTTATTGCCACCAGCGCCCCGACCACGATGCCACTCGCTTGAGCAATACACGATGACATGCCGACCCGCCCCCAACCCACCCAGACCTCCAATCCATGCACGCCCAAACCCTAGTCCAAACCCCACTCCAGCACATATGCCCTCTTCCCTTCCTCCTCTTTACTCCCGTTCCCCTATCATCGTTATTACCCCTCCCCGGGTGCACTCAGTCCTCCTTCATGTGTCCCTTGCGGCCCGCGCCTCCCCGAGTTCCCCCCACTGCATCTCGCCCGTTGGGCTCCCCTCCAGCCCCCACCGCCTCCACCCCCATCCGCTCCCTCCTCCTCTCAAAGAGCACGCGCATGAACACGTGGCACGCCAGAGTGGTGCCCAGCCCCGCCAGTGCCGTACGGCAGGCCACCAGGGCGGCGGTGGCGGGCGGGACGGCGGGTGCCACCACTCGCAGCTCGAAGGCCGTGACGAGGTTGACGAGGGGGAGGACCAACAGGGCGAGTGGCAGGGGCAGCTGCGCGGGGCGGGAGGGGTGGAGGAGGTGGAGGTGCGTGAGTGTATAAGGAGGCGACAGTTCCGTACCTGGTAGGGTCGAGGGAGGGCTAGGGGCGACAAGAAAAGGCGAAGGAGAGGGAGGGGCGCCCTAGCTGCTTGTCACGACGTGCATCCTAACGACCCCCCCGTCCATACGCGGTCTGCCCCTTCCCAATGTGTTCCCTTCCCTCCCTCGCTCCTCCCCAGGCCCCAGTTGGTTCCCTCCCTACCCTCCTCTGCCGCCCTCCTCCTCCTTCCCACCCCCTCCCCCGCCCCCCACCCTCTCACCAGGCACGATCCCGGCAGAATGAGTCCCTCCAGCAGCAGCATACCCGGGGTCAGCAGGTACGGCGCCACACCCGGGGGCACCGGCCAGCCGCCGAATGACACCAGCGCCTTGGCAGCCAGGTAGCCGCCGTAGCGGGGCAGCGCGCAGCGGCGCTCCAGGGCGGCCCACGCGCGGTACGGCAGTACGGCACGGGCCGCCGTACTGAGGAAGCCGACCCCGAATGCGAAGAGCAGGGAGACGGGGGTGAGGGAGCGCAGGCGGCCATCGTAAGCGCAGCGGCAGAGGGTGGCGAAGAGGCAGACACACTCCACGATGCGGCTGTGGGGGTGGGGGTAGGTTGCAGCAGAGGTGGTTTGGGGGAAGGTTGGTGTTATCAGTTGGGTAGTTGAGCAGACGTGGTTGGAGGAAGCGGCTCGGGGGACGGCGTACGGCAGGTGGCGGCAATGCGGGTGGCGCGGTGGGGGGGAGGTTGGGCAGCTGAGGGATGCTGGGCTGCGGTTATGCGGCATGTGGCGGCGATTCAAGTTCGGGAACTGGGCCCGGACACGTGTACACGATGCGGGCGCAACGTTAGATGCTCGGATGCGGCGCCTCCCTAAACACGACCACATGGCATGTCCCCCTCTAACGCTCACATGGCATGTCCCCCTCTAACGCTCACATGGCATGTCCCTGCGCGAAGATCCAGGAATCCGCATAGACCCGGAACGCCGCCTCCTCCGCAGCAGGCAGCCGCCGCAGCCCCAGCGTCAGCAGCAGCGCATGAGTCCAGGCATGCGCACTTCCGCCCCCGCTAGCTGCGCGGCCCTTGTAACCCTGCGCCCGCCCCCCTTCGGCAGCAGCGGATGGGGCGCCACTGCTAGTAGATGCGGGCGCGGAGGACCCGCCCGCAGCAGCCACCTGCCCCACAGCCTCTCCAGCTACGCTGCCAGGAGCTGCATGCGCATCCGCAACCACCGCGGCGCCGCTGCTAGCACTGAGGGGCTCAGCCACAGCAGCGCCAGGCAGCGGGACATGACCCATGGGTCGCGACCCACCACCGACCCCCAGCCGCGCAATGTCCCTCCGCAACCGCTGCGCCAGTGCCAGCCAGCCGCATGCTGTCGCGTAGCGCAGCAGGTGCATCCCCAGAGCGGGAATGGTGTCCGGCGGCAGGCGCCGAGGGCAGGACGAGGGAGAGGGCGCCTCCCCCTGCCCCCCCTCCCCACGTTCCCCTGCCTCCACCGCGTGGAACTCCCATGTTCCCAGGTCCAGCAGCAGCTCGTCCAGCTCCGCGGGGGAGCGCGGCCAGGAGGGCACCGCACCGCCCAGCTCCGAAACCACACCCGCCTCGCGGACAAAAACCAGCGGCACGGCGCGGCAGGGATGACCGCACCAGCGAAAGTCAACCTGCGACGGCGGGGCAAAGGTAAGGTAGCTTTCATGGAAACGGACAAGCAACAAACCGCTCCAACAGCAAGAACCCTTCAACAAGCCCTCCAGGACGTCCCCCTCCCGCGCGCCTCGACCCTCCTCCCAACCCTGCGCCCCTCCTCCTCCTCTCCCACCTCCTACACCCCAAAGCAACGCACCATGACCAGTCCCGGCGCCGAGGGCAGCTGCAGCAGCCTCAACTCCGCCTCCAGCAGCCGAGTGGGACCCGAGCGGGGCCCCCCCACACCACCCGAGCTCCTCCTCCCCGCCCCCGACCCCACGTCCTGCAGGTCGTCCCGGCTGTCATCATCATCGTCGCCACCACCATCCTCCTCCTCGCCACTGCTGCTGCTGCCCACTTGACCAGACAAGCCGCTTCCGCTGTCGCCGCTGCTGGGGCGGTCCTGCTGGCCAGCACCACTCCCCAGGTGCCCGGCCGACCCATGGGTCGTCACGGGCTGCACTGCCAGCCAGTTGAGGCTGACGGGCAGGTAGGCCCCCCGTGCACGAACCAACACCTCCAGCTCCGGAGGCGGAGTGGAGTCGAACCCCGAGATACCCGCCACGGCAGCCGCAGGCGTCAGTGCGGGCACCTGAACCGTAACGCGCAGGGAGAGGCAGCCGTCGGAACCGCTGCCTCCGGCGCTGGTAGCTCCCGCTGGGGCCATCGCGCGTGCCGGGAGCCAGGGCCGGCTGGCGCGGGTGGGCAGCAGCAGCACACGGGGGTGCGCGGACACGCATCCCAGAGGGCAGTCGCCGGGCGGTGCCTCCACACCTCGCCCAGCGGCTGAGGCCACGTCGACATGAGGCGCATGAGTCAGCATCACCTGCGGCTGAGGAAGCGGCAACGGCTGTACCTGGGGTGGGACTTGCTGCTGCTGGACTTGCTGCTGCTGCCGCGGCCCCGGCTGCGGCTGCAGCTGCAGCGCCCCAACGATGTCAGCAAAGCTAAGCCGCGGCCCGCTGCCCTGCGGACCCGGAACCGGGGCTACCGGGGCGCCGGACGCCGAGCCAATGCGCGGTGCAAAGCCGAGCGGTTGCTCGCCTCCCCTGTCCTCCAGCTCCTCCGTGAGGGAGGAGGGGTCGATGATCTCCACCGACAGGCTCCCCGGCCAGCCTAGAACCCCAGACTGCTGCTGGAGAAACAACCTGGCCAGAGATTCATTAGACCCGCTGCCGCCACCGCCCTCCTTCCCCTGTGCAGCACCCATGCTGGAGCCATCCAGCAGTTCGTACACGGGGCTCAGCGCTGCACTGCCGGGGTCGTCGCGGGGGTGCGAGCCGTCTGCAGCATCATGCAGTGTCAGCTCGCCCGTGCTGCCGCTGTCACCCACCTCCGAGCCCCACTCCTCCTCCTCCAGCAGCAACTCGATGCAGCCGGACCGCACGTACGCATGGGCCAGACGCCGCACACCGCCTCCGCCCCCGCCTCCACCGCCCCCTCCTCCGCCGCCTGCGTTGCTGCCTTGCGCAGCGAGCAGCAGCGCAGCGAGCCGCTGTTCAAAGCCGGGAGTGATTTGGGTCGGCTCGAATCCGGGGATCTTGGCGTACAGCAGGTGGTGCTTGACGAAGGGGCGGTAGGGAGCCAGGCGGCGCACGGGGGCCTGGGGTGCAGCAGCAGCAGCGGTTGGGCAGGGGGGAAGGGGAACGTGGCCCAACCCCTGTTGATGCCGCGTTGTCTCTTCACTGCTGCATGCGTGCGGCTCGGGCGGCTCCTCATGCGAGTGCTGCCGACCCAGATGCAGCTGCAGCTGTCCAGGATGACCCAGATCGCTTGGGGAAGCCGCAGGAACCACCGGAGCTGCCGCCTCCACGTGATCTGTTGCGATGTTGCCGCTGTGCCTCAGGGCGCTGCAGCCCTCCGCCTCGCCGTGTTCCGCCCCCTTCCCGGACAGCGGCTGGCAACCAGCAGCCAACAGCTTCCCGCCCCCGCTGCCGCCCCCCGCTAACGACGAGCTGGATGCCTTGGGCGCCTGGCCAGCTTCCCCAGGGGACTGCGCGCCAGCCGCCCCCTGACCCACTCCCCCGGCGCTGCTGCCACCTCCGCCCCGCCGCGCCGCACCCCGCCGCCGCCTGCTGGAGCCGGTCCAGGCCAGCGCCAGGCAGGCGGCGAAGGTGAGCATCTGGCACGGAAGCACCGTCATGGGGCTCATGCCGCTCTGCGGGTGCAGCCGGCCGCTGTTGTACGACAGCAGGGCGATGCCGGCGAGGTTGACGAGGCCGGTCAGCGCCTCCAGCAGGAAATGCGGCGGGTTGACCTGTGTGAGTGGAGGTGGGGTAGGTGGTGAGGGCGGCAGGGTAGCGGTATTGGGCAATGGCAGGAGGGAGGAGCAGCGGGGAAAGGGGTGCCAAGGGCCGTAGTGCCGTAGCACCCAGCACCCAGCATGTACCGTTAAGCGAGGTTTGTTGAGTGTCAAGTGGCAAATTCTACCCAACCTAAGCCCGCCCGTGTCTTCCAATACAACGCTGTGCCCTCTAGTGCCCTCCTTATCCGCGACCAGCACATACCGGAGTTGTGAAGAACAGGAATAAGTCGAGGAAGGGGTTGAAGCCGGTATAGAACCACACGCTGTGAGCGCTTGGCTCGGCAGTGTGGCCATAGACGAAGACATGCCAAGCCATCGGAATTATGCGGGATGTGTAGGTTAGCACCTGGCCCATCACGTCATACTTCTCTGGTGGCAACAGGTGCACCAGGGGAAGGCGCAGAAGGCACAATGCCATCGCCACGCTCACCCAGCGCGATTGGGTTAGTTGGAGCGTGTCGTATATGGCATGTGGTAAATGCCGAAGGATAAAGGCCGCCCTTGATAACATGCTGCCATTGCAAGGGTACCTTGTGAGCAAGTTGGACGTCATGGGTAGGAACTGGCCTTCGCCCGAGCAATCGAATTTTGCAAAGCAGGCATAAGACAAGCCCATGGCGAGCGCGTGGACGTAGAGGAGTAGCAGGTGCATTGAACGTTCACGCTGGAAAGGCATTTCAAGGCGCGGTTGGCGCGACCTCGAGGGCGGCAAAGCCCAAAGACCGGCGTCTTCTGCTATGAATCTAGCCATTACTATATTCTTGGGATATCACTCCCACTGGGAAGATGGAGCTGGCTGCGCCGCAGCCACTAGCTGTAGAGAAGCGGAACCATAGCACGAAGATACCAATATACTGATCCCTTTCTGACTATCTGCCTTGCTATGCTATGGATGCGATGGGCTGCGAGGATTTCGGGATTCGAGGGTTTAAACACCCTTTGGTATCCGAGAACATTGAAGTCCCACTAGGCTTAGTTAGCCGGCTTCTGGTGAAGTATGAGGATCTGAAACTTGGAACGCACCATGTCTGTCAGATACGCGATTCCTCATGACCCATTTGCTAGCCGGTGTACTACAACAGCAGCACGTCGGCTGTGGCTCAGGAATGGCCAAACCACCTAGTCTTTTACGGTCCTTAACTTAATCTTCGCCTTTCACACCAGTACTACACAGTTATGGGATGCACAAATAGAAGCATGAGGCTCCTCGATTTGACAACAGCCTTCATTATTGTCGGCTTGGCAGCCTTACTGTATGTGCTAAGGTCATTGCATGCATGGTGGCGGCTTGCTTTATGCGCTTCTGCGGAAAATGGGGTGTTGACAGCTGCGCAAAGGAGCAGCAGCGCTAGCGCAGTGGCATCCTTTCACTGGCTTCGTAAGCAGGGCGTAGTTGTAAGTGTGTCGGCCCTTGCAGGCCAGCCCGACCTTTCGGTGGCAACAGCAACGCAACGACAGCGACGTCCATTGCCTCCATACCAGCCTTACATTAAACGGTCAGCCATATTTGCTAAGATTCCTGGATGCCATCCCGAAGACATACCTCCCGGCTACGAACAACGACTAGCTCACTTAATAGCAGTCACGAAGGGGAATGCCGACAACAGCAGCTACGGTGATAATGTCAGTACCAAGCCTATAGGCCATCGATGGTTAAGCAATGTATATATAAGGGACGGCTGCGTGGAGCTATTGCTAGAGGAGGAGGAGTGGGGTAGCGGCATTGGCAGCGATGCGGAGTGGCAGGGCTCGCACCTCTTTCAAGTAGCTGGCGGGGATGTAGGCGCCATCCATCAAGCTCCTGACTGCGCGCTTACCGTCACCGAGGAAGCAGGCGTTAGGAGCGATGGAGAGGGCCTCGACGCTGCTTCGGAGGCCGGCAATGCTGCTGCAGCTGCCACATGCGGTATGTATGGAAGCGGCAGCGGCAGGTGGAGCGACGCCAGCAGCGGCCTGGCATTCAGCTGTAGCAGCGGCAGCTGTAGCAGCAGCAGCGGGCTGGACCTGGCGACCATCATTCGCGCGCTGCAGCTGCCGGAGGAGCAGCGGGAGGGGGACGCCTCGCGCCACCCCTGGGACTCCTGCACTGACGTGGGGGTTGCCGAGGGGGAGGGCGAGTCGGGCGCTGGGCGAGCCGGGCGGCTGCTGCACTCCTCCTCAGTAACTGCGCACGCGGAGGAAGCGGCGGCGGGCAGCGTCAAGGCAGGCGAAGGGTGAGCTGGGCAGCCGGGGGAAAAATCCACAAATCGGCAGGTGCACTTTAGTACGGGGATTTGAATGGGTCTCATTTCTAGGTAATCCACGGCACACCGCCCATGCCTGCCTGCGCCGCTGCCCCTTCCAGCGCACCACCACACCCGCCTGCTGACCCCGGCTGCCCTCTCCCCCACTGCCCCACAGGGCCCCGGGCACCTCCACACCCGACCGCCACGACCTCCCCCAGGCCGCCGCCGGGCCCTCTCCTTGCCCGCCAGCCTTGGAGGTCCTCGCGCTGCACCCGCGTGTCGTGCTGCTGCCGCCGCCCCCGCCGCCCGCCGCCGGCTCGTTGGAGCGGCGGCAACAGCAGCGGCTGCTTGCCGTGGTGTCGTGCCCCACCCTGCAGGCCGCCGCAGGGCCGCAGGCAAGCGGAGGCGGCAGCAGCAGCAGCCTGGAGGTGCTGCTGCGGTGCCAGGGGCGGTACCTGCCGCTGCAGTACAGCTGGGGACCGCAGCTGGTGGCGGGGGCGGCGGCGGCCGAGCCAGGCACGAGTGGCCGGGAGGCGGGGGCGGGGCTGGGTGAGGAGGCGGAGGCGGGGGAGGTGCCGCCCGGTTGGTCGGTCAAGCCGCTGCCGGACGTGCGGACGGTGCGGTCGGACGTGAACCTGCCCCAGCTGCTGCGGGTGGAGCCGAGGGAGCTGCCGAGCAGGCCGGGCATCGCACTGGTGGGTCGCGGTGTCAGGGGGGGCTGGGAGGCGGGCTGCTTGTGGCTGCGGGGGGGCTGTAGGTGTGTGGCAGGGACGGCAGGGGTTGAGGTGGCGGCTGTGGCCCCTGGGGCGGGCTGAGGCAGGCCGTACCCCCTTCACACAGGTCGCTCCCCTGTCGCAGGTTGACTTTCGCTGGTGCGGTCGTCCCTGCCGCGCCGTGCCGCTGGTGTTTGTTCGCGAGGCGGGTGTGGTTTCGGAGCTGGGCGGTGCGGTGCCCTGCTGGCCCCGCTCCCCCGCGGAGCTGGACGAGCTGCTGCTGGACCTGGGAACATGGGAGTTCCACGCGGCGGAGGCAGGGGAGCGGCAGAGCGAGGCGGCAGGTGTCCCGGCGGCTAGCGGCGGCGGCGGGGGGTCGGCGGCGCTGGACGCTGTGTCGGCTGCCCGGCTGGCGGCCCTGGGCGCCCACCTGCTGCGCTACGTGACGGCGTGCGGCTGGGAGCGCACGGCGGCGCACATCGCGAGGCAGCTGGCGGGAGTCAGCGAGGCGGCGGCGGCGGGGGCAGCGGCCGTTGGCGCCAGCAGTGATGGCGGATGCGGGGTGGCGGAGGGAGCCGTCGGAGCCGCGGCGAATGCGGGGCCGCAGCCGGGTTGTGCGCCCCGCAGCGGATCTCCCGGCGGGGACCGAACTGGCGTCCTTCGCCGCCGCGGGCAGAAGACTGGTAGCAGCACCGACACCGGCACCGGCGGCGAGGCCTCGGCCCTCCCAGGCGACCGCTCCGGCGCGCCAGCGCAGAGCCACCGCCGGCTGCGTCGCGCTGCCTCCCTGCGGCTGGCGTGGCGGCTGCTGCTGCTGGCGCTGGGGCTCAGGCGCGACCCGCCGGAGGAGGCGGAGGCGTTCCGGGCCTTTGAGGGGCCGTGGATCTTTGCGCACGGACAGTTCCTGTGAGCGGGGCCTGCGAGGGGGCTGCAGCCGTACATGCACAGCGATGGGTGGAACAATGGGTGATCCTGGCACCGTTCGCCGGAGGGGATCTGCAAGTCACGTCTTCCTGCCTTTTCTAGCCCATGTGGCTCGCACATGTTAACTGAGCAAGTCTAGTTCTATGGGTACATGCCATGTGCGTGCTCCCAAGGAACCCCATGCAGGGGGCCGCATGCAGCCCCCCCCCCATGCAGCACCTCTACATGTGCACCCCCACCCACCCACCCCGCATTCCACCCATGTGCCCCCGGGTGGCCCCTACCCAGGATCTACATGGAGTTCATGTGCCTGCTGGCGCTGCTCTTCCGGGCTCGCCACGACATCCTGGCGCCCAGCAACCTCACCTCGCTCGCCTCCTGCATCGGCGGGTCCGGCACGTTGCTGGCGTGGCCCTTCCTGCCGTACCCCGCGTGGGTGCGCCTGGTCAACGGCTACCGCTACCCCCGCTTCCTCTGCTACGCGGTCACGAAGGGCCTCATCGCCTTCTGCGGCTTTCCGCCGCCACCCGGCATTGTGCCGTACCTGACCGGGCCGGGGCTGCTGGTGATGGAGGGGGTCATTGTGCCCGGAGCCTCCATGGTAGGAGGGGGCGGGGAGGTGGGGGATTGGATCTGAGCCGCGGAAACACTGACCCTGACCGTAGGTTACCGAAAATTGCGTGATGGTGTTCCAGGTGTCGAAGTATTGTATTCAGCGTCGTAAGTAATATAAAGCAGCTAGGAATGCAGTCGTCATAAAGTATCAGTAAGAGCGAATGTCTGTGGGGGGTAACAAGAATAAGAATGAGCGGTTCGTGGGGGGTAACAAGAATAAGAATGAGCGGTTCCCAGAGCCCTTGGGAGGCATGGTGGCGAGGGTGGCGGCGGTAGGAAACCCACCCCCATGTGCCCCATTCATATGCCCCACATGCCCCACCGCTCTTGAGCTCCCACCCCCAACAGCCCAACCTGCGTCACCCCGCATGCTCCCTTGCCGGCCCCCTCTCCTCACCTCCCAAACCCCCTCCCCCCACCCACCCTCCACCCGCCCCCAGCTGACGCCCGCTGCCGCGGCGCTCCTGTTCTCCCTCCTCTCCCTGCTCACCGGCCGCATGCTGGTGGCCAGCGGGGCGGTGGGACCCGCGGCGGCCGCCACCGTGGCGCTGCGGACCACCGCGGCCGCCTCCCTCACGGCGCTGCTGTGTCGGCTGTACATGCGCGCGTGCTTCTGGTGGCGCCGGCGGAGGCAGGCGCGGTCGGCAGCGGAGGCGGGGCTGAGCAAGGTGAAGGGCTGTGAGTAAGATGGGGCGCGCGGTGTTGTTGTCGCAGTCGTGGTTGGAGTGAACTGCTGGGCTGCATGGCGGTTGGGGTGAGGTAGGGGAGTTGGAGAGGTGGTTGTGACCGCGGGGGAGGTGGAGAGCTGGTCGGGGGTGGAGTGAGCTATGCTGGCTGACACTCAGGATTGTCGCCTGGGTACTATTTTGGCAAACACAAGTGCCCGTGAGAGCCATGCAGTTACACTTAACAATTTGGGACTGCAAGGGACTTTCGAGGGTGCTTTCGATGCCATCGCGTGAATCTCTTTGTGTATGCCGGTAAAGCTGTAATCCACACAAGTACCAGTAACCGGACTCCTTGCCCGCTCTTGAGCACCCCGTCTGGGCGGTTGAAGCGGGGTGCCGCACGGCTTCTTGCGGCGTTCCAGGCAAGCCGACCAGTTTATCGCGTGTGAGGGGGCAACTGCCCGGATTTGTGCAACCTGTGTTCATGCTAAGCTGCTTGGTCGGGACCAAACAGCAAGGTCTTGTTGAGCAAAGCCGTGCGGTGTCGCTTGCAGAAGGTAACAGTTGGACCATCGCCGCTGGTGCCCACGGGCATATCCAGCATTCGTGATGGCAGCCACCACTACTTCTGGATATCTGGCCGCGCCAAGGGTTAGGATCCGTATCGGCGTTATTACTAAGGCATTGCTCAGAAGGCTCGAAGCGTGTGCCTAAGATTGAGGAACTTGAGGTATTCTCTTATGGTCTCCACTTGGATACCGAACGGTAGCTCGTTCATAGGTGGTCCAACGAACCAAAACAACCTACGGGCACGACCCTGAAGCCTATTTGGTGACAAGGAGGTAGTAGTTGAGTATAGTTTGAGTTACGCATTTATCTTAGCAGTTGTGACTGAAAAGGATTCGAAGCCCGCAGCCGACCTCGCGAGCAGTACAGCTATTGAGCCACTTCCCGTGAACTTCTAGCCGGCAGCGCAGGGCTGTCAGTACACAATCGAACGCCGTCACAACAGTTTATATTGCTGTGTCCGCAAATTTCATGGTAATCTTTACTCACAAGACACCCTACATAGCTAGCGAGGGACGTTACGCCAGTTTTAGGCGGCCTTGCTACTGACTGGATTGCTACTATCAATGGGAGGCTGTGGCTCGAGAGTAAGAGTTACACGAGACGGTTGTGCTGAATTTGGAGCGCCCGCGTATACGACTTTCACTACTGAGTCCGGCTCCAACCAGAAGACCCCCAGCATCAGCAGAATTGCTTGGGACGAACACACTACCTTCCTTACTGAAGTTAAAGCACGAGGCGAGGAAGCCTTTGCAGCTGACGCCGACAGCGTCCGCGAAGAACGGGATAGTGCCTTGGCTGGAGACTTGTGCCTACCTAGCTCCAGCAGCAAGGGGAGCTCCTCCCGCATTCAGGCCCGCGACGAAGATTGCGATAAGCAACTTGCTAGTAAGGCCATTGCCAGATTTTTCTTCCTTTGCAAGTGTTCTCCTCCGTAACATCTCATCTAACCATGTGTTTTTCTTCGACGGTCCTGGCAGGTGGCTTAGCAACCCCCTGCGACAAGCATTTTGTTAACAGTATGGCTTCGAACTACAGTAGCGCGCAGAGAGCTGGATGCAATACAGCCAGCCCTCCAGCTTCAATTGAGACGCCAAAGCAGCGTTCCGAAGTTCCGAGCAGCACTAATAAGCACAATTGCCAAGACGCATATGCTTCACCAACAGCTGGCGCGGCAGCCGCGCGCGCGCAGAAGCCCGCATGTGGCGATGCTGCTGACGTTCGCCACCAACATCGCCCGGCGACACCATCGCCACCGCAGCACGATAACACCGTTTCTGTAACAACTCCACCATCTCCCAAAATTGCGGGCAACGGCGCCACGGCTCCTGCGGTATCCGCCGAAGCCGGAGTGCAATGGGTCATCCGGCCAGGGCCACCCATAGAGAGCGTCTACAAACTTGGAGACGTGCTGGGGAAGGGCAGTTTCGGAGTGGTGAGTTTAAGGACACCGCATTACTTGCTCTTCTGCTGCAGTCCAGCCCATAACTAGCTGGGGAATTCAAAACAGCAAACCAGCCTTCCAAGCTGCCGCCCCCAGTCAATTCAATCAACCGCCGCCATCTCCCCCACCCACCCACCGCCCACAAAACACCCTTGCTGACAACTACACAAAGCAGCCCCTTCAAGCCACCACACATATCTCCCATCCTCTCCCAACTGCTCATCTTCCCCTGCCCCTTCCTTTCCTCCTCGGGCCCACACACCCCCTTCCCCCTCCCCTTCCCTCCGCCCTACTGGGTCCTCTTTATTCCCCCACCACCCTCACCACCCCCACCACCCTCACCACCCTCCCCTCCAGTATTACAGTGCTTAACTTCTGCGTTCTTACATCACTTTCTCCTCCCCCGCTTATTTAATTCCCCCCCCCCCGCTCCTCCTTTCTTGCCATTCTCCCCCCCCCCTGCCGCCTCCTACCCCCATTGCTTTGCCCTAACCTGTGGTCTCCTATGGTTTGGTACCTGGTCTTCCACCCCCCCCAGGTCCGCTCCGCCCGGCACCTGGTGACGGGGTGCGAGGTGGCGGTGAAGAGCATCCGCAAGTCGCTGCTGGGCGCCGCTGACGTCAGCTCGCTGCGGCGGGAGGTGGAGATCCTGCACCACCTGGCGGGCCACCCGCACATTTCGCAGCTGCTGGGGGTGTTTGAGGAGGCGGGGCAGCTGCACCTGGTGCTCGAGCTGTACAAGGTGGGCGGGGGAGGGGAGGGGAGGGGGAGTAAAAAATTATAATGAGACACTGACGAAGCAACTGACGAGCTGTATGACAAGGCTTCACCATGGGGTGCCAACATGGTAGCCGGTCCATCCCACTCTACCCGAAGTAATTTAACCGGAAGAACAAAAAGCACAGGGGGAGGGGGGATGGAGATATAAGCACAGGTTAGGGCAAAGAAAGGGGGGTCAAGAGAGGGGAGAAGGAGAACCCTGTGCGTTAAGTGGCAGCGGCTCCCACTTGGCGACACGCCCCTGGTGGAAGGGAGGGGGGGGGGGGGCGGGGAAGGCAGGGGGCGCACGGGTGCGGTAAACCGGTAGCTGCGCTAGTCGCCTTCTCCTCCTCCGCCGCCTCCGCCTCCTTCTTCAGCTCCGCCATTGAAGCGCTCTTCGCTTCGCCTCCCTTCTTTCGGATGGCCACTGTCGTGAACAGCGCGTTTTCTTCCTCTCTCTGCCCCTTCAGTTTCCTCACTTTCCCCCTCCCCCCTTTCCCCCTCCCTCCTCTCCCCTTTCTCTTTCCCCCCTTTCCCTCCCCCCCCTCAGGGTGGCGACCTGTTTGACGCCATCATCGGAGTTGGGCGGCACAGCGAGCGGGCGGCTGCGGACGTGATGCGGGTGGTGCTGGCCGCCATCTCCTACTGCCACGCAATGGGGGTGGCACACAGGGTGAGGGGGGAGGGGGGAGGGAGGGGAGGGGAGCACATGGGCAGGTAGGCGGAGAGGGGGGGGCCGATGGGGTGGCTTGGCTGGTGTGGTTGCGGCGGTAGAGGAAGGGTCGTGCTGAGGGGCGCTGCCCCGCTGTCTGCCCCCGGTGCACTGAGGGGCGCTGCAACCGCCTGGTCGGGCAGCCTGTGCGTGCGGCCGCTCACCACCCTCCTCCTCCCACCCTCCTCCTCCAACCACACACTCTCCCCTCCTCCCACCCCCCGCAGGACATCAAGCCGGAGAACTTCATGCTCACTGCCGACACGTCAGCCGCGCAGCAGCAGCAGCAGCACTCCCCGCCGGCAGGTCCCCGGGTGGCGGAGGGCGCACGACTGAAGCTGATCGACTTTGGGCTGTCGGCGTTTTGCACTGGTGGGGGGGGTGGGAGGCGGACTGGGGGTGGGTGGGGTGGGGGCGGACTGGGGATGGGTGGGGTGGGAGGCGAGGGGGAGGTGTGGTGTGGGGGTGTAAAGAGGAATCTAACGAGCAGCAGCGGGTCGCGGTGCATGCAGCGGCAGGGTGCCAGGCAGGGTGTCAGCTCGCCTGTACGAGGTGTCAGCCCGCCTCTTGCTTCGCATCGGAATCCTGCATGAGTCGGGATTTGTGACTGGGACTCCAGTAGCTTCGCTTTTCATCTCTCCCCTCCCTCCCCCTCCCTCCCCCCCACCCCAGACACCTCCCCCCTCACCGACATTGTGGGTACCTCGTACTACGTGGCCCCCGAGGTGCTGACGGGGCGGTACGGCAGGGCGGCGGACGTGTGGTCGGCGGGGGTCATCCTGCACATCATGCTGGTGAGGGGGGCGACGGGGGGCCATCGGGGGGGTGTAAAAGTAAGGAAACTGACGAACTGTATGACGAGGCTTTATCATGGGGAATCTGGGGTGGGGCGCACAGCACGTGTGGGCGCGGGGAAGCAGGGCGGCAAGAGGGCGCATGGGGAATGTGGTTTGCCACTACTGTGGCTTCAGCTATGTGCCTTGTGTGTTTCAAGCGACCCGGCCGCAAGTCGGAAGGTACGGTGTATTATTTGTTCGCGAGTTGTCTGCACGCCGCGCGGCTGGACGAGTCCGTACACCGGTGCTGCTCGCCGAGGGGGGTGCTAGGGTGTTAGGGTGGTGTCCCCTCGTTACGTGCTTCGCTCAGCCACTCGCCCCCCCGCCCGCCCCCTCAGACGGGCTACGCGCCCTTTGACGGCAAGAACGATGAGGAGATCCTGCGGGCGGTGCGCAAGGTAGGGGGGGTGCAAGGTAGGGGGGTGCAAGGTAGGGGGCTGGGGTCCTTCTCTGCCGGTGTAGCGATGACGCGCTTACCGTGCTTTACCCTCCTCCTGCAACCCCCTGCAGCCCCGTAGCGGCTACCTCCCCTGCTCACCCTTCACATCCCCCTGCCCCATCCTCCCTCCATCCTCTCCCCTTGGAGGAAGACCCGCGCCCTTCCGTCTCCCCTTGTCACACGGCGAGTTCATTCCTCTTAACCCCCCCAACTGCCCCCTAGTTCGTCAGTTTTCCTTATATTTACCCCCAACTGCCTCCCTCCCTTCTCTCCCCCTTCTTCCCTCCCCCCCCATGCGCTCACGGCATGTGTCGAGATCTGAGAGAGCGACTCCAGTTGCTGCACTCCTCATCCATCATTTCCCCTCCCCCATGCCCCCTTCCCCCCCGCCCCCCTCCCCTGGCCCCCCCTCCCCCCAGAACAAGCTGGACCTGGCCTCCGACCCCGTGTGGAGCTCCATCAGCCGGGAGGGCACCGAGCTGCTGGCAGCCATGCTCAACAGGGACCCGGGCAAACGGTACGACAGGAGGAGGAGGAAGACTGGAGGCAGGGGGCAGGCAGGAGCAGGCTGCAGCGCGACGACTGGGTGCAGGCGCCGCATAAAGACACTCCTGCTCACGCTCCTCCCCACCCTACTAACGTGCTGCCGAGGCCCCAGCCGGCTCCCTTCCCCGCTCCTCCTGCGGGGTTTCCCCCTTCCGCGACCTCACCCGCCCCCCTTGTCCGCCCCCCTTGTCCGCCCCCTGCCCGGCCCTTCCCTCCTCCTACTGGATTCACCCAACCACCCCTGAATCTAACGCTTCCCTTCCTCTCCCCCCCCTCCCCCTCCCCCTTCCTCTCCCCCCCCCAGCGCCACCGCCGACCAGCTCCTCTCCCTGCCCTGGCTGGGTCGCTCCGCCTCCTCCTGCACCGCCCCCACCGGCCCCCTGCCCGGGGTGGTGTCGGAGCGGCTGCGGCGGTTCGCGCGCATGCACAGCTTCAAGAAGGAGGCCCGGCGGGTGGTGGCGGGGATGATGCGGTCGGAGGAGGTGGCGGGGCTGGTGGCGCAGTTCCGGGGGCTGGACGCGGACAGGGACGGGAAGCTGAGTTTGACGGAGCTCAAGGTAGGGGAGTGGGTGGGGAGGGAGGGGGGAAGTGGTGGGTGGGGAGGGAGGGGGGAAGTGGTGGGGGTCATTCAGCTGAGCGGGACGGATTGGAGCGGGACAGGGGGCGGGGGTACACGTCAGCAGCGGGCATGGCTTCCTTCCTTTCGTGGCCTAGCATGGTGTCCTTCTGGTGGCGGTTTTGCGGGCTCTCAGGTCCTCCTAACCCCCTTCCCTTCCCCACCTTCCATTCCCCTCCCCTCCCTCCCTCCCTCCCCCGCATTCCCCCTCCCTCCTCCCTCCTCCCTACCCCCCCCAGCACGGCCTGGCGCGTCAGGAGTTCCGCGGTCTTGCGTTCGGCGGTGTGAGTGCGCCGCTGGAGGACGGGGAGCTCAGGCGGCTCATCAAGAGGTGCGGGGGGAGGGGTCGGGGTGCGCGGAGGGGAAGGGAGGGAGGAGCACCGACCCGCTCCCAGGGGAGCCACAAGTGAGGGCAACGCAATAGGGAGAGCTAGCTCCTCCCTCCCTTCATCGCCACCTCACCCGCAGTTCTAGCAGCCCATGCATGCACCCCCTTACCCTGCTGCCACCCTCCCGCCCCCTCTCCCCCCTACCCATCCCCCTCCAGGACCGACCTCAACGGAGACGGCGCACTGGACGAGTCCGAGTTCCTGGGGGCCGTACTGCCTGCAGCAGCAATCAACCGCCAAGCACAAAAAACCCTAACCGCCGCCGCCGTCGCCGCCGCCGCCGCCGTCTCCCGCCCCGGCAGCGCCTCCGTCGCCGCCGCCGCCCTAGTCGCCGCCGACTCGGGCGACAGCAACCCCATCGCCGCCGCCTTCCGCTACTTTGACGCCGACCGCTCTGGTCACATCAGCATGGGCGAGCTCCGGCGGGCGCTGGCGGCGCACCACCCCTCGGGGCGGGGACCCGACCTGCGGGCGCTGTTCGGGCGGGTAGACCGGGACGCTGACGGGCGCATCAGCTACCCCGAGTTCGTGCACATGATGCTGCAGGACGTGGAGGACGAGGAGGAGGAGGAGGAGGAGGAGGGTGGGGGTGAGGGAGGAGGAGGTGGTAGGCAGCAGCAGCCGCCCCAGCCGCAGCTGCTGCCGCCGCGGCAGTCCGGGGCAGGGGGCAGCAGCGGGGTGCAGGCGGGGGTGGGGGTGCAGGCGCCGTCAGCGGTGGCGATTGTGGGTGACGTCGGCAAGAAGCCGCTTCCCCCCCAGGCGCCCAAGCTGCCCCTCCCTACCTCCGCTACTGCTGCTGCCGCTACTGCTGCCGACAACTCCACCAGCAGCAACAAGAGCAGCGGCAGTCGCATCATGAGCGTCTACGGCAGCTGCACCCCGGCCCCCGCCCAGGCCCCGCCTGCTCCCCCTGCCTCCGAGTCCCCTGTCGGGGCCCCGGGCCGCGGCAGGAGCCGGGGCCCCGCCACCTCCGCATGGGCCGCAGGGGCAGCTGCCGGCTTCTCCTCCGACAAGGCTGCTGCTGCCACCCCGGGGGGTGCGGCAGGTGCGGGTGCGGGTGCTGCAGGGCTGCGGCTGCCCCCCCGGTCGCTGCTGTCCCGGGGCGGAGTGGCGGTGCCGGGCGGGCCCGTCAGTCGGGCCTCCACGGGCGCCCTGCAGCCGCCCGGCGGGTGCACCTCCCCGCTGGACTGGTGGTGCGACGAGTGCGGCGAGGGAGGCGGCAGCGGGGGCGAGGAGGAGGAGGAGGAGGCGGATGGCAGGACGGGGGAGGCGGTGACGGCGGCGGCACGCAGGGCAGCGGCGGCGGGCGGCGTGCGACCGGCGGCTCCTGCGGCGGGGTTGCGAGGTGGGGGTGCGGCGGCCGCTGCGGCGCCTCCCGCGCCCCTGCCCTCTCCTCGGGTGATCCACTACCACCCGCAGCAGCAGCAGCAGCAGCAGGCCATGCCGCATCCCCCGCCCAGCCCTCCGCCGCTCTCCCCAACTCCCCAGCAGCAGCAGCAGGCAGCCGCCAGGAGCAGCGCCAGCGGGGCCCGGCCGCAGCCGCAGACACCAGCGGGGGGCCAGCTGGGCGGCCTGCCGGGTATTGGCGCCCCCCCCACGTGCCCTGATCCCCGCTTCGCTCGGCTCTCTGACCGGGGCCCCGGCAGCAATGCCAGCAGCGCCAGCAACAACCGCGGCAGCAGCGGCGCCGGCAGCGGAGGAATGGACAAGCCGGACAGCGGCTCAGGAGGCCCCCTCCTGCCGCAGGAGGAGGCCTGCAGCTTTGGAAGCAGCGGCACCGCAGCGGCACCGCTCGGGGGCTCAGCCGCTCCCACCGCCCGATTCGTCTGCCGGCCGCACCCGCCCTCGCCGCCGCTGCAACACTACCCGCAGCAGCAGCAGCAGCACCAACACTATGGACTGCCTGCGCCTCCCACCGCGGACGCGCGCAGTCGCCGTCACTCGGTCGGCGGCGCAATCGCCGTGCCGCCGCCGCCGCCGGCGTCGTACACTCGCGGCGCCGTCGCAGTCGCAGTCGCCGCCGGCAGCAGCCCCGAGGCCGCGGAGGTGGCGCTGCTGGACTCGCCGCAGCACCCCATGCGGGGCAGCCTGCCGTCGGGCCGCGGCTTCACGCAGCCGGGAATGTACGATAACGCTGGCGGCGGCGGCGGTACGGGCAGCGGCGCTGCAGGCGGTGGTGTGGGTACGGCATCCGTTAGTCTGAGTGGCGCCGCCGTGACTCGTCCCGGTGGCAACAACCCCCAGCAATCGCCGCAGCCGTCGCCTACCGCTGGCTACCAGCCCTCCTCCTCCTCCTCCTCCCAGCAGCAGCAGCAGCGGGCCAGCCGCCGCCCCCCGCAGCTGCAGCCGCTGCGGCTGCCCCAGACCGCAGCCGGCGAGCAGACCGCCACCCCGCTTTCCTCCGGCTTCAACTGGTCCCTCACGCCCTCCACGCCTCGCACCGCCCGCAACTCCACCACGGGCATGTCCCCCGCCCCAGCAGCCTCACCCGCCTCCGCCCGCAGCCCCTTGCTCGCCCCTACCCCCGCCGCCGCCGCTGCTACCTCCCCCAGCACCGCCGGCTTCTCCTCCACGCCACGTCAGCCACCGCTGTACGAGCTGGCCGCCTGCTCCACCCCCGACGGAGGCAACCCGCTGCTGCCCTGCGTGGGCCCCATGAGCGCCTCCCGCGCGCGCCGGCAGAGCACCGGCAGCAGCACCGCCTGGCCCATGCTGCCGCTGCAGCCGCAGCAGCAGGTGGGGGGGCCACAGCCGCAGCAGGGTCTGCCGCTGCAGCCGCTGACACCCCGCTCGGTCCCCATCCATGCGCTGTCTCCGCGGCTGTCGGCGGCGATGCCTGCTGGGGTGGCTGCTGCCGCGGTGGCGCTGCACGACGGGGGCAGTCCGGTGGGGCAGCCGCACTCGCAGCACAACAGCACCCAGCAGGGGCAGGGCGGCCCCCAGCACCAGCAGCAGGGGCAGGGGCAGCAGACTCCCCCCAGCGGCCAGCGCCGCAGCCGGGGCCGCCGCGTGACGTTGATGGGCATGGAGGAGCTGCAGGTGAGCCCGCGTCTGGGGGCGGGGGCGGACGTGGAGGTGGAAGTGAGCCGCTCCTCCGTGCCAGAGGGCAGTGCGGCCGGGGGAGGCCGGGCGGGGGGGAGGTTCGCGGGCCTTGTGGCGCCCGCCTCGCCGCCTCTGATGGGCTGGAGTGCGGCCTCCCCGCAGCAGCAGCAGGGGCAGCAGAGGTACATGGCGTAGGGTTGGACTTGGGTCGTTACGCTTTCGTTTGGACGGAGATTCAGGGGTGTGAGGTTGGCAGTGGGGTGGGTGTTGGGTCCCGAGGTGCCTCGGGGGCCGTCTGGCCGGTACCGGTAATCGATGAAAGAGAATGTTGAACGGATGGACAGTGCTCTTCTGTAGCCTTGGTGTTTGTGTCCTAATGTGGGGCGCTAACGATATGAAGGCTGCGGCTCAATGTCAGGTGGCTGGTTAAGATGAAGAAACGGCTTCTTGCATGTTTGGTAAGTGAAGAAGTGTGCTGTGAGGGATGGCGGGAAGGAGGAGGAGCGTGGGGGCAACGAGGATGTGCTGTACAGCCATCAGCTCTTGCTGCCACAGCACTGAAGGTTTTATCCAACGCACAACGCAATGAACGCATCATGTGCGGCCTCCGACACGTTCCTGGGCCCTTTGCGCGCGGCGACTCGTTTGCGCTTGTTTCTGTAAACTTAGTCCAGTTGCTTGTTCGCAAGTGTCCTCCCCAGTAACTTATCTGGGTGTTGGCGCGATGGCAGTATGAAGTACATGTTTGCCGTAATTGTCGTTCGTACATGGCGCTCGAATAAAGTTGGATCTGGATCCAGGCCGTGGCCCTGCTGGGTACGGCAACCGCAATTCCTACCTGGCGCTGTTCAGCTTTCCTTGGCGCGGTGTGGCTGATGTGGCCCGATTACGAGAATCGTACGTCTCGGTAGGGGGTTGCCTTGATGCTTAAGAGTGTTTGACTTCATGAACGCGCGAAATAATGCGGAAGAAATCGTCCGAAGATGGCAGAAGATGGAAGTTTGTCGCGCTTTAGTTTACAACATGCTACAGCCGTATTGATATGTCGGCTTGTACGTCGGCTGGATGACGAAAGTTGAGCTGGATGATTGCCTTTCCAGGTAGCAACCAGTACTTCATGGCCAACATGATCCAATAAGGGTTGACCCAAGTGCAGGGGCCGCACGCAGGTCGCACAATTGTGGTGCAGCCGGGTGGGGTGCATACCGGCCGCTTGGGGGTGCAGGTGGGGGAAGAAGGGGGGTGCAGGTGGGGGAAGAAGGGGGGTGCAGGTGGGGGAAGAAGGGGGGTGCAGGTGGGGGAAGAAGGACAAAAGGCGAAGCAACGCAGTCCTGCAGGTGGGAAGCGCAGGTGGGCGGTGCAGATGGGCGGCGGTGACCCTACCTGCTGTAATGGTTGCTTTCATGCGGGCGCTGCCTTCGGGCGGCATTAACAAAGGAGAGTGGCCGCGGTTGATCACATTTAGACATGTATTTGTGTGTGCGTGACATGAGTTGTCGACATGGTGCGTGCTGTGCGTGCTGAGACGTGCTCATGCTGTGTCGGCAGCACGCTGGGCAGTGTCCCGTGCGTTGCGTGCGGAGAAGCAGACACACAAGGCTGTTTTCTTCGTGATGAGGAGCTTTTTGTCATATATAATGATGACGGTGTTAAATGGACTTGCAATTTTCCAACAGTTTACCTACAAATGTGAGTCCTGAAATGTTGGATGCAACTGGCCATGCAACGTTTGTCCCCTTCCTGACAACGTTTTGTGTCTGTGTCTGTATGAGTTGGTGGTGTAGGTTCCGACAGTCTTCCGGTCGCCCCGGTGAGTCTCTGAGACGGTTCTGACGTTAAGGTCTCGGCCCGGAATCTGGGCTCTGCTGTGCTTCAATGTCGGTGTGCTTCATTGTGGGTGAGATGCGCGCGTCCAATAAGTTGCCCTCCTGGGCATTAATACATCCAATTAATACGTCCCCTGTAAGGATCCCTACAGTTAAGCAGCAGTCGTTGTGCATCCCACGCACGGAGTCTGCGCATGCATGTATGCATGGGCGGCTGCGAGCGAGGTGGAGGCCCCCCGCCCAGAGCACGTGCGCTACTGCTCAACACGGATGGGCGAGGTGGGTGCTGGAGCCGGCCCCAAATGCGGCTTCGTACACTGTGGCGGGCGTCTACACGTGAACCTTGCTTGCTGACACGGAAACGCGTGTTTGGAGGCGCTGCGGGCATAAGGCCCTCGGCCGCTTTTCGTACATGTGCTTACAGGTTGACCCCTTTAGCATGGATCGTTCATACCATGGTGAAAACCGCCCATCCCATCAGCACTGGGCACGTAAGCACCATTGGGCCAGATCAGTAGTACGGTGGTGGACCACGTGCGAACCCCTGGTGACGTTCTGTTTTGGAGCCCCCACAAACCGATGTTTTGCGGGTTTGCCCGCCTACCTGGGTTGGCGGGAGCCCCCGTTTGGCCTGCAACCCGTCCCTGCACCCCTCGGCCGGTCCTATCCGGCTGGCGGGTCCTGGCGGCCTGCTGTGCGTGCGCGGATGCCTGGATGCTGACCCCCCTCCCCACCCCGTGAGGACCCCTACCGGCTGCAACACCGCGCACCAAACGCAAGGGGGCTTCTGGAAACTTCTGTGCACCTTGCGCGTCATTAACGTGCTACTGGTTCAATGCTCCGTCCCCGCCCGGTGTGCGGTGTGCGGTGTGCGAGCCGACTCACAGCCGCTGCTCTGCTAGTCTGGTACCCGCGCCGGAGCCGCCCCCACCGTCGCCGGCTGCTGCCGGGCGGTGCTGGCTCCTGGCTGGCCGCGGGTACCAGCCGGGGGCAACCCGGGCTGCAGGGCAGGGGAGGGTCATGTGAAGGTGCGGTGGTGAATGAGTGTGACCCTGTCGCAGGAGTGGTTCCCAAGAACTGGTGCAAGGATGTCTTTGCTGGGCCCGAATGCAAGCTCCTACCCCCGCCGAAAGGGGCAGCTCAGGGGAGGCGGCGGAAGCCGCAGGACTTGTGACAAGGCCTCAGCCGCAGGAAGTAGGGTACAACCTGGGCGCAACCAACCTGGTGGAGTAGTTGGAGTGGGACGGGGGCGGGGAAGGGGGAGGGGTGGACTAACGTGGACGGGGACTTTACGCGGGGTCTGGTTGGACGTCCCGCAAACTCGCACATACCGTACCTGACTATTCGCTCTCACTCCAATCATCGCTCGCCCATGGACCTGATAACACTGCTGCAGCGCATTTAATTGTGCACGGGCGCCTTGCAGAAGACGGTCGTTTGGCATCCTATAACGGCCATGGCCGGCAGCACGCACTGGCCGGCACTTTATCGCAACAGCCCAGGTGCAAAGGTGCTATGAAAAATTGCCGTCACATACATGTGATCTTAGTATTTATTATTTATACTTAACAATATCTGCTGGGTAACTTGTTCACCAGCGACAGATACCGCTCTTCCTCCTTCCGCCAGAGGGCCAAACGCCCCTTACCTTGGAACAAGACAAGTTAGTCATCCTCGGTTGCATGGCCGGCCTCTCTCTCTAGAGACAGTCTTAGAGTCTTGCGTGGACGTTTTGCATTTCCACAGCACCAGTCCCAACCTTCTCGGCGAGATGCAGGTTTCGTTAAATGTCTACGACGTAAGGAATGATTTATGTTGAAGCTGAAGCGAACTGTTTTGCAAGGGCAAACAACTGTTGCAAACAATGGTTGGTAACCTTCGCATTTCTTTTGCTCCTTGGGCTTGCAGGTCACGAATACAGCTAACGACAACACAAACGGCATGATAACTCGCCTTAACAGCATAACACGGGATCTTAACTTCGGTGGCGTGGTGAGGTTAAGGCCTGGAGCCCTAGCGCCTCGGATTGGTGTGCCTGCCACCTCCAAACGCCCTAAAGTGTAGAGATCATTTCCCGCTTTATAAGTTCACCCTTAAAGGGCTTGTTATCGTAGCAGGGCTTGTCGCCTTGTCAACTGCCGAACCTCTACCCCAATCTCACAGTTCCACGGCGCGGTCGAAATAGATGGCGTTGAGTGGAGCTTTGGTTACTGCGAAAGCGGTTCAGGGGTGTACTGCTGCCGGGCACGCAGCAACAGCATGTATACATACCGGTGGGTGCCTTGGAGAGTTGTGACCTCCTCCCGAACCCACTCCTTCTACCTCTCATCCGCCCCCATTTCCCTCCCGTGCAGAGAGAACATAGAGCTGGGAACGACCCAGAAAACGCGGCAAGAGGTAGGGGCGGGGGCGGGGAGCCTGCATTCCGTGGCTGGTGGACTTGACCCCAGTCAGGGCGGGACAAGGGGCAGGGGTGGACGTCCCTGCCCGGAACACCTGCCCCACTGCTGCCTTATCAACCTGGGTCCTTCTGATTTCCCTCCCTCCCTCGCCCTTCCTCGGCCCCTCACCCACCCTCGCCCTCTCCCTCCCACTCCCCCCTCTCCCACTCCCTCCCCAGCTCAAGGAGCTGCTGTCCCGCCTCAAGCGCGCCTGGCCCGGCCCCTCCTACGACCTGCTGCAGCGCAACTGCTGCCACTTCTGCGAGCAGCTCTGCGCGGAGCTGGGGGTGGCGCAGCCGCCGGGTGGGGCAGCGGGGGGGGGGGGCGGGGCGGGCGGAGGGACACAGGGGGGCAAAAAATTAGGGGGGCAGGGAGGAGGAGGAAGAGGAGGGGGACAGGGCGGTATGAGGAAGGCGGCGCTCTGGTGGCGTGGGGCGCTCTGGCGGGCCCACACGTGGGGGGTGGCACTGCGCTGCGCCCGCTGCATGGCCCCCACCCCCCAGGACGGCTGCCTGGGGGCCGGGGGCCGCGGCAGGGCACCTGCTGACCTGCGTGCGCTGCCCCCGCCGCCGCCTCACAGCTCCCCTGCCCTCGCCACCAGCGAGGCAGCGGAACACCTGCGGGCCGGCCTCGTTGCACCCGACCGGTCCTTGAAGCCCCTAACCCGCATGTGTACCTCCCCGCTCTCCCCCTCCCTCCCCAGCCTGGCTCAACCGCTTCGCGCAGGGGGCGGACGCCACCGTCAAGTTCACCAGCGAGGCGTCCGCGCTGGTGAGGGTGGGGGGGGGGCCGGGTGGGGGGGGGAGCGGGGGAGGCCCCCTGCGAGCAACACGGGGGCGGAGGCGGGGTGCAGGGCGGAGGCGGGGTGCAGCAGTACCGTGCAGCGGTCCGAACGCGAGGATGACCGGGATAAAGGCACAGGTAGGGGAGGGAGTGAGTGAGGGAGGGAGGAGCGTGGGTCCTTCAAAAGGCAGGGTAGGGGTGGCCGCCACTAAACCGGTAACGATACCGCCACTTCGAGGAGGCATCGAGGAGCACCGAGGAGGCTGAGAGGGCGAGGTTGGGTTCGGACCTCCCAGCCCCTCCGCCTGCACCCCCGCCCTCCCGGATCGCCCGCCCTGGTACTCGCTCCGCAACCGCTATCCGCAACCCTGCTGCCGTACAGCGCCTTTCCTTCTCACGACGACATCCGCGTCCACACATCTTACAAATACTCAGCCACACGGTCGCACTGCTCGCGTTGCCCCCCCTCTCCTCCCGCCTCCCTCCCCCCCGCCTCCCTCCCCCCCGCCTCCTTCCCCCCCGCCTCCCTCCCCCCCCGCCTCCCCCCCCCTGCAGGCCAAGCGGGTGGGTGCCAACCTGTCCCTCACGGCGCAGCAGAGCGCCTCCTGGCTGCGGGAGGTGTCGGCGCGGGTGATGCAGCAGGTGGCGGCGGGGGCGGCGCAGGGAGGGGCGGGCAAGGCAGCAGAGGCGGAGGGCGAGGAGGGCGCAGCAGCGGCAGCAGCAGCAGCCGAGGGGTGTGGTGGCAGCTGCTGCTCGGGCTGCCCCGCAGCAGCGGAGGGAGGGGCGGAGGGGCGGGGCGAAGATGGCGGCGTGGGGCGGCTGGTGGGGCGCTTGCGGCTGTTTGCGGCTGGCGGGGCTGCCGGCGGAGGTGAGGGCGGAGGGGCGGGGCTGCCGGCCTCAACGCCCGCTTCCTCCTGTGCGCACGCGGAGTGTCGTACCACGGCGGGGTCTTCCTCCTCCTCTGCTCCCGCGCTGGCCGCTGTGACGCTTGCTCTGCCCTCAGCGCTGCGAGCCAAGTGGCAGGAGCTGGAGGCGTCAGCGGGGGACGGCACCAAGCAGTTCCTGGTGGGTGGGGGGGGCGGGTGGTAGCGGAGGGTGGGGGGGGTTGAGCATGGGTTCAAGCGATTGGTGCTTCTTGCACTTCAGAATACATACCCGGTTATCACCCTGCACGGTCCTACATGCCCGCCGTCCCCCTTGCTGCTGCCTGCTGCAGTTCGGCCTGATCAAGACACGCCAAACCCGGCTGGAGGAGGAGGAGGCGTTGTACGGCAATAGCGGCAGCGGCGGCGGCAGTGATGGCGATGTTGATGCCGCGGGCGTGCGGCTGCCCCAGGGAGGAGGAGGAGGAGGAGGAGGATGCGGCGCCCGGGTGTTGCCGGCTGGGGGTGGTGATGGTGGGGGGGCGGCGGCGGCAGGGGCGCCCGCATGCGTGCTGATGGGGCCGGGTGCAGGGGGGCCGCTGCTGGCGCCGCCGCAGCAGGTCATCTCGGACGCGCCGCCGCCGACTCGCGGGTGCAGCGCCGGGAAGCTGGGGGTGGCGGGGTCGGAGAGGGGAGGGGCGCTGGCGGGTGTGGGAGTGGAGGCGGGTGTGGGAGCGGGGGTGGGGTCGGTGTGGCGGCCGCAGTCGAGCGGGCACTTGCTGGACATGTGAGGGCGGCGCTCTGTGAGAGGAGTGAGGGGGTAGCTTGTACACGTCATTGCAGTGCATCACCAGCTGGTCGGACAATCCCCTTCAGGATGGGGAGGGGCGTTAGCGCCGCGGGCGATTCTTTGAGAGCACAGGTAGGATATAAGGAAGCATGAGGGGGAGAAGCATTACGCAAGGTGTGTTTCTTAGAGCGGTACAGCTTAGCTACGGCGGCAGGTGGGTTGCCCTGCGCGGCGACTGGGTGCGATGCTGGGTGCTGGTGCGGTGGGGTAGGGGAGGGGGGGCGGCGAACGGCCGATTTGCACTGCTGTAGGCGGCGGTTAGGGGATGCAGGGGGGTGCGGGGTTGAGTGGCCTCTCCAGCGGTCCGAAAGCGGCTTCTGCGGCCCGTAAGGGCCCCTTAGCGGGCGGGCCGACGCTGCCTGTGGTGGCGCCCCTGCTCTATTCCGGTATTTCCCCAATGGCGGATAGCCTGTCAAAACCTGTCAACCTGTTGCTTTCCGCTCCAAATCAACTGCCTAAGACGATGTGCAGCGCCACAGTATCACAATGAAGCACAGCTGCTACAGGAATAGCTGCCAACGGGTGATTGTAGGGTTTGCTGTGAGGAACTAAGTTGGCACAGGCAAGGTGCTTGAAATGGCAATAAAACATACCTACGCATAGCTAGACGGATACTTCAGCCAACGTTTCCGTGGTGTCTTACTTTGCATATGTATAGAAATTGTGGACAAGCCTACCGAGTCCCTGTAACTAGCACATAATCCACTGTCCCCTGCATCTATACTGCAAGCCTCCACACAGCACATCTTTCGTCCGCTAATGTATATATTATCGGCATGAGGAAATCTTAGGGTGGCTTGTTGGGGTTACTCGCCCGAAACCAGTCATTATGCATAATTGCTTATTTCCAGTGGGTTCCCGGACCAACACCAAAGGGCACAGCTGGTGCTCCAGATGGCACGAACGCGTTCACGATGAACGGCCAGTTACGGGTAGGTCAGCAATATGGCTGACGGTCATACATGGGTTGGCCCAACCCAGCGCCCGTTACAAAACGTTGACCCTTATAAACGGTGGCATAACGTTCTGTACAGTCGGATACCAAAAGCTTAAGTTGACCGGTTACGCCCATCCCTGACAAATATTTCACCACGGCACGTGGTGTGGATTACCTAGAATTTTGCCGATGCATTGTTGCATATGAAAAGACAAGTGCTTTTTGTTCAGTAGCGAGTTACGGCCTGTAAAAGGGCTAAGAGTACCTTTCCTCTGTTAGTATATTTTTTAGTCTTTGAGCAAGGAATAACGCCTACGAAAGGAAGTTCGAGCAGTACTGATAGATTATCTTCAATGTTCCTTCCCTTGGTGCCCTGAAAGTTCCGGCTTTGGAGCGCCAATATTGCAGTACAGTTCTCGCTCTGATGACGAAAAGCACGACGTGACACTTCCCACAGCTTGCATTTCTCATTCTTAACGCGCTAATACTTAAGAACTGCAAAATCTGCTTGGCTGCATTGGTAATTCAGGACGTTCTTGTGTTCCTTTTTGGAAAGCTACGTAGACAGGATGCGTACACAGAACTCGGTCATGGAATGCCCGCGGAGTATGGTAGGACGAGTCATAGGTAAGAGGTTCTGGAGGGCTGAGGGAGTGGCCGGAGGCCTTCGCGCAGTACAGGCAGTGTCTCGGCGACACATAGCAGACGCGCAGCCCACAACTAAGTCGCCTGTCTGTAGGGAAGAACGGGGAGACTGTCAAGGCGTTGCAAACGTACACAGGCGCCACCATACAAATAGATCAGAGCGTCGACCCAACGCGGGTATCGATTTCAGGTGCGCGGCTAGTTCGTTTGCCTGGGATTTCTGCTGAAAGTGGTGTGCTTGGCTCCGGCGTTGCTTGCGTTTCGCATCCCTTTCACTTTCTGTCCGACCCCTGGGCTACCTTTGCGCAGGTGCCGCGTACTCTGTAAATTTGGCTGTGAGCATCGTAACTGATATTATTCGTGGTGAGTTATGCTTGTTTTATGGCTTCTAGCATAAGTCAGTCCCTCGGAAAGCCGCCATTATGAACTCCTAGCAGGTTTTTAATGATAACGCACTTCGTATCGCGAAAATCGCTTATCACATTCGCATCGGGTTCCGGCTTAGCGGAGGTATTCCGGGTTCAGTTGGTTCGTCATGACTTGTTCCTGCAATGTCCCCTGCTTTGGCTGTTTGTCCTCGAAATGCTCAGGGAGCTTCAAAGGATTCGCTCTGCTTCGTCAAGCAACTCGACCTGCAAACGGCCGTAATGGGTACCCTGCCTTTACGGAGCCGAGGCCTGTTTACGCACCAGGGCAAGTTCACGCGTGCGACCCATAGCTTGCGCTAGGTCGCTTATATAAACTTCAACGTTTAATAATAGAAGTATTGCTTGTGGTATATGTTACAACTTTATCGAGTTCTGGGAATGAACCTGGCTTTTGGTGGCTTCTCCGGAGCTTCAGTCTACGAAGCCTCGTCTGTCCCGTCATCCTGCCCTAAAGCCCTTCCCTGCACCTGCACCCGCACCCTGCTCACCAGGTACGGGCTCATCCCAGCCTCGCAACTGTACGACGACCGCGCAACTCCGGCCCCGCCCATGGGGACGCCGTACGGGCTGCGGGCTGCTGACTCCTTGCAGCATGTGTACCCGCTCATGGCCTCGGGGCTGCCCGCGCAGAGCGTGCTGGTGAGTCATGCGGGGGGAGCGGGGGGGGGGGTGCTGCTGGTCCGACTGCTGGGCCCTCTGTGGGTGCAGAGGGGGCACCAGCGGTTGGACGCTGCTGCTGCCGGGCTGCTGGGGAGGTCGCTGCTGCTGCTGCTCTGCCTCAGGAGCGGCCGGGCAGGGTGCCATGGCGCGCTAGGGCAGCCATGGAGACGGGGCCAGGCCTGGTCTGCCATTGTTTCCCTGTGTCAACCCAATCCAACTCCCTTTCCTCGTCCCTTGCCACATGCAAGGCCATCTTTGCTCCCTCCTCGCGTCCTCACCCTCCCTCCCTTCCCCCCCCGCCCCCAGGCTCTGCAGCAGGACGCGGCCGCCATGTCGCAGCCCGGCGGCATGTCGCTAGTGAGCGCGCAGCTGCAGCAGCTGGGCATGCAGGGGGGGGACCTGGGGTCGCTGGCGGCAGGTACGGGTGCGGAGGGGGGTGGAGGGAGGGAGGGGCGTGGGCATGGGCATGGAGGCAGGGGGGCGGTGCTGCTGCTGCCCGCTGGCCGTGACAAGACACGGCTTAGCTTGGCACGTGAGACGGGCGCACCCTTGTCGCAACCTCTTGCCATCTGGTCACCGCCAGCCGAGTCACGGCACCCCAGTCCATTCCACTGCTCCCCACCACTACCACTCCTCAGGCACCGCTGCTAGGCCTCCTAGCACCCTCCTCCGCGCCCCCTCACCCCTCCCTGCCCTCCCCTCTCTCCCCCCCAGGCGGCGCCATGCAGTACGGCGAGGCAGCCTACATGCCAGTCACGCTGCCCATGACCGCCGGCACCGGCCCCTCGGGCCCCTCCGCCGCCTCCTCTCTGCAGCAGCTGACGGCCGCCTCGGAGGAGTTCGCCATGACCGCCTCGCACCGCCTCATCCAGGCGGCGGGGGGCGGGCGGGGGGCGGTGCGGCCCAAGGGGTGGCTGGGGTAAGGAGCGGGGCTGCAGCAGCCTGCGGCAGCTGAGGCGGCACCCCCCGCCGCGGCGGCAGCCAGAGCAGCGGTGGAGGCGGCAGTAGGGGCGGCAGTGCGTGATCGGAGGCGCCTCTGCTGCGGGTGGGGTGGGCTGCGCTCGGCGGTGCCTGGGAGCCGGCAAATGACAGCGGCTACCCTCGTGGCGGCTTGAACTCTTGGGGTGCTCTTACTGGGAGTGCCTGCGGAGTGCCTGCATGCCGGCACTACACGCCTAACACTTTTATTTGGGTTGGGTCGTCCATACGTTTGCTGCTTTGGGTTGAGGTCACGAAGAGGAAAGAGGCCGAAACGAACGAAGGACGCGCCCGTCCCGCCTCTTCCCGCACGTCATGTGCCCGGGGTTGCGTCAGTGGGGGCGTGTTAGCTGCTTCACGTGACTGGGAGGTCAGTCCCCAGAGAGGGGGGGGCGGGAGGGATGAGGCAGCATCGCTGCATGCAATGATTGGGGATATCACTGGGGGGTAACGAAAGGCCCACTGGGTGCACGGCACTGCTCACAGGAACTGCCTGCAAGCACATGTGTTCCCTGTCCTCTCTTTTAAGAGCTTGAAGAAAGTGCATTTCGTGTTGTGTGACGTCGCCGGTTTCACTGGTGCTGTGCTAGATGCGCAAGGGGGGTGGGAGCTAGGATGTTGGGGACGTCTGGCGCTGTGTGTGTGTGTTAAGAAAACTAGCCGTTCCAGTCTAGCCTAGGTGCATGTGTCCAAGTGTGGGAATATATCTCGGGTGGTTGTCTTCGTGTAAGGTATCAAAACTTGGCGTAGGTGTGGAACTAGCTACGTCGGTGTGTGTAGGTTGGTTTGTCAATTGTGTCGAGCAATCTGAAGCACACTCCATAAATGCTCAAGTTTAATATAAATTTCTGCGGTGTTTGTCCTGTGTTTGTGTCGAGCGGCGCTGCTAGCTGGGGCCGTCATCTCACGCTGTTACATGATGTGATGCGGGGACGTGGCTTGAGTCGGCTGCTGCTGCTGCCGTCCAAGGGATGCTGAAGGCTGCTCTGCGTTATGGTGCTGCAATAAACTGCGTGTTGCCAGTTTGGGTACCCTCGCCTGTTTAGGTGCCCTCGCCTTGCCGGCGTCTCGGAGGAGTAGGGCGATGAGGCCGCCCCCCCTCCCGGGAGAAGGAAGTGTTTGGCGGGGTGTATGACTTAGGTGGGCACATGAGGGCTTTGCAAGGCGGGGACATCTGAGCGTGAAGTCACGCGGATGTACCCGAGGTGGGGAGGGCGTGAGTTGATGTCAAGCTTTTAGCGTGACTCGGTTTGCTGAGTTGGGGCGGGCGGAGTGAAGTGATGTGTCGTCGGATATGCGCTCCGCTGGCCTCTCGTTTTCGCTACTATGTGTGCACATGCACTTTGGAACATGCGCGGCCATGTCTCGCTATCACATCCACGAGTCGAAAAAGACGGTAGGGGGCTCGAGGCCCCAACCACAAGAATATGTGCGCGTTTCTTTGTCCGCGTGTGTGTCGTTTGATAGTGTTTTTGCACCACCACTTGCTTGATAACAACACACAAAAATTATACCAATGCCATGCTCCAACGGCCGAATGGGTTTTTGCAGGGTTTTAGGGTTTGTGAGTGCTGTGTGGGCGCTGTAGGTCTGTCACACGTTCGGGGTGTGGGCGCGTTTGGCTCCCAGCGGTCAGATGTCGGCCCCCCGATAACTCTTCTCATCTCTCCTTTTGAACTGCGGGCGCTGCCTCCGAGCTCTCAGGTCCTGCCGGGGGCACTCATGATATCACACATGCGCACTGCGGCTGAGCGGGCGCTTCGATATACCACATGCACACGTTTTTGGTTAGGTTGATGATGGGGATGATGTTTGTGTCCGTGTCCCTGTGAATGCGCGGTGTTGCCTCCTCTCATTAGCGAGAAGAGAGAGCAACCACTTCAATGACCTCCCGCGAAAGAGAATGTGCACTGGACAGCGCTGCGCGGTGCCCGTGACGACGTGTGTCGTCGCGCAAGTGTTGCAACATCAACAACAACGAGGCCCGCTTGTGCTGCTGCCGCTCCCTCACATACCAAGTTGAAACTCAGGCTGAGCGGCGGCTGCGGCTGCGCGACTGTGATGAGACGAGCTGCGAACTGTGAACGGCGTTTCTACGCTCATGTTGCGAGGGGATTTTGCGTTCCCATGTGTGTTGTTATTAGGAGGCCGCTGCATTTCGCTCTCCCTCCCTCTGCGGTCCTGGCTGGTGAGGGGCCGCGGCCTGCTGAGCCTTCCCGCCTTCCGCGTTGCTGGGGACGTGCTAGATGGGAAGCCGTCTATGAGGTTTGATCGTATGAGACATATATACGGTATAGGTTATACGAGGCTGTATGTGGCAGTGTGTGGCATCATCAGGGGTTTTGTGCATGTCCTATTAAAACGAGATGGCAGCATATGATGGCAGCATATGATGGCATCATGTGATGGCAGAAAGGAAGGTGGCAATGTGTATATGGTGGCGGTGCTGGGAGGGGGGTGCTGATGGCTGGTGCGCGTCGAAAGCTATATTTGTAGTAGCCCTCTTTCGACACAAGGTTCCTCTCGATGTTTAACAAGGGGCTAACGGTGTTTTCTTAACTTGCTGCTTGATGCAAAATGCGCTCGATCCTGGTCGCTGTAGCATGTGGTTCCGGTTCCTGCAGGTTGCTGCAGGCGCGCGGTTGCTGGCATTGTGAGGCGAGGGGGGGGGCAGTGATTGACAGCACCGTACACGGGGCCGCCGGGGGTTGTTATTACCCTGTGGCTGGCCGGGGAGCAGACGTGAACACCAACTTGCAAGGTAAAAGTCAACAACTCTCCTCCCATTCACAACACCCCGTGCACGGCCTGGCAGTCCTCGCGCACTTCCCGCAGCCGCACTCGCATGCATGTCGCCGCTGGTCAGCTCTTCGGCAGGGCCACCAGGCGACTGAACACCCCAGGGGGAGTTCCAATGCCGGGCGCGGGAGGAGGCACCCCCGGGGCACAGCGGAGGTCAAGAGCCATAACAGTGACATGTGTTGGCTGTCACGGGCTGTCATTGAGCCATAGGGTCAACATAGCGCAGGGGGGGGTCGGAGTACTCGCATGCAGTGGTCTCACCCCCTGCTGGGTGCAGGCCAGAGCCCACCGCCGCCTTCACTCCTTGCGGCCGGCAGTAACAACCTTGGTCCGGGTCTCGCCGTACGCCCAGCTCTCCAACGTCAGGACAGGACAGAGACAGTGTGCTGCGGTGTGGGGCGCATTACGTATGAACCCCGATGAAACAGTCCGCGTGCTTTTTGGGGGGCCTAGGCAACTTGCCTATCTTGGCAAGGCGTAAAGAGTGAAAGGTGCAATCAAAGTGAAAGCAAAATGTATGCGCCGCCCAGATTCACGCACAGTGTCCTTTACATGTGTGATCCCCTAGGAATCACTAACAGGCAAATAATGTGAGGTGTGGCACTCCTGACTAAGAAACGAGGTCCTAAGCAGGAGCAAAGCAGTGTCCTTAAACAGGACACCCCGCGGTGGTCGCCCCGTGGGGGGGGAGGGGGTCGAATGCCACATACCAAAACATAGGAAGCCGAAGGGTCCGGGGGTGGAATAGCACTGGTTCCCGGGGGAAAAGGAACATGAAAAGTGGTTCCCAATTTGTGTGGGTGTGTGTGTGTGGGGGGGGGGGGGTAGCACTGCCCACAGGAAGCTAGTGCGCCGCCCGGCCCCAGTGCTGCGAGTCTCCCTGCACGGCCCCTTTCCGCCTTCCAACGGCCAACTGCCCCCCCGCCGCTCCCAACCCCCTCCTCCCCCTCCTCCTGGCCCCCCGGGTGACATGCAGCCGGTGCAGCAGTGCGCCCCCGCCCCCGCCGCGTGTCGCCCCCCCCCCCACAGCGTGTCGCCCCCACACACTGCCGCGCATTGCTCGCGCCGGCAGCGCTTGCCCCCATACGGATGCAGGCTATGGAGGGATGCGCGTGCAGCACCTGGCGGAGCTCTGTCCGCTGTCACGGGGGGTGCCTCCCTCTCTATCCCGCACCCCCCCCCACGCATCGTAGCTGGTCGCCATGCCCCCCCTCACGCGCCAAGAGTCCCCTTCCCCGTGTATTCACCACCCATCCCGGATGCGACAGTCGCCTGGTGGGGCCGGAGGGAGGGGCAGGAGCAGCAGGTGATGATGGCCTGCCTCGGAGGAGGAGGAGGGGGTGATGTTGGTAACCTGCCTCGGAGGGTTGAGGAACTGAGGATGGTGTTGATGACACCTGCCACGAAGGGCCACCTGCATGACACCAGGACTGCATGACGCCGCGGACCCCGGTGGCAGCTGCCCGGTGCAACGGTGCACCCGCGGGGGGGTCAAAGGCCATACCAAACCATAGGAGGCGGGGGGGGGGCTTACAGTCGCACGTGCGGTACATGTAGCAGCGAGTGGGTCCAGCCAGGCGAGCGCCGCAAACCCCGCCACAACAGCCGAGCAGCATTGCGCCACCCCCCCCCAGCAGCCCCCCCGAGCTTGTCGTCTTGTTCGTGATCCTCATCAAACACATTGGGTATGCTTCTTTTTTCCCCCCCACCGGCACCCGCACACACCCATTTACATGCACTGCCAATCACAGCGGGCCGTTACCGCCCGAGTATGCACAAGCCATCACATCCGTTCCGTTGGTTCCCAACAGCACATCTCAAGGGTCCTCCTCCGGTCTGCAGGCTGCCTCCTCCCGCACCCCAACGGGCAGGCACCGCTTTCCTCCGCCGGTCTCCCCGCAACCCCCACAGCCCCCCCTGCCTTCCCCGCTCCGCGCGACCTCCTACAAAGGGATGCCACTTCCGTTCCCAGAACCGCATGTCTTTCTCTTGCTGCTGTGCCTCTGGACCTCTCGCCCACCTACTTCCCCGCCTCCCTCCTCCCTCCCGCCCGCCGCCTAGCTGCTGCTGCCCCCCGCGATGTAGCCCCACAGCCCCCCGCCGCCCCGCTTCCCCGCCGCCGCCTCCCGCTCCGCCGCCTCCCGCGCCGCCCGCCGGTGCCGCTCCAGCTCGCGCTCGAGCTCACCCAGGGAGGCCAGCTTGGCCTGGGGGGGATGGGGGGTGGGGGGTAATTTGGAAACAGAATCCGCATTACGCTGGATAGTTGGGATAGCAAATAATTGTAGTTGTTGTATAGTTAGTAGCATCAACCAATAACAAACCGTATTGTAAGCTCCATGGCGGCTGGGGTGATCTGAGATCACTCTGCATTGGCGAATAAAAGGCGGCTGCAACTGTGATAACTGGCTCCACGGCGCTAGACCTGATGTCTCAGCTGCGATGCTGTCAGCAGCATAACGTATGTAAGGTCCGCTGCTTAGCTGGGGCTGTCATGCGGCTGTGTGCACCAAAGCATCCCACCCTGCCCGACCCTCGCAAATGAACCATGGGTCTAACAAAGCCCAGCCCACAGGGTGGGGGGGTGGGGGAGCAGGGGGTTACAAAGAGGTTGGATGGGGGCGGAGGGCACAAGGCCCCCAGGGAGAGCCAGCAGTGCGGCAGGCGGCTAGGCAGGGCAGACGTGAACGAGGCACATGCGGCCCGCGGGTCGGTCGGCAGCCGCAGTCGCTCTTGACGGGGTTCTGCCCCCCACCTCTTCCCCCACCTTTCCCCCCCACCTTTCCGCCCCACCTCCCTCCCCCCACCTGCATCTCCCCCCACCTCCCCCCCCACCTGCATCTCCCCCCACCACCCTCCCCCCACCTCCCTCCCCCACCACCTGCATCTCCGCGCACTGCGCCTCCAGCTTCAGCACGCGCGCCTGCTCCGACCCCAGCGCGGCGCGGCTCTCGTCCAGGGCCTGGGGAAGGGAGGGGGGGCCAGGGGTGAGGGCGTCATGAGTGGGGCGTCATGAGGGGGGCGTCACGAGGGGGGCGTCACGAGGGGGGCGTCATGAGTGGGGCGTCACGAGGGGGGCGTCACGAGGGGGGCGTCACGAGGGGGGCGTCACGAGGGGGGCGTCACGAGGGGGGCGTCACGAGGGGGGCGTCACGAGGGGGGCGTCACGAGGGGGGCGTCATGAGTGGGGCGTCACGAGGGGGGCGTCACGAGGGGGGCGTCACGAGGGGGGCGTCACGAGGGGGGCGTCACGAGGGGGGCGTCACGAGGGGGGCGTCACGAGGGGGGCGTCACGAGGGGGGCGTCACGAGGGGGGCAGGAGGCAGCAGCGGCCAGCAGGGCCCAGGGCACCTCGGCAACAGGTGACGGCGAGTGTGTCCCCCTTTCCCCCTCCCTCCCCCCTCCCTCCCCCCTCCCTCCCCCTCCCTCTCCCTCCCTCGCCCCCCCCTACCATGGAGAAGCCTCATCAACCAGTTCGCCAGTCTTTCCTACCCCTACCCCCACCTTGTTCGCCTCCGCCAGCGCCCCCTGCGCGCCCGCCAGCTGCTTCCTCAGCAGACCCAGCTCAGTGGCCGCCCCCTCCGCGGCGGCCGCACTCTCCCGGATGGCGCCCTCCGCCTCCCGCCGAGCCCCCTCCAGCGCGGCACGCAGCTCGGCCACCTGCTGGCGCAGCTCAGCCACCAGACGGGCGGAGGGGGAGGCGGGCGCGGGGGGCTCCCCGGCTGCTGCTGCTGCGGGCGCTGCCAGAGGTTGGGTCGGCGACACCTGCTGCTGCTGCTGCTGCGGCGGTGCTGCTGCTGCCGGGGCCTGCTCCTCAGCTGCGGTGGCGGCAGTCGGGGGGGCTGCAGCCGCCTTCCCCTCCCCCTCCCCCTGCACCCCGCTGCTGCCGGCGGACAGCTCGGGCGCCCGGAAGACGGACAGCGTGTTGAGGTACCTGCCGTTGTAGCCGCCAAAGGCAAGCAGGGTGCGGGGGGAGGCGGGGGAGGAGGCGGAGGGCGGCAGGGCCACCAGGCTGATCCCCTCGCTGCTGAGCGGGTCGCGCAGTGCGACAGAGGCCACCACCCGCCACCTGACGTGGCCCGCAGCAGCCGCCCCCGCAGCTGTCTTCCCTCCCTCCCCCTCCCCCTCCCCGCCCCCCAGCCCGCCCAGGTCCGCCGCCAGCAGGTCGGTGCAGCCGCGCACGTTGTTGCCGCCACCCACGATGAACCAGGTGGCGCCCAGCAGCGCACCCGCGTGTCCCGCACGGGGGCTGATCTTGGCACCGGACTGGGAGGGGGAGGGGGAAGGGAGGTTGGGGGGAGGGCGGTGTGGGGGGAAGGTGGTGCGGCTGGCGAGGGCAGAGTAGTGGGGAGCTAGGAGTGGGGGTGGGGTGGTGGCGGGTGGGGTGGTGGCGGGTGGGGTGGTGGCGGGTGGGATGCAGCGCCCATGCGGCGCCCCCCGAGTGGCAGGGGAGGTGCGACAGCGGCTCTGCGGGTGCGCTTCCACACATCAGCGCGGGAAGGACCTGCTGGACACGACCCCCTCATGCAGCCCGCCTCTTTCCGGCCCCCTCCCCCCCACTATCGTTCAGAGTATGCTACTCCTCCCTCGTCCTTTCCCAGAGCACTCCCTCCCCCCACCCCCCCACCCCCCACCTGGCCCGGCTGCCCCCATCTCAGCGTGACGGTGTCCAGCAGGTGCAGGTCGCTGAAGCAGCTGGACACGGAGCCGCCTGGGGGGGCGAGGGGGAGGGGGGGGAGGGAGGGTGGTACACAACTCACCAAGAAGGGGAGGCCTCTGGCGGAGCGGGGAGATGCGGTGCGGTGCTGCTGCCCCATACACACCGCGCCCCTCACCCCACCCTCTACCTCCCCCCGGCCCACCCGACCCAGGCCACCAGCACCGCCGTGTGCAGGGCTCCTCCCGCCCTCCACCCTTTTCTTCCCCCCGCCTTCCCCACCCCCCCCCTTCCCACTCACCCTCCCGCCCCCCCTCACCCGCCCCCCCTCACCCGCCCCCCCTCACCCGCCCCCCCTCACCCGCCCCCCCTCACCCGCCCCCCCTCACCCGCCCCCCCTCACCCGCCCCCCCTCACCCGCCCCCCCTCACCCGCCCCCCCTCACCCCCAAACATCAGGATGTACCGCTCCTGGTACAGGGCGGCGCAGCAGGCGGAGCGACCCGGGGGGGCCGGCCCGGTGATCTGGGGGGAGGGGGGGCGGAGGGGGGGAGGGGGGAAGGGAGGGGGTGAGGGGGCGGCAGGCGGTGAGCAGAGAAGTCCGAGTCCAGGGGCGACCGGCAGGACGTCATAGCTGCACCCCTTCCCCCTTCCCCCGCCCGGGCCAGATGGCTCCTCCCTGCCCGGCCGCTCCCCTTCTCTGAGCCCTCTTCTTTTCTGGCCCCCCCACCCTCCCACTATCATTCAACGCATGGTTCTTCCCCTCCCCCCCGCTCCCCTCCCCTCCCCCACCTCCGGGCAGCTCCAGGTGAGGCTCTCCAGGTCCAGCACCCACACGTCCCCCAGCGCCCGCCGCCCGCCGTCCTCGCCGCACAGCACCCACAGCTGCGAGCCCAGCAGCACAGCCTGGCAGGGGGAGGGGGGGGGAGGGGGGAGGGGGGAGGGGGGAGGGGGGAGGGGGGAGGGGGGAGGGGGGAGGGGGGAGGGGGGAGGGGGGAGGGGGGAGGGGGGAGGGGGGAGGGGGGAGGGGGGAGGGGGGAGGGGGGAGGGGGGAGGGGGGAGGGGGGAGGGGGGAGGGGGGAGGGGGGGAGGGGGGAGGGGGGAGGGGGGAGGGGGGAGGGGGGAGGGGGGAGGGGGGAGGGGGGAGGGGGGGAGGGGGAGGGGGAGGGGGAGGGGGGAGAACAACCAGCCGTTGTGTGGCAGAGGCAACCCAGGTGACGAGCTGCCGGTGCATGGAGGGGGTGCAGTGTCTGCATGCGGGCGGACAGGCACGGCGCGGTGGTGGGGATCAGCAGCAGCAGCTCGGCGCCCCTCCCCCCCTACCCGGCCCCCTCCCCCCTCCCCCCCCCCCTCACCGCATGCCCCCCCCTGGCTGCCGGGGGGCTGCCTGCAGTGGGCGGCTCGCTCCAGGTGCGGGCGGCGGGGTCCACCAGGCGCAGGGGCATGGGGCCGGGCAGCTTGGACTGGGGGGGGGATAGGAAGGGGGGAAAGGGAGGGGCGGGGGGGTAGCAAGGCGGTGTGAGAGGAAGATGGCAGGAAGGGGGTTGGCCGCCCTCCGGTGTCAGGTGTCGGCACATGTCACACTAAATTCGGCGTACGCAGTCGGGCACCAGGGGACCCCCAGGACCACCGTCCCCACCCCCCGCCACCCCTCACACGGTCAGTTCGTTGTTTCCTCTTTACCCCCCCCCCCCTTCACATACAGATCGTCAGTTGCATCGTCAGTGTCTCATCATATATTTTTTACCCCTTACCTTGCTGTGCCCCCCCTCACCTTGCTGTGCCCCCCCAGCACGTACAGCTTGCCGTTCCACGCGGTCACCGAGTGCCCAGCCAGAGCGGGGAAGCCACCACCGCTGCCCCCCTCCGCACCGCCGCCCGCCTGCTGCTCCGCCTGCTCCCCCCCTGCCGCTGCTGTCGTGCCGCGGTGCAGGGTGAGGTGCTCCCAGGTGGCGGAGGGCAGGTGCAGCGACCACACGTCGGACAGGTAGCGACCGCCTGAGGGGGGGGGAGGGGGGCAGGGCGCGGGCAGTTAGGGGCTAGGCATGCCGCCGTACACATCCCCCCGGCTGGAGGGCCTCATGCAGCTCCAGTGGCGGAGGGGAGGTTGGTGGCGGAGGTGCAGCGGGCAGTGGGGCGCAGGGGTAGCGTGACGCCTAGCTGCGATGTGGGCAATAGCAGCTCGGACCCACCCTTCCCGTCCCCGAAGCCATCACCCCTCGCTAGGCGCCCCCCCTCCCGCCCCCAATACGCACCGTAGTTGCCTCCCAGCACGTACACACACTCGCCCACCACCGCGGCAGCCGACTCGTACCGCGGCAGGGGCTTCCGCGCCGCCCCGCCCTCCGCGCCCGCCCCCACCGTCTCCACCTGCCGCCACACGCCCTCCTCCGCCTGGTCCACAACGGCCCGCACCTCCCCTTGCGGCTGCTGGGGGGGCTGGGGGGGCTGCTGCGGGTCGGGCTGCGAGGCGCCGTCCGCCGCTGCGGCCGCGGCATCCCCGGCAGCAGCGGCTGCGGCGAGTGGGGAAAGCAGCGCCGGAACATGAGGTGGGAATGAGGGGGGAGAGGATGAAGGGGGAGAGGAACGGTACGCTGCTAGGGCTTCATGTGGGTGGGGGGAGCAGACGTGCAGTGGGCGGTGACACCCGCCCCCCCTAGCTCCGCCCCCTCTTCGTGCCCACCTGGATCCGGGGAGCCCTGGGCGCCCCCCTCCGCCTGCTGCAGCAGGGCCCACCAGTCAGGCTGCGCAGGGGGGCAGGGAGGGAGTGCCGAGGGTCGTGAGAGGTGTGGTTTAACAAGGGGGTTTCAGCTTCCTCAAAGCTGGAAAAGGGCGGAGCCCCTCCTCTTTAGTACAGGAACGTATTATCACCACTGGAATGATTGCGATTATTACAGGGGAGTGGAACGACTCAAGTGCGACGCACAACCCTATGGGCCTTATAGACCTGGAATGCGCTCCTGTGACTCCACGGCACCAGTTGACCTAACACACCTCGTTATACGGACGCTGAATCCCCTTGTTTACTGTAGTTTTAGTGCTCGTTGCATGGCTAGACGGGCTCAGAGCCCCTTGTCCAGCCGAGGCCGGCCGCCTTGTTCACCCATGGCGTACATTGTGTCCTCACTCATTGCACACATTGTTAGGTTACGCCTGTTCAATCGAGTACTTAGTAACGTCTTATCATGCTTGATAACACCCACGCCTTAGGCTACAGAACCCAAATCGACGGCGTATCTGCCACATGGAAGTGCTTTCAGGGTCCCGCAGAGTTTCACCTACATTACTAACATGATGAGGAGGTCAGGCTCCTCAATCTCGGCATCGTGCTCAGAAGGACTTCAGCCATTGCGCCGTCACATGACATGTTAGCTTATAAGCGAGGTATCCCGTACCCGTTTGCGTTACAGTTCATACGCATAAACCCATAGCAAAGGCTTGCAACATCGTCCCAAAGGATTGTGTGGGCTCTGAGTAGCACAGTAGATGCGAGCATGCTCCCGCCGACTTTCACAGGTAGCCCTTTGGCGACACGCCGCTGTTACCAATTCACTAAATACTGTTTACGGTACCAGGACAAACCATAGAGGAGCGCTAATCGCTGTTGCCGAGGTGGTCCTTGTTCAATGGCTGGTCAATAAATCGTTTGTTGCGAAATTAAGTTTGTTTGGCTTCCAGTTATTTTTACTGAATACAGATAACAAATATCTATTAGGTGCAATAAATAGTTTTGTCTAGATTGTATGTTTTGCCGTTACGGACGGACACACGGACACACGGACACACGGACACACGGACACACGGACAGGGGCAATCCTGGGGGGCGAAGCCCCCCCGAAGCCGCTTCGCGGCGGGGGCTCCGCCCAAAAACGTTTGCTATTTTGTTGTAAGCTGTGTATTTTTAAAGATATAAAGAAATCACTTGTTGGGGTCTATCTCGCGGCTTGAGCTTTTTCGATGCTCAGTCATCGAAGCGTTGCGTACTCCATGGCGCGAGTCAAAGGACTCGACATACCGAGTTGCTAAGATATTAGCGCAAAAACCAATTGTCAACAATGCATGCTGCTGATCAGCAAGTGTCGAACGAACAGTCAAGAACCCATCAACCGTCGCGTCCCCACTTCACTCTTTACCTGTTCCTCGTCAAGTGCCTTCACAAAGAGTCGCATGGCCTCAATAGACGTCATGTTGCCCAGCTCCTTCCAGCCCTGCCACTTGGTGGACTCCACACCATTTCCCCAGCCCCATGGACGTGGAGTGGTGTTTGGCCCAACAGTTGCTTGCTGCTTCAATGCGTACAAGAGAAGCTCATTTTCCTGTGCAAGGGGCTTTGATCCTGCAAAGCAGTAGCAAAGGCAGCAGAAAAGTGCAGATTAACTGGCGCAACAGCCTAAGGATTGGGGCTTCGGCGTAATGACATACCCTTAGGCTTTAAGCTCCAAAACTTGGCCGCCGCGTGAAACTTGTCAGGGTACGCGAGCGGGCACTGGGATGACATGGCGATCGCTACCAGCTGCTCGGTGGTTATCCGGGCTAAAGTTGTGAAGCCTTAGCGACTAATCCTGTGTTGGAGCTAAGGTGACTGATAAAGTCTAATGAGAGCAAGGATTTATGACCTGACAGGATACAACCGGTTGGAATCCCTTGCTTAATGCAAATAAGCCACTGGCCCTGACGTGAAAGCCTACGAGGCCGCAGGCAGCACAAGTGTACTGGAGCTAATTCAAATTAATTGAAGGGCATAAGACAGCGTGTACTATGGATCCCGTACATCCACAGCTTGACGTTCTGCTTCAACCATTGAACAATTCAATATTAGCTGCATTATATTATTTATTAACCTGTTATAAGCGCTTACATTATGCAGAGCTTAGGGCTTCGTCCGCGAGTGCTTGCTTCAGAGCGGTCGTATAGGGCTCACTCGAGATCCAGAAACTGTTGTTCTACCAAACAATTTCGGTTGCGATGTACACCAAAAGGTCCATCCGATGAATCCCAAGACCCGGATGTGCCTCCGCCAACGCCAGGCACGCCACTATCGGATGCCATCAGCCGGAGCCTCACAGGTACACCCTGGCCGCGGGCGGGGCGTAGTCCAGGCGACTCCAATGCGCCAGAGCGCTGGTCTAGCCACGTGTGAGGCGTGGACCGCTAGCACAGGGGCGCCTGCCGCCACCCCACAGCGCAACCCAACTGCAGCCCACCGCAACCCACGCAAGGCAACCCGGCGGCGCCCCCTACCCCCCTCCTCCCCCCTGTCCTCCCTCTCCGCTTCTGCCCTCCCCGCCCCACCCCAGAGCTGTCCAAGGGCGCCCGGCGGCCCCCCGGCACCACCAACCTGCTGCTGTGCGGCGAGTCGGAGGAGACGTGGCGGCGGCTGGACCTCAGGGTGCGTGCCGCCACCCCCACTGGGGGGCTGATGGGGGAGGGGGGCTGCTGGCACGGGGGCTGCTGAGGGGGCGCCCGGGGTTGCGGGCAGGCTGGGCGCCGACGTACGAGTCGTGTGCCGCTGGCAGGGCCGTACGAGTCGTGTGCCGCTGGCAGGGCCGCTAGTAGGGCCGCATGTGTGGCAGCTGCCCTCCTTGCAAGGCCTTGGAAGGGAGGCCGGCTCGGGGGTGGGCCCCCCCTTGCAGCCGCCGCCGCGTCAGCAGCAGCGGCCAGGGCGGGGGCAAGTGGGGCCGCAACGCCGCTCTGACCCCCCGCGGCCTGCCCGCCTCCTCCCCCCTGCCTCCCCTGCCCCCCCCCCGCAGGTCAACAAGTACCCCATCCAGCGCAGCTTCACCGCCATTGGGACGGGCGGCCAGGAGTTCAGGCAGGCGATGGTGAGTCAGCATCGGGGGCAGGGGGCTAGGGGGCTGGGGCAGGGCGGGCAGGGGGCTGGGGATGCTGCTGCTGCCCTGGGGCTGCATAACTGCATGTCTGTGGGTTGGCCGCACCCTCCTGACCGGCCCCGCACACTCCCTCAGCAGTGTTACCACATTCCTCACCACATCCCCTGTGCACACGGCCTAGTCCTCCTGGGTCTCCATGGTTGGTGAGAGGACGCACGCTCCGCACGCCCGCATGTGCCGCTAGCTGGGTGGTCACCACCGCCACCCACTCCACCACACCAGCTCCTGCTAGGGCAGGTGGGGGGGGGTGAGTGCCCGGGTGGCGCCCGCCGGGTGCTGCAACCGGGGCGCAGTGGAACACACCAGCTGGCCCCCCCCACCTGCCCCCCCCCCCCCCCCTCCATGCATGAATGCATGATGGCGCCTGATCACATGGCTCGTCCTCTGTACCCCTCCATGCCTGCCTGCAGGTGTCCGCGGTGGAGCGGGTGGTGGGCTGCGTGCACGCGGAGTGCGTGTCGGAGCGCCATTCCAGCGGCCGGAACTACATCAGCGTCACCGTGGGGCCGGTGTGGGTGGAGAGCGGGGACCAGGTGGGAGGGGCAGTGGGCGGGGCAGTGGGAGGGGCGGTGGGAGGGGCAGTGGGAGGGGCGGTGGGAGGGGCAGTGGGAGGGGCGGTGGGAGGGGCAGTGGGAGGGGCGGTGGGAGGGGCAGTGGGAGGGGCGGTGGGAGGGGCAGTGGGAGGGGCGGTGGGAGGGGCAGTGGGAGGGGCGGTGGGGGCAGGCGGGGCGGGGTTGCGGACTGCGGTGCGGGTGCCGCCACGCCCCTGGCAGCAGCGGTGGGCGCATGTGAGCCGCCCACCCCCCGCGTGCGGTTGCGGGTGCCACCCTGCTGGTGCGGACGTCGCCAGCATGCAGCTGGAGCACGACATGGTTCTGCCTGCGGGTTGGCCTGAGGCCCCCTGCCCCCTCCCTGCCCCCCGCCCCCTGCCACACACACCCTGCTGCCCCCCCCCTCGGCCCCCCCTGACAGATCATCCAGGTGTACGCCAACATGAAGAGCGACCCACGGGCCAGGTGGATCATTTGAGGCCCGTGTGGGGCCCGGTGGGGGGCTGCGGCGAGGGAGGGGCGCAGGCAGGCAGAGCGGCAGCTGCTGCTAGCGGGCGGGGTAGGGCGCGGTGGGTCCGACCCCCGCCCCACTGGACCGCTCAGCTCCACCTGTGCCACTCATGTAGACGCGTGCGCAGTGTGCAGCCCACGTCGTCCCTGCGTATCCGACATTAATACAATATGTATCGCCCGATGACAGAGTGAGTGTGCGGTGCGGCACGGTGCTCAGTGCTGCTGCTGCAGGCACAACCGCACCCGGGCACCCAGGCACCCGCATCCCGGGGGTGCCCCGGGTGCAGCTGGGCTGCATGCATGCGGGCGCAGCAGGGCGAGGGGGTGGCTGGCGGCCAGCGGACATGCGGGGCTGGCTAGTTTGCGGGGGGTAGGGGGTCAGTGTTGGGAACCCCGGGGGGGCTCCGTGAGCGTTGCAAGCGACACGTATGACGTTATGAGAGGCAGGGCTAGCTGGCTAGGTGGTGGGCAGAGGGCTGGGGGGCGGGCTGCGGGAAGCCGGCCAGTGCTGCACCGTGGGCTGAGGAGAGCAGGGGGGAGCGGGGCAGATAGGAAGCTGTACGTGGAGCTGTGTGACGGGGCTTTACCACACCTCCTTGGGTCGCTGAGGGGGCCGGGGGCGACCCGCCGGCTGGTTGTACGACGACAGCGAGGCGCCGCTCTAGCGTTTTGGAGCTGCACCTTGGGTTTCACGTACAGCGCTGAGGGGCAGCGGAGGGGAGACGGGTTGGTGATTGTGTGTTTACCAACGGTGTACTCGCGAAGAGGAGGTGGGGAGGGGGTGATGGTTGTGTGTATTGGTGCACTTCTGCGGAGGGGGCTTGTCCGGCTGAGCTGCGGGTTTCACCTAAGCTCATGCAGAGGCCAGCAGTTCAGTTGCATGGGCGTTGGTGATGGCTAATACGACATGTCTCCAGTTTGTTATCCGCGGCCAGGGGGCATGGCGGAGGGCCGAATTGAAGGAGGGGACGCGGGTCAACTCGCCCGGACGGCCGGGCGCCGGGGCTGCTGCTCTGCATGCGAGTGGGGCCCAGGCCGGGTGGAGCGGTGGGTCATCCCTCCGCGCTGGTGTGCTGCGACTTGGTGCGACACGCATCACTCCGGACTGGCCGGGACGCGGAGGTTGCGTTCGCTGACGTGGTGGGCAGGTAACGAGGGAAGCCAAGCTCACTGCGGTATCGCAGTGTAGGTGTAGAGCTGCTGTGTTCTGTATGGCTTTCGGGTTGTGCTGCTAGGTATGCTAAGAAAACTGGCCGCGAAAACTGGCTGCTAGTATGTCTATGGATTGAACGGCTGCTGCGCTCGATTGGGCCCCACGTGACCCGGAGGGGCGGTTGGGCCGGCAGCGGGTTTTTGACCGCTGCCGGCAGCAGCTGCATCGAACCGGCCGCATGTCGCAACAGGAGTCGCGGTGGTGCGTTGGCGCTGCTGTGGCACTGTTGTGCGCCCTCTTCTCCGGCTTGCCGGTGTACACTGCGGGCTGCCGCACCCATGGCGCGCCTGAGGGTGGTGACTGAGATCTCACCGAAGCTGTAGATGGGAGCATGACAGAGGAAGCATGTTGGGGTAAACGGGCTCTTATCCCGCTGGCCCTCTCTTGCGGTAGGTACGGAACTGCCTGGACATGGGCGTGTCCAGCTGGACGGGGTTTTACCCGCTTTGTGGTGTAGGTTACTTCTGCTGTAGAGAGACCATGCTAATAATGGCTGTGCGGAAGCTATTTCGGCGGGGAACGTGCGATACTGAGGTAGTCAATTGTTAATGGTCCAGCCTGGTCGGCATGGCTCACGATTCTAGATTGAAAGGCTGCCTTAGAGCACAACAGAGCGTGTTAGTTTGGCACAACTCAAAGGTCTATCAGACGCCACTCGACTGTCATACGCCCCTGGCATTGCAGCAAGTGTGTGCCGGTACGTAGTAGAGTAGTACCGCTTGCCAGCTTCCCAACGTGCGAGCGTTCACCTTCATCCGTGCAGTTCATGGCAGCTAACTTTAGTTTCCTTGATGATGGAGTGTAGGTCGGCATCACTCATGTTTCTATCGCAATGCTCGTCACTCGTCACATGGAAACCTCGTGTTGCTTTGCAACTATACCTGCTTCAAAACTACCAAGCGCCCTTTGAAAGTAAAATTTATCTTAGAGGCGGAAGCGCTCTGCTCTGCAGATACCGTCTCCGCGCCTGTTATTACTATTGCCGTACGCCTCCATGTGCCGTCATTCAGGAGCAAACTCTGGCCTGTGTTGCGCCTAGTGGTTCTCGTAGAAGCATGGCTATACACTAAGCAGTAATTATTTGAGTCATTTTGCGCTTGCCCTTACTTGTCGCGGCTCATGGTTTTGCTACGTAAATGGCTGCTCTTAGCCGCCATTTGCGTGCTGAAGGATAGTGTTTGAGGGCCTGCTAGCATGAGAGCATTGCGTTGTTGCCGACCCGTCGATAGGGAAAACTGTGCTCGCTCTTAAGTCTTAACGCTCTGGCCGTAAGGAAAAATATGCTTCGACTGGACGTATAAAGGTCTGCTGTAGCTAGCTAAATGGGGGCGCATATTTCGCAATGCTTTGGGCAGCCCGCCCCTTCTCCCGACATCGGTGCGAAGCCTGGAGTGCTGCCTCCTGGTTCCATCACAGCGGAGAAGCATGAACAGCAGCTCCCTTTGCCAAGCTCTTCAGCATGCCAATGCTCGGTCAAGAGTAAGTGTTCGGGTTGTTGGCGAAGCGAAGTAGCAGTTTTGTGTGCTAAACAAGTGCATCCTTGCAGGCGATGGGGCAGCAGCAACCTGTAGGGGGCAGTGCGCGAGGATACCGGCAGGAAACGCGACATTGCACACGGCAGTACCAAGCAGTCATGGCGTCTCGGTGAACCCTATAGAGCGGCTGTGCCGCGAGACAGGTGACATAAGTGAGCGTTAGAGATCCGTGTATAAACATGTTGAGTTTCCTCCGCAGCGTTTCAAGTGCGACTTCAGCTGCATGCGCCGTAATGCCCATCCCTTCCCGCAGACGACGGGCTTGCAGTCCTGGACTACGCCGCCCTAAACGCCGAGCTCCGTGACTTCCCCCAGCCCGTCGCCGTCCTCTACGTGTCCCACGTCTCGCCCTCCTGCGCATTCGACACGGCTCAGAGCAGCATCGGCAGCGCCATGGGCCCCTTCCAGGCCGCCCCCGGCTTGGACGCCGCTCTCACGGTTCGGCGCCAGAGTGGCGGTGTGCCGGTGTCGCTGGTGTTCTCCGCGGGGCAGGGCTCCCTGGAGCTGGGTTGCGTGCTGGCGAACCCCGCTGCGGTGTGCGCGCTGCAGCTGCGGGAGGAGCGCGAGCTGCTGTCCTACCTGGCGCGCAGCTTCGGGAAGGACCCCGGGCTCAAGGTGCTCTTCCAGGACATCATAAAGTGGGTGGGGGGGGGGCGGGGTGGGGGGAGAGGTGCGGAGAGGAGGGGTCTGCGTAAGGGGATGGACAAGCGGATGAACCTGGCCATGTGTCCGAGGGCTTCACCCTTGGTTGCGTCAGTGGGGCGGGAGGGGGCCTGCGACAGGGGGCTGTGTCCCTGGGGTTGGCGTTGGCGGTGCGCCCTTATCCCCTTCCCCCCCTCCCCCCCCAGGCGGCTGCTGCAGGGCCAGCTGCATGCCGTACACCACTTCGTGCCCGGGGACTTTGGCAGCGACCGCTACTTCCTGTCCGTCAGGGTGAGGGGGGCCGGCGGGAAGTGGGGGGGGAGTGGGGAGGCCTCTGGAAGCGTGATGCGGGTGGGCTGAGGCAGGGGGGGCGGAGCACCCCCGGCGGCACTGCGGGCGGCGGCTCCTGTGCCGCCCTCAAGTCGGCTCCTTCCTCGCCCGCCATGTCAATAGCATGCGGTCGCGACAGCAACGGATGCTGCCCGACGCTGGGCGCTGCAGGGAGGTGCCGGCCGCTCCTGATCCTCCCCTGCCACCCCTCCGCAGATCTCCCCCTTCGTGTACCGCTACTCCGCCCCCGCCGAGGGAGGCCTCCTGGACTCCTCCTCCCCCCGCAACAGCCCCGGGCTGGGGGCCCCCCCGCACGCGGCGGGCGGGGAGGGGGGTGTGCCGCACGTGGCTCCCGCCATGATCCTGGAGCTGGATGTGCCGTACGAGGGCAAGGAGCTGGCGGCGCGGCTTCAGCGGGACTACCTGATGCTCTCCAACATCCCCTCCATCGTCACCATGTTTGACATGGCGGGGTGAGGTGGGGGGGTGGGGGGTAAAGAGGAGACAACTAACTGGCCGTGTGGTAAGGCAAGGGGCAAGGGGGCGCGTGAGGTGACCGCTCTGCATGCGCTCCGCTGCCCTCCTGCCACCCGTGTGCCGTCCCCTGCCCATGCTCCCCCGGTTACCACTAACTGCCCCCATGACCGCTACCCCGCTCTGCCCCCCTCCCCCCCCTGCCAGTCGTGTGCTGCACCAGAACCGCTCCTCAGTGGCCTTCATGGGCTACCTGGTGGGGCTGGAGCTGCAGGGGGGGGCGGGGGCGGGGGGGCAGGAGGGGGGGCAGGAGGGGGCACAGCAGCAGCGGGAGGAGCAGCAGCAGCAGCACTCGGGTGGGGCGCGGGGGGCGGGGGTGGCGGGTGGGCTGCTGCCGCCCCTGGCCCCCGCCACCAACCGGCTGGCCCAGCTGTTCCGCTGCGACCCGGGCAAGCTGGAGGAGGTGACGCAGGCGGTGGCGGAGGGACTGGTGAGGGGGGGGAGGGGAGGGGGGGGGGGGGGGTGTGCGGTACGGCACGGCAGTCCAGCCCGCCATTGCCGTGTGTTCGCACAGGGGTCACGCGGCGGGCCCCCCTCGCTTTGTTCCTGGCGTGTTCCGCCCCGCATCGCTTCACCCTCCCATGGCCTGTGCGGAGATCCGCAATGCGCCCCTGCCGCCCCTCCCCTACCTCCCTTCCCCTACCGCTGCCCCCTCCCCTCTGCCAGGAGTGGCGGGGGCTGGTGCGCATGCCGGCCAAGCTGCAGTGGCAGGACCCCGCCGCGCCCCCGCCGGGCCCCCCCCTGTCGGACGCAGCGCTCCCTGCCGGGCCCCCCGGCCTCACCACGCAGGAGGTGGACGAGGCGGCGGAGGGGGCCGCAGCGGCACCGGGGCCGGTCCCCCCAGCGCCACCGCCGCCCCCCGGGCGGGGCAGCGGCGGTGCGGCAGCGAGGTCCGCCATGAGCGCCTCCGCCGGCACCTGCACGGGCCGGGTGGAGGAGGCGGGAGGGGCCCAGCAGCCGGAGGGTGGGGAGGGGGAGGGGCGGCAGGCGGGCCCCTCCGGCTGCACCCGCTGCCCCGTGTCCCCCCCGCTGCCCGCCCTCCCCCGCCGCACCTCCAGCGACCTGCTGCGGGAGCTGCGGGGGGGAGGTGCGGGCAGCAGGGGCGGCAGTACGGCACAGGCGGTCATGGCGGGCGGGAGGATGGAGGGGGAGAGCAGCGGCTCGGAGGCCCCGACCACCGGGCAGCAGCAGCAGCAGCGGCCCGTGTCCCCCTCACACGAACCTCCGCTGCAGCCGTCCACAGAGCAGGAGAGGGAGGCGGCGCCACTGCAGCCGTCCCAGCAGCCGACACCAAGGCAGGCGTCGGGACCGCCCTCACCTGAACATCAGCGGCAGCAGGACTCGCTATCCTGGTCTGAGGAGGGTGTTGAGGGCGGCAGCGCGGCCCCCGCCCGCCAGCTGCTACCGCCCGCCTCGAGTGCAATGGGCCAGTCTCGGCTGGCGCCTAGGGCAGAGGGGGCCGCTCCGCTGCAGGGTGGAGCTGGAGACCAGCCCTCTGCCTGCCGCACTGCAGCTTGCACGGCGGGAGTAGAGGTGGTGGCGGTGGGGGTTGCCGAGCAGGCGGCAGTGCAGACAGCAGTGCAGGCGGCTGCGGTCATCACCCAGCCCGCTAATGTCGCCGAAGCCGCCCTGCACCGCCGCGACCTGCGCCCCCCCTCGCAACCCCTGGACGTCCCTCCCGCTGTGGCAGCCTCTCACCCGCTGCAGGGGTGTCTGCTGCCCAGCGTGTTTGGCGCCGCCCCCGCCGCCCCACCGCCAGCCGGCAGCCTGGGCTCCTCCCTGCCAGGCGGCGCTCACCCGCACCTGCTGCGGCTCCCCTCGTCCAGCGACCCCTCCCTCAGCCGGGGCGCCATGGACGTGGCCAGCCTGGCCGCATGGAGCCACGCCACGCACTTGTCCACGCAGCACTCGAGGCCGGGGTCGGGTGTGTCGCACGCGAGCGCAGGGCTGTACGGCACCGCACAGAGCAGTGCAGCTGCCGTGCCGCACCCAGAGCCGCACTCGCACCCGGAGCCGCACCCGCACCCGGAGCTGCACCCGCACCCGGCCGGGGGGCTGGCGGCGCATCATGTGGCCACTGGAGTGGGGACCCGGCTGGAGGTGGTGCACGACGGGGAGGGGGCCGAGGGCGGGGAGGGGGAGGTGAAGGAGTTTATGGAGGCAGGTACCTCGCCGCGCCAGGTGGTGCTGCTGGGGATGAATTGCAGCAGCGGGGCGGGTGGGGAGGTGGTGGGAGGCAGGAGTGGTGCCACGGTGTGCTTGGAGAGCGGGGAGGAGACACTCACAGCGGTTGGGTTCATTCCAGGTAGGTCGGCGGGGGCACTGCATCTGGAGGGTGGGGCAGAGGGGCACTGCAGCTGGAGGGAGGGCAGAGGGATGATGGGTGACAGGTGCCACCTGCACCTGCGGCCAGGTACGGCCTGCTACACGGACCCTATGACCCGCTTACCAGCTTGCCAGTCCATTCCTATGGACCCTGCATGGCCCTGGCTCATACCTCCCTGGCCCCCCGGCCCCATGCACCCCCCTCAGGCCCTATGGAGGACGGCTCCCTCATGCTTAACACTGACAACAACTTCTCAATCGAGTTCTTGGCTCGCTCTGCGTGTGGGGTGCTGGGAGCTGGGCGGGGCAGCAGCACCCTGGGCCGGGCCCCAGGGGGTGGCGGGGTGGTGCATGCGCTGTCGTACATTGATGAGGAGGGAGCGGGCGGCAGCAGGGGCGCTGAGGAGCTGTCCTTCCTGCTTGCCAAGGTGGGTTGCGTGCTGCTGTGGTGGGGGGGATCTGTGCTGGAACCAGGACAGACTGCATTGCCGTACTGTGCTGCTTTGTACTGCACTGCACCAGGGTGATCGATGCTAGGAGTGCTACACATGTAGCGAATGTGGGCACGTGTGCTGTGTGAGGGACACATGTGGTGGCGTGTGCCACACGCAATGATATGCTGTGCATACTGCTATGTGGGGCGTGTGCTGTGTGTGCTGTGGGGGCGCCACGTGCTCATGTGCGTTGTGTGCCGTGCTGTGATAGGGTGAGTGCTGTGCTGTGCATGCTGTGGCTGGTGGCACATGCGTCGCACGCTATGCTGTGGTTTGCGATGCATGCTGCAGTATGCGTGCTGTGCTGCCAACACGTGCCCATGTGAGCCCGTGGTATGCGGTGTGCATGCTGTGGATAGCACCACGTGTCCTTATGCGTCGCACGCTGTGCTGTGATATGCGCCGCACGCTGTGCTGTGGTATGCAGCGCATGCTGTGCTGTGATATGCGCCACGTGCTGTGCTGTGATATGCAGCACATGCTGTGCTGTGATACGTTCCACATGTTGTGCTGTGATACGCACCACATGCTGTGCTGTGATATGCAGCGCATGCTGTGCTGTGATACGTGCCATATGCTGTGCTGTGTATGCAGCGCATGCTGTGATAAGGCGTGAAGTCCTGGTCTTGTGCGCCGCATGCTGCGGTATGCAATGCGTGCTGCGCTATGTTGCGTGTGCAGTGGTTCGCGCCATGTAGTGTGGCAGGCTAGTTCATGCTCTGTGTGCGTTAAGTAGCTGCATGGTGAATATGAAGGGGTTTTGTCTGTCCCTTGGGATGCTACGTATGGCTGCACTGGAGTAGTGCATGCGGCATGCCCCTCCCCACCGCACTCTCCTGTCTGCAAGCGCTCCAACACCTCATGCTTGGCACCCTCCCCTTATATCCGCAGGCCCCTGAGCCCCGGCAGCAACCCCTCCTGCGGCCCCACCACTCGCTGCCGCCCCCACTGCCCGCCCACCCCCAGCAGCAGGGGGGCGACGGGCAGGCGGTCCCCATCATCTCCCCCACCCTGCTGCAGCAAAACGCCTGCTTCCCGCTGTCCGTGCCCGTGCTGGCCCGCCAGAACAAGGTGCGGGCGAGGGTCGGTGCGGGTCGGGGCGGGAGGCATGACTTCCGAGCCACGCGCATGCAGCATGCGGGTGAGGACGGGGATGTGGTCCGCCCGCCCCATGCCGTGCACCCTGGTCGGGGACCATACCGCCAGGCCTGACCTGCCTTGCCATCCACTCCCACACTACTGAACATGTGCCGTGTGATGACCTAGCCTCGCGCCGCTGCCCCCAGGCCACGCCGGTGCAGGCCAACCCGCTGCAGCCGTCACCCTTCACCTGCACCGCAGCCCCGGGGGACCCCCCGGGCTCGGAGGATCCCTCCCCCAGCCCCGCCGCCCCCGGCTGCCTCCCCCCGCGGCTGTCCACCCCGCTCATGATGCTGGAGGCCTCGGCGAGTGTGGGAGGCGGGCTGGAGGGGGGGTTGGGGAGCGGCATCGCCAGCCGCCGCCACTCGCTGCTGCTGCCCGGAGGCCGCCCCGCCCCGGACCCCAGCGCGCGCAGCTCCCAGCGGGGGCTGCAGGCGGGCGGCGGCTCCCAGCCGAGCAGCCGCACCACCACCTACCTGCAGCACACGGGCGCGGACCACAGCAGGCGGCTGCAGGCGGTGCTGCGGGCGCTGGGGAGCAGCCCCTGCGAGGCGGGGCCCGCTTCGGGGGGTGGGGGTGGTGGCACGTTGAGCTGCCTGGGTCTGCCTAGCAGTACCAGCTACGAGGGAGGAGGCGGAGGTGGCGGTGGTGGGGCATCCAACCCGCAGTGGAGTGAGGTGCTGATGGGTCCGATGGGGGTCGAGGTGGGGGTCGAGGTGGGGGGGCGGCAGGGGCAGCCCAGCAGCAGCAGTCCAGTGGGCGGCGGGGGGCTGCAGAGGGCCCAGCAGTGGGGGCAGTGGTCCCAGGCGGGGGGTGCTGGGGCGGGTGTGGGGCGACCCATGGGTCAGGAGGAGTCGTCGTGCGCGGTGGGTAGTGGTCCGGAGGGGACGTCGCTCCCCCCCCCTCCGCCCCCGGGTGCTGCTGGCGGCCTGAGTGGCGAGCTGCCTGACGCGGGGGGCTGCCGGTGGCACGAGGTGCACGTGAAGCCGTGCTTCGACCCCATGAGCAGCGAGCCGCTCATCATGGTAGGGGGGAGGGGGGAAAATTATATAAATGAAAGGGGGGAGGGGGGTCAAAGACCATATCAAACCATAGGAGACCACAAGTTAGGGCAAAACAAGGGGGAGGAGGGGGAGGGGGAGCTCGGCTGGGCTCCCTGCACTCCTGAGCCGTCACCAGTCCCGCCCCTCGCCTGTCACGGATTCGTGCTTCCTTGACCCCACCCCTGCCCCCCCCTGACCCTCCCCTGCCGCCCACCCGCCCCTCAGGTGATCCAGACGGACGTCACCAGCAAGGTGAGCCCTGCTGGCTGGCCGGGGGTTGGGGAGGGGCAGGGGGAGGGGGAGTGGGGACCGCCTTGGGGGCACCGGCTGTGTACGCCATACACCACCTTGCCCTGACAGGGGGTGCATGCGTTGCGGAAGGTGGCGCATGCTCTCCTCCTTACCCCTCTTCCTCGCCTCTATATCTTCCTCTCCCTCTCACCACCCTCCCGCCCCGCCTTCGCTGTCGTTCCCTCTCTTCTCCCTCCCCTCCCCCTCTCCCCCCAGGTCCGCGCCGAGGAGGTGCTGGCCCGGGTGCTGGAGGCGGAGCACCGGCTGCTGGCCGACATCTTCCCGACCCACGTGGTGGCGGCCATGACGCAGCGGCGGCAGCACGAGGCGGAGAGGGAGCGGAACGGGCTGAGGCTGCTCAAGCACATACAGGTGGGGGGGCGGGGGAGAGAGGGAGGGGAGGAGGGGGTGGAGAGGGAAACCGCTGGTACCCATGGCGTGAGGGGGCTCCATGCTGGGCAGCTAGGGGGGGTGCGGCTTGCAGGGCGGTGTGCGGTATCGTGATATGGGGAGTTGGAGAGGTGGCGCACATCTCACCCAGCCGCCCGTCCCTCCCCCTACCCCGCCTGACCCCTACCCCGCAGGACCCGGCGGTGGTGGCGACGGCGCACGAGAGCGTCACCGTCCTCTTCTCAGGTGGGTGCCTGGGGGGTGACCGCAAGGAGGGGGGATTAGGAGGGGGCGCATCCACCTGCCTTGAGCGCACGGAGTGCTCGTGCCTGCCCCGCCTGAACCGTGCAGCATCTGTCCTCCGCTCCCTACCCGTCACCTCTCTACCCTCCCTCCCTCCCTCGGCAGACATCAAGGGCTTCACCGAGATGTGCAAGCAGGTGCCGCCTGCCGCCGTCATGACCTTCCTCAACGACCTGTACACGCGCTTCGACAGGTGAGTGGCTGGACGGGGCCCGAGTGGGGAAACGCCTGCAGCCACACCGAGGCAGTGCACGGTGCTGCGGTGCTTGCATGCCCCTGGCCGCCGCCCCCTCATACAGTGCCCACACCTCCAGTCAAGCCGCAAGGGAAGCTCACGATGTCGATGTGCATCCGGCCCCAATCCATCCCCCTCAGCCCCCCCCCCCTCACCCGCTCACTCGGCCAAGCCCATGTTGCCGGCTGAGCTCCCCGGTCGCTCTCCCGCTACCCCCCCCCCCGTGCGATTCCGCAGTCTGACTGACGTGTACGGCGTGTACAAGGTGGAGACCATCGGCGACTGCTACATGGTGGCGGGGGGGCTCATGGAGCGGGACGAGGAGGGGTACGGGCGGGCGGTGCGCGGGCAGGGCAACTCGGACCCGCTGCACGCCATGCGGGTGGTTGACTTTGCAAGGGCCATGCTGGAGGAGGCGGCCAAGGTGGCGCTGCCGAGCACCGGGGAGCCTGTGCAGGTGGGGTGACCCGTGGGTCAGCAGTGGGTCGGTGGGTCAGTGTTGGAGAGGTCAGTGTGCGGCCGGTGATGAGCGGACGAACATGCGGGCATTACCTGCTGTGCGCTGACCCGTGTCACATGGGTTGCCGGTACAACACGCCTCCCCTTGTGCCGCCTGTGCTCCCTGTGCTGCCTGTGCTGCTTGTCCGCTGCAGGTCCGTGTGGGGCTGCACAGCGGCTCGGTGATGAGCGGAGTGGTGGGGACCAAGATGCCTCGGTTCTGCCTCTTTGGTGAGGCTGGGGGGGTTACGAGAAGGGGTTGGGGGAGCGGCATATGGCCCTTGGTGGTCCGCCTTGCATCCCGCCCCTCCTGCATCCCGCCCCCCTGCATCCCGCCCCTCCTGCATCCCGCCCCCCTGCATCCCGCCCCCCTGCGTCCCGCCCCCCCTGCATCCTGCCCCCCTGCGTCCCGGCCCCCTGCGTCCCGGCCCCCTGCATCCTGCCCCCCTGCGTCCCGGCCCCCTGCGTCCCGGCCCCCTGCATCCCGCCCCCCTGCATCCCGCCCCCCTGCATCCCGCCCCCCTGCGTCCCGCCCCCCCTGCATCCTGCCCCCCTGCGTCCCGGCCCCCTGCGTCCTGCCCCCCTGCGTCCCGCCCCCCTGCATCCCGCCCCTCCTGCATCGCGCCCCCCTGCATCCCGCCCCCCTGCATCCCGCCCCTCCTGCATCCCGCCCCCCTGCATCCCGGGCCCCTGCGTCCCGCCCCCCCCCTGCATCCTGCCCCCCTGCGTCCCGGCCCCCTGCATCCCGCCCCCCTGCATCCCGCCCCCCTGCATCCCGCCCCCCTGCGTCCCGCCCCCCCTGCATCCTGCCTGCCCCCCTGCGTCCCGGCCCCCTGCGTCCCGGCCCCCTGCGTCCCGGCCCCCTGCGTCCCGGCCCCCTGCGTCCTGCCCCCCTGCGTCCCATTGTGCACTCCGCGCTGTGGGGTCCATCTTGGCTGCTTATGAAGCTCCCTGCGACCCCATGCGGGCTGCAGGCAGGCAGGCCCCCCACCTCACCCCCTTTCCGCCCTCTGCCCACCTGCCCTCCCCCCTCCAGGTGACACCATCAACACGGCCAGCCGCATGGTGGGTCCTCAGAGGGGGGCAGGAAAGCCCAAACCTCAGGAAACCACGAACTAGAGAAGGATTATGGGGAATGAGGCGGCGGGGTGTCCTCAATGAGGCCGACAGGGGCGGCAGTGCAGGGCTGGCTGCCGGCTGCAGGGGGGGGCGCTTCAGGCCTGCTGGGGGCACCGGGGCGGCTGTGGTTGGCTGGCTGCCCCCCCGCCATGTGGGGGCTGCGTCCTGTTGCCTCAACCCGCATGGATGGGCTCGCCTTACTTCCTACTCCCTCATTCAATTCAACACAAGGTTCTCCCTTCCCCGCCCCCCCTCCCCCGGCAGGAGAGCACGGGCCGGCCGGGCGCCATCCACATCTCCGCCGCCACCCGGCGCCTGCTGCCGCCCGAGGAGGACGAGGAGGGCTGGGCGGCCAGCGGGGGGGTGGAGGTGAAGGGCAAGGGGCGCATGGAGACGGTGGGTCCACCTGGGCGGCTGTGCGGGGGGGTGCCGCCTGTGTGTATGTCCCTGCCGACAGGCCCCTTCTTGGCAGCCCCCACAGTGCTCCGTGTGCTCACTCCTCGCGTCTCAAGTACCACCGTGCATAGGGCCCCGATCCTATAGCGCCCTAACCTGTGGCTTCCTATGGTTCGGTATGGTCTTTGACCCCCCATGCAGTTCGTCTGGTCCGCCCAGTCCCCCGGAGCGGGTCGGCAGCGGCGCGGCAAGCAGCAGCGCGCCATGCTGCTGGCCACCCTGGGCGCACTGCCGCCCCTGGAGCAGCCGGGCAGCTCCGCAGCGGGGCCCAGGCAGCCCAGGGCGGCGGCGGCGGGGGGCCAGTCGGGTTCCGGAGCCGCCGGAGCCGCCACCTGCTCGCCCACCGGCGGGGGAGCCAGCATGTCCAGTCCCTTCAATGCGATAGCCACCGTGTGCTGAGGGGGGGGGGGTAGGTGCAGCGGCCGCCCAGCTGCCTTGCAGGGTATGGGGGTGGCGGTGGGTGAAGTACAAGCGGAAGAAGACGTGAAGCCCGGGAGTTCCATCCCGGCTCATGCGTAACGATGGTGGGAATGGGGTGCTGTGTGGCTGCAGCTGTGGGGGTACAGCTGTGGGGGTACAGCATCAGGGGGCGGCTTGAGGCGGGCGGGCGGGCGGGTGGGTGGGTGGGTGAAGAAGCAAGCAACTGCGATGCCTGGTGCTGGCCGGGGAGCCAACCACCCCCGAGCAGGAGGCAACCTAGCACTGGGGTGGGATGGGTCGGGGGTTGGGTAAGTGCGTCGAAGCAAACTTTCAAAGCAATGTTGGTGGGAGCGCTGTCGTCCGTGTGGCGGGGCGAGATGCATGCTGTGTGGGGCTGTCACGTGTGCATGTGTTCATGAGCTTAGTGGCGCAGATGGGGGCAGCAGGGGGGTGCGGTGAGGGGTGCAGACGGGGGGTGCAGCGTGGGGCGAGAGCTCAAGCATGGCGGTGGGAATGGGGTGGGTGCAGGTGGGGTGGCACTGCGTCGGGGGTTGAAGGTGGCGGCGTTGCATGGCTGGGAGGCGTGGCGGTGGGGGTGATGGCTAGGAGGGGTGGCGGGTGGCGGTATTGTTATTGGGGTGGGTGGGGTAGTGACTACTGGAAGGGGGTTATTTTGTTGGGTGGCAAACCAACTAAGAGGACTGGGGGCAAGCCAACCCGCTGAAGAACTCCGATCCATGCTAGTCAAGCCGTGGCAACATGAGAAAATGTGATCCAGCGATGAAACTACATTGTTGCTGTTATTGATGAAGCGGCTAATATGCGCCATGCATGCGAGCGTCTTGTAAGGCCGTGTTGGGGGAGGTCGTTTCGCTTTGAAGTTAACAATGACCGGAAATATATTTGCTCACAATTGTGCACCTGTTAGGCGAGGGCTGAGGGGCCTGGGCCGAGCGAAGGTCGCTGGGAAGGAGAGTCTCGCCGAGTCCCGGACCCCGGTGCAGGGAGCTGTGCCCACGTGGGTGGTCGGCGGCGGGTTGAAGTTGCAAACCCCCAAGTTCTGTAATGTTGTTTGCTGGCTTGGTTTTTGGTTTGTTTGACTCCGTTTGTCTGTTGGTAAGGATGAAGCCTGGACATAGCGTGAGTCTGTTGTGTGGACTTTGTAGCGTTGTTTGCAACGTTGTACACTGTTAAAGCACGGGCTTGCTTGCTGAGTCTAGTGCGGTCCTCATCAGTCGGAGTGACGGGCTCGCGGTGTTCCCTTTCTACAGGTGATCGAATGTGAGTGTGTGGGCGCGGCGGCCATGGCAGCGTTGGACACGTGCTGTTGTTCGGCCTGGAGGGGGTAACCGCCGGCAGGAGCTGCATTTCTTGACTGCTGCACCTCTCCTAACGCGGCCCATGTGCCCTTTTGAGTCGCCGTTGGTGCTGCTGCAATGCACGTGGGTGCCGTACGATGACGGTTCGTCGTACACTCCATTGCTCTTCCATTGGTCTCCGTTTTTCCTTTGCACACAAGTTGTTGTTGGTGTTGATGGTGTTACTCGTACTTCTGACCAGGGCGACGCCTCGGACCGGGACCGGGTCAGTCGCGTGGGTCGGTCCTGAGGAGGGCTGGCAGGCGTTCCGCGCCCAGGCCAGTCCAGGAGGCGGATCAGTGACTGTGTGGGGCGGGTATTGAACGAAGAGCCACGACGTGCGATGTGTTAAGAAAACTGGCCGCGTGTTGTGTGTGTGGCACATCAGGATTCATTGATTACATTGGTTTCGAGGTTGTATCGTGGTGGGTGTATTTATGCTACTCGAATACCGTGTTGCAATGCGCTTTCCTTACGGCGCGCGCGCATATGCTCGGGCGGGGTGCAGCTGGCTTCGCGTTTTGCTGCATAAGTTGAAAACTCAGCTTCAGGGACTTAGGCGTGCGCAGTGAAGACGTTCGTGAATATGCGGCTTTTCAGTGTTGCGCTTCATGAATGGAAGTAGCTATGTTGGCTTTGGGCTTGGTCGCTTGCCGCTTTAAGCAACGGTTGCAAACAATTGGGTCCTTACATGCTTATTCAGGGCCATATTATTTCTATATATTCTGTTACGAAACACCCAGTTTGTGCGATTCACCCCTTTCCCATTGGGGCTTTCTGACGAAAGAGTGTGTGACGTACAAAGCCACATGGCTCATGCCATGCCGTCACGAGCCTTTCCTCCCCAGACACGCTGGTTGCTGCACGTGATTGGTCGTCCTACAGCAGATTAATAACATAGTGATAGGCCTTGAGAGTGACTTCATTGGAGGCATCCCCTCATACCGCGCCGATTTGGCGCCCATCGGGCGGGCAGCGCACAAGCGCCGGGCTTAATCTACTGGCATCAGTCCGAGGGGCTGACTTCGCTTATTAATATTGGCAAGAAATACACGACGGGTCTAGCTTTAGACACTTTGAGGGTGGCTGAACTTGAAGGTGAGGCCGTGTACAGGGCAAGGTGCCATTGCGCTAAATGAACACGTACGCGACGTGTCTACTCTTGCAACCTGCATAGGTGCGCTGCCGCAAAACATTCTATGTAAGCTGATCCTTCCTGCATTAACCTGACGCGACCCTTTATCATACAACTGCTGGCTTACACCTCCCTATGCTTGCATAATGCATAGCACGTCAGTGTCATTTAGCTAGCAGAAACGATGACGCGGCCTTTTGTATTCTTTCGGAGGCATCCCACTTCAGGCACGTGAACCCCTCGAAACCAGGAGTACATCGCAGCTGCACCACGCCAAACATATTCTGCTTTTTGTGTTCAGGAAGTGCAGCCAACTATGGTCACAGTTGGGAGCTTAGACGCTTGGCTGGAAGTCAACAGGCATGGCGACCAAGACCGCTCGGGCTCTTCGCGGAGGCCAGCTGCAGCTGCCCAAAGTGCTCCGACGACACCCGGAAAGGCCTTGTCGTTGATTTCGGTTTCTACTCTGGCGCTTAGCGCGGACCTGCCTGCAACATCATCCACGACTAGCCTCTTGACGGCGCAACTAAGTGATGCCGGCTTTACAGCAGGCGCTTCTGAGGTTTTGGTGATGGACCCGACCTGCGCCAACGTCGCCCTAACGGATCCGACCCGCGGCGACTGCGGCTCCAGCGGTAGCTACGGCGACTTCTGCCTCCTCCGTGCAGCCTCCCAGCCCGAGCTCCAACACGGTAAGGCAGCCGGGGTGAAGCTCAGCCTCGCGCCCCGCACAGACGTACCCTGCTGCTCCACTGTTAGCACCAACACCCATCACGTCGTACCACTGCTCCTTCGTGCCCACATGCAGCTCGTGAAGCCCCGCGTCACCACGTTCACTACCCTGCGCCCCCACCCGCCCGCCCTCATGCTGACCGCCCGCCCTCCTCCCCCGCGTGCAGGCGACAGCTGGTCCTACCCGGCGGCCGGCTGCATGCTGCTCTCCTCGCCGCTCATGGCAACATCCCTGTCTGCCATAGAGGAGGACGAGGGGCAGCAGCAGAAACAACAAAAGCCAGCAGAGCAGCAGCAGCAGCACCACCACCAGCCCGTGTCGACCAGGAGCGCCTGCCTCCCCGCCCCCCGGCTCCCTAGCACCGCAGCGGCCGCATGCAGCGACACGGGGTACTTCGACTGGGTGCACCGCGCCCCGGAGCCCCGCCGCATGGCGCCCGCCGCTGCCGCCGGTGATGCTGCAGGCCCCCACCCGCCGCTGCACTGCGGTGCTGCGCTGCGGTGGAGCGAGGGCGACGCAGCGGCCCCGCTGGGCCCCACCGCGGGGCCGCATGCGACACTCCCGGCGGCCGGAGGGGACCTGGTTGTGCCCCTGCCAGCCGCCGCCGCTGCCACCGGCTGCCGTACCTCCTCCAAGCACGATGTGTACGACAGGACGGTTCGCGGCGGCCACCCTCGGCGGGCTGCCTGCTGCTACCGTGGCAGCGGGCAGGACGCCTTCCTGACCCCGCTGCGCCGCGCCTCCTCCTCCGGGCCCGAGGTGGAGGGTGCGAGCGGGGGCGCCCCGGCGCCGCCGTACCTGCGCTGCGGGGCTCCGCCCGCCTCTGAGCTGCCGCCGCCGACCCGTGAGCCGCTGCTGCTGTCGGACATGCTGCGGCTGGCGCTGAACCGGCGCTGAGGGGGCGGGGGCGAGGTAGTGGGGGCCGACCCCAGTGCTTGGTGGGGGGCAACAGGCGGAGGTGGGGTGCTGCCGGGGGGGCGAGTTGCCCCGCGGGAGGGCGGCGCCGCGGGAGGTGCGAGGGAGGTCGGGGTCCTGCGCGCAGGTGGCCGCGGTGGTGGGTCTGGGTGTGGGCGCGGAGGAGGCGACCTGGGTGGGGGCGACCAGCCTGCCCTGGATGGGAGATTGAATAAACTGAGCCGCGGAATCACTGACCCCGACCATAGTTTACCGGAAGCTGGGGTGAGCAAGTGCTGATGAGGCGGGGCTTGTCTGTGTTATGATGTGGTTTGTGAGCTGTATTCATTTTTTGGCTGCTGTGTTAAAATAACTGGCCGCGAGGAGAAACCTGGCTGCTGTGTCTGCATTGATTTGCCATAGAGAGAGATTGATAGAGAGGGATAGGAGGGGAGGGAGAGAGGGTGAGAGCGCATGTTTGTTTGTGGCGTGGTTGCAACGGCATTGAGATGTGCTTGTGCGTGGTTTGTGTGAAGGACAAGAGCACGAGGGGCGGGGCGGCGACCTGAGGCTCCGCATGAAGGGTAGGTCAAGAAGTTGGTTGGAACGTGACGGCTGGTGTTCCCCACCTGAACTAATGGCTGGTTCCTCTTCGCTGTATGTGCGCACGGATGTGCTGCTGCTGCTGCCGGGGTGGTCACCGCTGCGTTGCAGAGTGGAGTGGAGAACATCACGAGGGCACCCGAGGGCTGGCATCATGCCGGCTCGGCGGCGGCTATCAAGAAGAGAGAGGGGGCATGTCGCGCGCACGAGGAAACCATATCCACATTTCCTTTTTTCCATTGTTCCTTGCTTTCCATGCTGCAGCACAGGCCGGAGTATCTCGGCTTGTGCAGAGGATTTATAGATTATTTAATGGGTGGGTGTTGTTGCTGATGTTCCCCCCTGGCTAGCGGTGTTGCTGTTGAGCTGTCCTGCTCCCGGACTGGTGCGGGGCCCGCTCGGTGTGCGGGGTGCCGCACGAGGGTCGGACTGGGCGGCAGGTGGGAGGGAGGGGCTGCTTGGAGGGGCGCACGTGTGGGGGCCGGGGGGCGGTTTTTCGTACAGCACTCGCGATGCGCCTTTTCACGTGATCATGAGGGCACTGTCGCTTGAGGGTACTGCCGTGCTGCGTTCATTGCTATTGCTGAGGTGCAGGCGTGAGATGAGGCAGCCTCACCTCGCTTGCGGGCGACGACGGAAGTGCGAGTCGTGTGGGGGGACCGTACCATGCCGGGGATGTACCCGCGGGATAGAGAAATGCATCATGCGGAGTGTGTGTTCAGGCAGTTGGCCGCGAATGCATGAGGAATGTGTGTGCATTGCTGAGGGGGCGTTCAGGTGGTGTTGCATGGTGAATAAACGCAAAGTGTTTCTTTCTTGTGAGGTCTCTTGCACGGACAAGTCTCCAGTCCTTTCCTGCAAGTCACGGGGCTGGCCCCCTGTCCGCCCGCCCTGCCTGCGTGGCGCTCATCTGGCCGGGACCTGAGCTTTCGGGGCCGCCCGTGACTCACGATGAGTCGTGGTGCATCAAGGAGCATTTCTTTACACAGCATGTTGGGCGCATTTGTTGACATCATTTTGTTTGGCAGGCCACTAGGCAAGGCGGTCATGCATCCTCTTCTTGCTTTCGGACGTGTGCTGCCGTTCTGCATGCCGTAGCACTCCTGCCGTGCTGCCTCTGCTGCCGCTTGTTGGACTGCCCTCGTGCGGGGGTTCTTGATGTGGATCTTCGAGAGGAGCTCCCGTGCGGCAGCACTGTGACACATGTACCAACGTTGTTCATGAAAGCTGTTGTTTGCAACGGAGTTGGCATCATCTTCACGGTTGTTGTGATTTCTAGTTTATGGTGTTTGTCAAGAGCAAGGGAGTCGTGGGCCCCAGGCACCTGCAGGGCCGCATCCACCTAGGGATCAGGGGCGGTCGCATGCGTATATCGCATCTGTGTATGTCCCTCGCTGGGAGTTTTCTAGTCATCAACTCATCATCGCTTGGATTGGTTGGTGCGTTACATTTGTGCTGCGTCACTTGTGCGGCAGTGATCTCCTTCCGTTTCATAGAGTTGCCGCTCGCCCCCGCCTCATACACATTCGGGGGCGGATTTGTACATGTAGTAGTTGTTGCATACGCTTGGCAGGGGGGCAGAGTGCCCGGCTGGTGGGGCAAGCACCAATTTCCATGTTGCCTAACAACATTCTTGTAACCGGTCTGAAATTACCACCACGGCATTTGCGGCACTGCCATGAGGCTTGCATACTCGTTGCCCCCCCTGTTGCTGCCGCTAGCTCTTGAAGCTGTGCGTGGGTTCCATCAGCCCACCAAGTGTCATACACGTTGAGCAGCTCGAGAACAGACGAGGAACCGACAAAGACCAAGGCGTGGCTTAGCGCCAAATGGGCCGAACCAGAGGGTCTTGTGCTTGCCAGTCAGTCGGGGGACTGAGTTAAGCATTGTAATGGCGACTGCATCCGGGTGATGAAGGTCGCATATGCACCACGAGCAACATCTGAGGTTCATAGCATTTCACTATACACAGGGGGTTCCTAATGACACCCAGTACCAGACTTCAAGAGTATGCTTGCCGCGCGGCCGTACGAGCCCACGTAATAAATTGGTAATCTGCTTCAAACACGATTCTTGAGAAGTATATACAGGTTTTTCAACTATACCTTAAACTTCTTAGCTGGGGTCTATCAAGGGGCTTTCCTTCTTGGCTGCATTACTACGTTACCTAGCCTATTCGACCTAAACGACTTTGCTACTTTTATAGAGACGAAAACGGAGACACGGTGGTGGGAAGCATGGAAAACCAAGCACCGTCACCACCTCAGGCACCTGCGCCAGCCCCAAATCCTCCGCGTCGCCGGGTTGAATACTACAGAGAGGACAACTTCACTGCTCTTGACCTTACGCGTACAGTTCATCTAGGCTGGGGAGCTGTTGGAGGTATGCTGTATGTGGCTGATAGCTGGGCTCGGGCGTTTCGGCAATCGGCAAGTCGTCCCTGGCCACGCCAATATGTAGAGTGTTTGCCTGCACATTTGCATCGTACGTGATCAAACGCAGTCAGGTATGCCCATGCAATTGCACCTGGTAACCCATGTAACCCTGGTGGCATGTCAACTTCATGAAACCAAGCCGTGCGCCTTCCTGCTCCCTCGACCTGCCAACGCTGGCTCACGCGCTGCCATATCCTCAGGTGCTGGCCTCATTCTCTTCTGTATGGGCATGTCCGCTGCTACCCAGGTGGGCACCCTGACCTTTGACTTGGCCTTCAGCACACGCAACCCCTATCCTGGAGTCCCTTACAGCACTTGCCACTCTGTCGCCACCAGCTCCCCTGCTCCCCTCACCCGCACCGCTGTTGCCGCGCCGGTGGCCGCAGGGGCGCAGCTTCAACGTGGGCTTCCGCTGGCTGCAGCGGCGAGTAGGCGCGCAGGTGCGCTCTGGGTCGCGGACACGGTGCTTGCCCTCCTCGCATTCGGGCTGCTGACATCCAACAAGTCACTCGGGGCCTCCGTACTTCCCCCCCTTGTTGCTCAACATGTCCGGTCAGCCGCATCCAGGGTGTCGACACGTCGTACCACGGAGCTCTCTTGCAATCCTGTCCCCCACGTGCGCTGCTCCCCTCCCTCCCCCCCCCCTCCCCCCCCCCCTCCCCCCCATGCAGTTCGGCACCATGTCGTACATCATCTCCACCAACCTGCTCTACTACCACGACGGCGACAAGTGGGTGACGCGCGACTGGTCGCAGATCATGCAGCGCTGGACCACCAAGCGCAGCGAGCGACTGGACGCCGCCCTGCGCATCTAACACCCGGCAGCAGCAGCAGCAGGGGGAGGAGGAGGGAGAGGAGGAGGAGGAGAGAGAGGAGGAGGAGGGGGAGGAGGAGGAGGAGGAGGGAGAGGGGGGCACCTCCCACCCGGATGGCCGGTCAGAGCTGTCCGGTGCGCCCGCCCCGCTGGACGGCTCCCTTGTGACCTGCTGGCGGCGTATCCGGTGCGGGGCACACTGTTTGGAGCGACCGTGCGGCCGTGCGGCCTTCGGCGCCCTCGAAGGTTGGGTGGGGCTAAGAGCGACATGCGAGACGGTATATACACTCAAGCCGGCTTGACGTGCCACCGGCCAGGGGTGTGCCGGTGTTGGCGCCCTCTCTCCGGGGTGCTCTCAGGGGGGAGGTAAGCGGCGCTGCTGGCCCCTGTGGCTGCTGGGACCCCCCGGGGTGCGGGCTGCTTGTGTCCGCATGCGTGTGTGTGTGGGGGGGGGGGGGGGCGGTGGGGTCGAGTAGGACTGCGCAGCGTGTGCCAGGCTGCATCGGAGGAAGAGGGCGCGTGCGAGTCCAGGGATGTGCAGGGAGGTTGCGATTGCAACGAAGTCGTGAACTCAACCAAGTCCAGTGCACAACTGCGAGCAAGTAGCGCGTCTTTAGACTGCACCGACTGCTGACAGGCTAACAGTGTTGTAAAAGGAGTGGGCGGTTGGCCACATGGTGACAGAAGGCCAATCATGACCGTCCACCCAAGAGACATGTCACGCTTTTGCACGTTTCTTGGTTGGGTGCGCTCGTGAGGCTGAGTAAACGGATGTCGCAATTGTGCTGTGGTCCGGGTAGTAGGACGCTGCGGGTGGTCGGACCACGGCGTCTACAGACGAAGTAGGGCAAGGCCACGTGCGTATGACGCTGCGGCTGATAGCTGTCGGGTTAACTTGGCTTTCCTTAACTGGCCCTTCTGGCGCGACCATGGCGCATTGACCCGAGCCCAAGAAGAGACAGGCCATGACGGTTGCTGAAACCCATGGGCACTCGCATCTCTCATGAGGGCAGTCACACATCCGGGGCTCAGACCCGCCGCCCAGGTCGGTATGCACAGCAGCAGCAGCAGCCTGCTCAACGGCTTCCTGGACGCCTCTCCACACCGCTCTCACCCTCCACGGCACATTGCCGCCCGGCCGGGCCGCCGCATCTGCCGCTACCCCTCACCCCCCACATGCTCGAACCACGCCGTCATGTGCCATGCGAGATTAAATGCACACGACACATGCGACGCGCTTGCGTGGGGTGCATGACACATGCCTCGTATCCCCCGCAACACCCCTTACACTGCTCCTCATCTACCCTCATCCCGCCACCATTGCAGCACAAACACACACACATCGCGGCCAGTTATTTTAACACACATCCCTACCTGCTCAAGCCCTGCCGCTCCTCCCCCCCGCCGCCCCCTCCACGTACGCCCTGCACGGCTCACTCGCCAGCACCGCAGCCAGCTCCCCCAGCGGACCGCTGCCCCCACCGCTGTCCCCACCTCCCGCCTGCCGCAGCGCCCCCTGCAGCGCCCCCAGCGCCCGACCCAGCCGCACCTGGCAGCTCACTACGTGGGCCCACAGCTCGTCCAGATCCAACACATCCCGCCCACCGCCGCCGCTGCTGCCCCCCTCACTGGCGCCACTACCACTACCACCATTGCTACCACCAGCAGCACCAAGGGCACCCCCGCCCTCCCGGCCCCCAGTCCCAGCTCCCGAGCCGCCGGCCGCCGCCAGCCCCACCCCCGACAGCACGCCGCGGCACACTGACGCCAGCACGGGTGCCACGGTGGGCTGGCGAGGTGCGGCGGACAGACCCGCGGGTCGGCCCGCCTGCGTCTCCAGCGCCTCCAGCGCGCGGCGGAGCACTGTGGCCATGGCGTGCGCTCCCTGCAGCGCCGCCATGAGGGGGCCGCTGAGGGGCGGCTGGGGGGGAGCCGCCAGGGCCGAGGGGGCGGGCGTAGGGCCGGTTGCGGGTGCGGGCGGCAGCAGGCAGACCTCCCGAGCTGTTGCCAGGTACCTGCGTGCGGCCGGTGGTGGCGGGTGGGGGCGGGGTTGGGAGCGATGCAGCGACGGAGCTGTCAGGAGGGGGAGCAGGGATGCGAAGTGGGCATAGCCGAGTCATGTGGCTCTCATGCAGCCCCGCCCCGCCCGTACCAGGCCAGCGTGAATTGCGCTTTGTCTCAGGCTTTGGGCCGAAGTCTCCCCCCTTCTCCCACACACCTCTGATGTGCCGCCCGCATCTGCAGCAGGTCCTGTGGTGCGGGTCCCTGCAGGGCGGCCGCCAGACCCGCCCAGCAGCGGCCCTGGAGCTCCACCTGGCGGGAGGTGGGGGGTGGGGGTGGGGAGAGGTGGGCGGCATTGTACGGGAGGGAAGTGGGGCGGGAGGTGGGGGTGAGGTAGGCAGAGGGCGGAGGGTAGGCGGAGGAGCTGACAGGGGGGAGGTTGCTGGCGGGCTGTGCGGCCCCCTCCCTCCCTCCCTTCCCCCTCTCCCTCCCTCCGCCCCTCATTCTCACCTGCATGTGCTGCATGAGCAGCGACACCACCTGGGAGGCGGTCTGCGGGGCAGCGGGGAGGGGAGGGGGCAGGGGGTGGGCGCGGGGAGGGGAGGGGGCAGGGGTTGGGCGCGGGGAGGGGAGGGGGTGCGCGAGGGAGAAACGGGGGGGACCCAGCGGCTGTTGGCGAGCAGTGGGGGGCGGGGTTGGACAGCCGCGAAGGGTAGCTTGCACCCAGTGCGGAGGCATGCGGTGTGCTCACAAGCGGCCGGTCACCACCACTACCACCCGCCCACCCGGCTGCCTGCCAGGATCTGATCCCCCGGAGACACAGCTGCGCCCACCCGCCCAGCCCCGCCCAGCTCCCCTCCCCCACTGCCCACTCACCTGCAGCCACAGCCGCGCCAATGCAAGGCGCTGCTGCCACAGCGGATGCACCTCACCTCCCACATCCCCGCCTTCCGACCCGCCGCCTCCTCGCTGCCCCCGGCCCCCCCGCCGCCCCCTGCCTCCCGCCGCCGGCCCCCCTTGCCCCCTGCCCCCCGCCCCCCTCAGCTCCCGCGCCGGCAGGGCGCTGCTGGCCGCGTTGAGCCGCCCCCAGCAGCCCGCCAGCGCGGCGGCGGCGCAGCGCACCCGCAGCAGCAGGCTGAACACGTCCGCGTAGCTGCGCAGGCAGGCGGGGGTGACCACGGCGTGCAGCGGGGCGGGCACCTGCAGGCGGAGGGGGTGGGGGCGGTGGAGGAGAGCCAGGGACCGGAGAGTGGAAAGAAAGGGGCCAGGGATAAGGAGCAGATGCGGCCGGCAAGGTTGCGACAGGGAGGGGCCCGGAACCTAAGCACTGCCGAACCAGGTGAAAGGTGGGCCAGTGGAACAGGCTGTTGTCCCTGCCAGGAGGGCGCTGAACATTGCCCCACTGCCCACATAGGAAAGCCCGGCCCCCCACTACCCCACTCCCTCCCCCTCCCACCTGGCAGCTGACCAGCATGACGTCCGACGCGAAGAAGCCGCCCGCCCCCAAGGTGCGTCGCGGCTCCGACCGCGCACTCAACAGCCCCGCCACCGACACCGCACCCGCACCCCCTCCGGACCGCTGCCCCGCTCCCTCCCCTCCTACCCCACCCACGCTGCGGCCACCTAGCACCTCAATCCCCCCGGCCCCGCCTGCATGCACCCCCCCCACTGCCCCCCGCCCCCCCTGCCCCCCCAGGCTGCTGGCCTGCAGCGCCTCCTCCAGCATGGCGCGCAGCTCGGCGGAGGAGGGCGGCACGTGCGGCCGCAGCTCGGCGCGGCGGGTGAGGGCGGCCGCCAGCGACCCCGCCACGTCGCCCGCCTCGCAGAAGAAGAAACGCCTGCAGGGGGGGGGGAGGAGGGGGCGGGTGGGGAGGAGGGGGCGGAGGGAGGTGTATAGAAAGGCAAGCGGGCTCATCAAGGAAGGTGTCAGCAGGCTGCATGCGCAAGCCGGGGAAGGGTGCCGCAGCGGACTGCTGGGGCAGAGCCGGGTGTCCAGCAGGCGGCGCCACCACCACTACCGAGGGTGTGGGGGGGTGCCTCGGTACCACACAGCCCTCCCAGCCCCCCCCCACCTCAGCTCCCTCCCAGCCCCCCCGCACCTCAGCTCCCTCCCAGCCCCCCCCACCTCAGCTCCCTCCCAGCCCCCCCCCACCTCAGCTCCCTCCCAGCCCCCCCGCACCTCAGCTCCCTCCCAGCCCCCCGCACCTCAGCTCCCTCCCAGCCCCCCGCACCTCAGCTCCCTCCCAGCCCCCCCCACCTCAGCTCCCTCCCAGCCCCCCCCACCTCAGCTCCCTCCCAGCCCCCCCCACCTCAGCTCCCTCCCAGCCCCCCGCACCTCAGCTCCCTCCCAGCCCCCCGCACCTCAGCTCCCTCCCAGCCCCCCGCACCTCAGCTCCCTCCCAGCCCCCCCCACCTCAGCTCCCTCCCAGCCCCCCCCACCTCAGCTCCGCACAGAACTGCAGCAGCCCGCACTCCCGCACCAGCAGCTGCCACACGGCGCGGGTGGTCAGCCGGTAGTGCGCCAGCACGGGGGCGGCCAGGCAGTGCTGTACGGCAACCACCACGGGGGCGTACGACAGGTCCTCCGACACCACCACCGCGCCGCCGCCACCACCTCCACCCCCGCCCGCGCCGGCTGCATGCGGCAGCACTGCGTCCTTATCGCCCGCCTCCGCCGCTGGATCTCTACTCGGGGATAGGGAGGAGACAGGGAGAAGTCCGCCCCCCGGAGACCCGAGACCCGCGGGCGCAGCACGCTGCATGACCCGCTGCATGACCCATGGGTCGGCCTGCAGGTCCCGCAGCAGCGCCTTGGCGGGGCTCTCAGCGGCGGGCAGCACGCCGTGGGGACCAGCGGAGGCGCGCAGGGCCCGAGTGCACTCCACGGGCCCGATGGCTGCTGCTGCTGCTGTCACGCCGGCGGCAATGCCAGCTGGAGGGAGCTGGGGAGGCAGCTCCCACAGCGCTCTCCGCCGGGACGCGCGGCTGTCACCCGCCTCCGCTGCCGCAGCGCCGCCCCCCAGCTCCTCCGCCGCCGCACCCAGGCTGGCGGAGGGCGAGGCCGCCCTGAGCACGTGCGCGGAGGAGGCGCGCCTGCTCCCCCCCTGCTGCCACCCTTCAGCTGCCCGACTGGCGCTTGTTAGGCCCCGGGGGCTGCCGCCGCCGCCGGGGGCCCAGGAGTCCGCGCAGTCCGGGGACAGCAACACGCCCGCGGACGACTGCCGGCGGATGACAGCGGGTGTGCCCCCGCCCCCGCCCCCACCGGCAGCAGCGGCAGCGTCCGGCTGCGCCCAGCGCCGCCTGGCACTGCGGCTCTGCAGCTGCAGCAGCAGCCCTCCGGCGCCCCCGCCGCGCGCAGCCGCACCGCTGGAGGGCATGTAGCCCCGGGGGGGCGGCGGGGCAGCCCCCGGACCCTGCGGCCTGCCGAGGGAACCGCGGCCGAACAGGTGCAGCCCCCGGCTCCAGCCCTCAGACCCCGGCTCGGCGCCAAAGTCGGCCGCAGCAGCCGCGTCGCCGCTCCCCAGGCCCGCGGAGGGGGTGAAGGCACCCGAGGTGGACAGCCGGCGCCTGGCTCCGGCGTGTGACAGCGGCGGCCGCCGGTCGCCCGCCCGCGGCTCGGGACTGGCGCACCGGCGGGCTGCCGCTCCGACGGAGGCGGCAGTGGAGGGGCGGTGGGGGGCCGCGCCGGCAGCATCGCCACCGCTGCTGCCGCTACCGCCGAACGAGCCCCGCCTGGCCCCGCTGAGGGCGCTGAGGGGCTCCAGCGAGCGGGTGTCGTGCAGGCTGCCGCTGCTGTTGCGCCGCCGCAGGGGGCCAGGAGGCGCCTCCACCGCCTGCAGAGGGGCCGCAGGAGGAAGGGGCGGTGAGGCCGCTGCCGCACCCGCCTCCTCCGTCGCTGCCCCCCCGCTGCCAGGTGAGGGGGCCGCATCCGCTGTCGCCTCAGCACCTGGTTGCCCCGTGGAGGGCTCCGCTGCTGCCGGCGAGCAGGTGCGCCCCACACCGGGGCCTCCCTCCGCCGGGGGCAGGAGCTGGCGTCCGGCAGGCGAGTCAGCGCCCGTCTGCTGCTGCGCGTCCGAGGCCGCGGAGTCCCCATACGCCACGTGAGCCGCCCCCAGGTCCCCTCTGCCGGCGGGGCTACCCAGGGGCGACCCCGCCTCAGCGGCTGCCCTCAGTGCCGCCTGCTGCTGCTCCCGCATCCCCTCCTCCGCCTGCTGCCGCCGCTGCCGCTGCTGCTGCCCGCCCACCCCGTCCAGGCGCCCCTCCCGCGCCGCCGCCACCGCCTGCCTTAGCGCCGCCAGCTCCTCCGCCTGCACGCCCTGCCACAGCAGCCGCCGCCGCGCCGCCAGCGCCATCCGCGCCTCCCGCCACTCGCAGCGCTGCAGCCGCAACGCCGCCTCCGCCGCCCGCTCGTCCGCGCCCAGCACCCCCGCCGCCAGCGCGGAGCCCCCCACGGCGGCGGCCTCGCTGTACGACGCGGCGCCGTACGAGGTGCGCAGGCGGGCCAGCTCCGCCGCCAGCTCCGCCGCCGCCTCGTTGTGCTCCCGCAGCACCGCCTCCGCCACCACCGCCTGCTCCTCCGCGATACGCCGCTCCCGCTCGGCGCGCAACCTGGTGCCGGGAGGGGCGTGGGGGCAGGCAGGCAGGCAAGCAGGCAGGCAAGCAGGCAGAGGAGAACCATTGCCGTCATGTGAGAGGGTGGCATTCATAAAGGCATGGCTCGGTAAAGCAGGACGGGCGGCCGATCCTTGCATCTTCAACCTCCAATCCTATCCGCCCTCCTCCCCTGTATGCGCAGCCCGCCAACACGCCCGCACCTGGCAGTCCGCTCGTCCAGCGCCTGCCGCTGCTCCGCCAGCAGCCGACTGCGAGCCAGCCGCCGCTCCGCCGCCACAGCCGCCTTGTGCACCCGCGCAGCCTCCGCCGCCGCCAGAGCCTCCCGCGCCGCCGCCAGGGCGCGCTGGTCCGCCGCCGCCGCCTCCGCCTCACGTCGCCGCTCGAACAGCGCGAGCAGGCAGGACAGCTCGGCATCGCGTGCGGCGGCTGCAGCGCCGGCGGCCTCCGACAGCTGGGTAGAGGCGGGGCGAGGGGATAGGGGGTACGATCAGGGGAGGTTCAGGAGATTGGACGCTATCACGCGTCAAGAGCTGTCAGGTGTGGGCAGATGTGGCGCACCCGTGCAGGGAGCTGCATCGAGCGGTGCGAGGGACGTACCGGCAGCACTGCAGTGTCCGCAGCTCAGCCATGCAGCGCTTCATTGTTGCGGAGCTCACCCTGACCCACGCCGCCTCAACCCCCCCCCGCCCCCACCTGCTGCAACGCCTCCAGTCCGAACACCAGCGGGTAGTGGAACTCGTCCCCCGCACCGGACCCGCTGCCTGCACCCCCGGCCGCAGCACCAACACCTCCTCCATCCGCGGCCCCAGCAGCAGCAGCGCCGCCGCCCTGCCCAGGTGGGGCCGCCCCGGGTGCTGCTGCTGCTGCGGGCGCAGGGGGCCACAGTGCCGAGGCAGGGGAGGGTGCTGCGGGCGCGAGGGCCTCGCTGTACTGCTCCGCGATCAGCCTCGCCTCCTCGGCCTGCATGCAGGGGGGGAGGGGGGCGCGCAGCAGGAGTTATGCAGCCACGCACTGAATCCTGGCTTCCTTCATTCCGAGTAGCCCTGCCGGGGGAAGGAACGGCAGTCACCGCGGACATCCTGCACCCCCACCCCCGTCCAGCCTCCCTCCTCTGCCCGCCCCCACCTCCAGTGCCGCCATCCTGCGGATGCGCCCCGCCACCTCCCCCAGCTGCCCGCCCAGCTCCCCCAGCAGCGCCATCTGCCGCCCAGCCGCCTCAAGCAGCCGTTGCAGCGGCGCCGCGAAGGCGGGCGGCGGGGGAGGCGCCAGCACGGGGGACACGGACAGCAGGACGGAGGAGGAAGGGGAGGGGGAGGGGGAGAAGGGGCTGCTGTCTGCTGCTGCTGCTGCTGCGGCCGCTGCCTCCCTGGGTGCGTACATCCACTCCCGCACCCGGCGCAGGTAGGGGGAGCAGGCGGCGGTGAAGAGCAGCCGCAGCAGCGGAGTCTTGGCGTGGTCGGTCTGGGGGCGGGGAGAGGGGTGGAGGGGCGGGTGACGGAGCAGGTGACGGAGCGGGGTGAGATGCAGGGGCTTTGGGAGGAGGGCATGATGCTCAAACTAGCTGGCAGAGACAGGCGGTTTGAAACTGCCTTAATCCAACCGCAGCTCACACCCGAACCGACCCCTTCCCTCCCCGCCCCCCTCCTCCCCCCCACCTGCATCATGGCGGTGTACAGGTGGTCCAGCAGCTGCGGGCCCCGCGGGAAGCCCCGCACCTGCCACTGCGAGGGAGCGGCAGCGACAGGGGCCTTCTCGCCCCTCCCGCCCGCCGCCGCGCCCCTCCCTGGCAGCCCCCCGCCCCCCCGGCCCGCAGCCCCCCCGCTGGGCTCCGGCACACACAAGCACACCGCCGCCAGCCGCTGCAGGTGCACCCGCAGCGGCGTCAGACACAGGAACAGACCCAGCAGCCCACCGCCTCCGCCAACGTCGCCAGTGCCGCCGCTGCTGGTTTGTGGGGCGCCGGGGGCTGGGAGGGCCGCTGCGCGCCGGGGAGCTGCCAGGCCCCTGCGGTGGGCTGCAGCCAGCTCCTGAACGCGGGAGAGCGGGGGGAGCAGGGAGAGCAGGGGGAGCAGGAGGAGCAGGGGGGGGTAACAGTCATGGACACGTAGTGCCACGTCCTGATGGGTAACATCAAACACAGAGCGCACCTATGCATTAGGTACCACATTGCCGCCCATCATAAGCGGCGCCAGCCCCTCCCTCCCTCCCCCCCCCACCTGCAGCTCCGTGTCGTACAGGGCGAGCAGCTCGCGTACGGCATCTGAGAAGGCCGCAAGCGCATCGTCATGCGGCTCCGTACGGCACACCTGCGCTGCCGTACCAAAGGTGCCGTACGTGCCGTACTCCGCCACGAAGGCGCCCAGCCGCAGCCGCAGCTCTCCCGTGTCGCAGAGCTGCGCCAGCAGGCCGCGCTGGCCCGCCAGCCGGGTGCAGCGGGACCTGCAGGGGGTGGGAGCGCATGTGCGGCCGGGTGGGGGGAGGAAGCCGCAAGCGCGCAAGTTGCGTTGTCGTGCAACGTAAGGAGGCGCTGGAGAATGAAAAGCCCACTCGAGAAACCCCGACGAGCGTCCAACCAGCCTCCACCAGCAGACCCTATCACGCATCTCCACACACCCACACACAACACCGCACACGGCAGCATTCCCAGCCCCCACCTGATCACCCCGCTGCGCAGCATCCTCAGCGCCGCCGCCCCCCCCTGCAGCGCCAGTACGGCGGTGTCGTACAGCAACACCTCCTCATCCAGCGAGCTGCGAACACCGCCGGGGCCGCAGCTGGGGCGTACAGCAGAGGGACCGCCTGCGGGGCAGCCCACAGCGGCCCGCAGCTGCCCCCCGCCCGGCTGCCCTTGAGGCACAACCGCAAGGGCACCTGCCGCCCCTCCTGCTTCCGCCTGAACCGGTCCTGGGGTCGTCAGGGCCGGCGGCAGCAGCCCCACGACGCTGCTGCCCCGCCCCGCTCCCAGCGCCGCCAGAGCAAAGGGCGCCGGGAAGCACTTCTCCGCAGCCGCAGCAGCAGCAGGAGCTCCGAGCCCAGCCCCCAATCCCTGCACTCCTGCCTCCTCCGCACACGTCCCAGCAGCCGCTGCCGCCGCCTCATCCAGCCGCAAGCTGAAGCACTCCGTCTGCGTGCCGCTGAGGCGGAGCAGCAGCGGGTGCAGGTGCCCGAACGCGGTGTGCACCAGGCCCCCACCAGCGGCAGCACCCGGCACCCCGGGGCCAGGTGGGCCCCCCGGACCCGGCGCCATGCAGCCGGCTGCTGGGAGCGGCAGGCTGCGGGCGGGCGGGGCAGCGAGGGAGTGCCCCGCAGTGCGGCCCAGTGGGAGTCCCGGCTGCGAGGCGGGGTCCAGGCGCGCTAGCTCCTCACCCAACCGCCCTTCGAAGCAGGGAAGCACCGGGAGACCCGCGGAGTCGCGGAATGGGAACCAGCCTGCTGCCGCGGGAGGGGCGCCGGGAGGAGCGGGCAGCGGCACCGGCGCAATGGCACCCGCAGCTGACGGGACTTCGTAGCCGCTGGCGCCGGCATGGTGGGTGGCGGCTGTGAGGCCGGGGGTGGCCGCGAGGACGTCGGGCGCCGCGGGGGGCTGTGCTGCGCGAGGCGGCGTCAGGGTCAGGTGGAGTCCAGCGCCCGCGGACACCGCGGGGGGCTGGGGTAGTGACGCAAGGGGCGGCGGTGGGCCCAGGCGCAGATGGCGGCCGAAGGGGGCGAGGGGGCCTAGGGAGCCGTCGCTAAGCAGGTGGCCGCTGCTGCCGCCGATGCAGGGCCCTCGCGGGACAGCCCCTGCGGGCAGCGCTGGAATGTCCTCTGACGCGGCGGCATCCCTCCTGCTGAAGCTGAGGGTGGCGATGCGGTTATCGCCGCCGCCAGCAGGACCACCCTCGCTGCCGCCCGCCCCGCGCAGGTGGAGCAGAAACGACGTCATGCGGGCAATCGTGTCGTCGCTGACGCCGCTCGCCTGCAGCCTGCGGGTTGCATGTTGCCACAACGAGTTTAAACAGCGATCCTACAGTTCTGCACGCAGTGAGGCCCAGTGCGGCCCCCTCTCCCTGCTCGCCTTCCTATTTTCTCCTCCCCCCCCTCCCCTCCCTGCCCCGCCGCTCACCGCTCCTGCAGCTCCGCCAGCTCGTCCAGCCGCCAGCTCAGCCGGGCAGCGGTGCCGTGGCGGCCCTGCGCGCGCAGCCGCAGCAGCTCCTGCGGGAGGGGGCGGGCACATGGGCGGGTAGCAGCGGGAGAGGCAGGTGGTTGGGTGGCAGCGGAGCACAGGGTGGGATAGCTGTGCAAGGGCAGTCGTAATGCTGTGGGCTTCCGGATTCTATTGTGTATCTTGCTGGAGATAGCATGATGGTCCCGGATGCGCTTTATCGGCTGTGCTGGTACGCTAGCATCAAGCACTGGTAAGCAACAGCCTCAGCTCGGGATGGAAGAGGTAGTGGGCATAACTGCAGCATAGGGTCGGCATCGAACTCTATTGCGGTACGCCTTTAGGGTGTTACCCACGGCTCACCCCTGTGGCTATCTGTGCATTCACAACCGGCCTGGACGACTCCGCCACGTACGGGTACGGCTCCTGCTGGCCCAACAGAGCGAAAACACTGTGTTATAACACATTATTGCATGGATGCAGAAGATAGTTTTCCTCAGGTATACCTTGCTTGCATCCAGCAAGGTAGTGTACGCCGTTGCTAACAAACGTCGATGCAGCACGGATGGAGAGGCGCTGCTATCCGGATCACCCGCTGTCCTTTGAGCGAGGCGCCAAACATTCCAGTATATGGAGCACGAAGCCGTCATTTCGCCAGGGCAAGGCGCAAAAGCGCCTTCTTTCAGCACAGAGTCATTTTAGTATAGGCGACCGTCCAGGAATATGTAGCTTCAAGACCTGCTGTTTCTCGGTTTAATATGAAAAAGGATGCATAATCGGGAAATGCATCACTGGCAATACAACATCATCCGTGTACCGTTAAAGCCTTTGAGCTCCAATCGCAATTACGGTATGGTATAGAGCTCTTCCACAAAAATCAGCATTATCGTAGCACAAAAGCAGCTCCAAGCAAGACCACCCCAACTGGCTGCTGGCCGTGACTAGTGCTTGGTACCTCCCGCCTTTTTTAATGTACGACTATGCAACCCCAACCGTGCGCCCAAGATGCTTCGGACCGCCGGGTGCTATCACACCCCCGTTAGTGCTTTTAGGTATCTCATAGACGCGAGAATACTTGTCATTAGCTTAAACTTCACGTTTTACTTGCGCCGTCGCCATCCGCATTGCCCATTTATCTATCCGGGCTAGGCCCGTATTCTTGCTGTGCTCCCGTTCCTAAGGTGTTGAGTAAACGCCCCTAGGACCGTGCTTACTGCACGATGTCGGGCAACGTTGCAACGGGGGGCTGCCCTAGCCAATTCCAAATAAGACGTGACGAGCCAGCAAGAAGTGAACAACCGTACGCAATGCCTAGTCCCAGATTTACATACCATGCATAAAATCACAACCTTCCGCAGCTCATAGCGTTGGATGCACATGAGCCCTTAACCACACAGCTGAGCCTTTCACACCCTCCACACCGTCGAGGCAACAGAGGCAACATGGCGCGCTAAATACATCGCCGAAGTTTCAACCTTCATTTACCCTAATCACATAAGCTTGACAGCGTGCAGGCATGACCAACGCGCATGCATCAAGCCCCACGGCCAGCCCATGCAAGCCAAAAAGCAGCATGCGTAATCACACCACCATATGAATTGCTTTCCGCATGCCGTACATCGAAACAAAGTAGACGAAGCACCGCATCGCTGCCACGCACACATGCCAGCTAACGCTCAGTGTCCGCAAGATAGTTAATCAACAAGGAAAGTCTCCCAGGCTTCAGGGGCCGACACAGGGAAAGGCCCACGCAAGTGCAAAGGACTGTCAGCTAACTAAATGACCATCACAGCGCCCATTGGGGCACACGCCGACAGGCGCTCGGAGACTCTGGGAGCGCCAAGGCTCAGCCATTAATCGCATGCGCACGCCTACCTGCCTACCTGCGCCTTTGCGGCGCGGGCCTTGCAGACACGTGCAAACGTCAGGGCTTGCATATGCTTGCAATCACATTATGCACAAGAATACAAAGTCTATAAAGCCTATAAACAATGGTGAAACGCGCGTCGCAACAAGCAACATAGCAACGGGCCCTGCTCCGCAACAAGTCCTGCCGCCCACCTGCAATGTACCCATTCACATGGGCCCCAGCCGCCGCGCAAAGCATTAACAGCACGCTTCACAGGGCTGCGATCACGACTTGCCCTCGCTCGCCAGCATCCCCAATTACCAATTCAACGCCCAGTCTGTCTCGCAAAGAATCTACCAACCATTTATCTCTATACACTAGAGGTAGGCCGGCATTGCAGCTTTTCAAGGTATCAGGGATCGCTGCGACCTGGCATCCGAGCTTCCTCCTCGTAACTCCGCTGCTGCTGCTGCTGCTGCAGTTGTTTCTGCTGCTGTTGCTGCTGAGGTGGTGGCAGGTAGGGATGGAACCGACGGGCCGAGGGCCCCACCGGTGAGCGCCGCCTGCGGTCAGGAGCCCCGCCCGCCTGCCATCCCTCCTCGCTGCCACCGCTCGGCGCCCCACCCGACGTGTGATATGACAGCCGCGGCTCGTCAGACCCCCCCGCGGCGGCACCCTCCGCACCCCGGCTGCGGCTGTCATGTGCATGCAGCCGGCCCGCATGGCCCTCAGGTGTCGTGGTGGCTGCGAGCGGCGTGCAGCGCAGGGCGGCGCCTGCCCGCTCACGGGGCACCTGCTCGGGTGGGAGGTGCTGCTCAGGCGTGGCCGCTGTGCCGGCTGGTGTCGGGGAGGTCAGCGCGGGGCCGTACGGGGGGTCCGGAAGGGAAGCCGAGGGCGGAAGGGGCTGCGGCGCGCGGCGGCTGGACTGCAGGCTGAGGCCCACCTCCAGCGCCGAGGAGGAGACGCTGGCGTGGTACGTCAGGTTGCTGGGGCCGCCGCCGCTGGCTTTGGAAGCGGTGCCGGAGGGGGCGGTGGGTGCGAGACCCGCTGCGGGGCAGGTGGAGGAATGAGGGGAGCGATGCAGGGCAGCACGTGAGGTCGCACAGGTGCAACCGAGCGGCAAGGGTGAGAGTGTGTTGGGGCAGCAGGGAACAACCCCTCAGCCACAATCATCGTGGATCGCCCAGGGCAATAAGGGCCGCCATGTTGGGCGATGTCCTCATCCAGACCAGCCGCACACGTCCCGCACAACCCCGCACCCTACCTGCACTGCCGCTGCCTGCTCCCACGATGTGGCCCCCGCCCGCCCACCGGCCGCTGCCGCCGCCATCCCCTCCACTGCACTGCTCCTCCTGCGCCCTGCCCGAGCGACTGACGGCCGTCAACAACTGCTGCTGCTGCTGCTGCGGCGGCGGCGGCCCAGCAGGCCCCGGAGCCGTGGCGCCGCCGGGCTGTGTGGCGGACCAGGAGGCGGTGGCGGACGCAATGGCCTCCGCCGTGCCTCTGCTCCGCCCCCTCCACTGCCGGCACAGCTCGTCCACCTCGTCCAGCCAGTCGTCCAGAGCGGTCAGCACGGAGGCCCAGGCACCGTACCCGCCAGCCGCCGGCGCGGGGAGGGGCGCGGGGGCGCTGATGTGTGCTGCATGGGCCTGCACAGGGAGACTGGAGGGGGCAGACGGGTTGCCTTCTAGGTCTGGGGGGCAGCGGTAAGGGCCGCTGGTCCCAGGTGTGTGGGGTTGCCTGGGAGGCAGCGGTTGTGGAGGTGGTTGAGGCGGCTCGAGGTGGAGTGCGCGGGGCGGGATCCGGGTAGCGGGGTCCTCCTGGGGGTCAGAGCGGGGGGGGGTAGGGTGGGGCAGAGCGGCCAGGGGCAGGGCGGCCAGGGGCAGGGCAGGAACACGGAGGCAGGGCGGGGGGTGCGGAGGGGGCGTTTAGTGGGCGTCGAGGAAGTATTGACAGAGGGGAGGGCGACCTTGTAGAGAAGAAGGAGGACCTTGGTCTTTTGTGGACGCAGCTGGGGCAGCCCCAACGCCGAAGCGGGGCTTGCTCACGTACGTTGCGACAGGCATTCGCTGGGTGTCGTAGAATGGACAAGGGTCACGAGACGATATAATATGCAGGGTTAAACGGAGTCCTGACATGCCAGAAGGCACTCCGTTATAAAGTTTGGGTGCAAATGGCAGACTAACAGCCGTGGATAACGTTGCGGCTTGGAACCTAGTGCCTAGTACCGTGCATCCCTTCAACACTCCAGTAAACAGCCTGGCTAGCTTACCTTGTGCTGCTGCGAGGCCGGTGTCGCCACCCGGCCCACGCACGCCTGCTGCAACGCAACCGAGCTCCCGGGAAGCAGCCGCTGGTTCCGCGCAGTGCCTGCTGCAGCCCTCTCCACGTCGCCCTCATCGCCCTGGCTGGAGGCCGCATCCTTGGCACTGGCGTCCGGGGCTCGGGACCTCTCCCACGCGGGTCCGCAGCCCTCAGCTGGCACCCTCAGCTGCGACAACCCGCCCGACCTCGACAGCTCCAGAACCGGACAGCGTTCCAAGCCTGCGACCCCACGCCCGCCGACGTTGCCAGTAGGCGCAGCGGCTGCTGCTTCCGGCCCCACACCGGCACCTCCGCTGTGCCGTACCTCGCGTTCCTCCTTCGGCAGCGGCAGCAGCGCCGGCGCCAGCAGCAGCGGCTGCACCGTCACCCGGGAGGAGAAGGGGTGCAGCGTGGAGCCCGGCGGGGCGGCGGAGGCGGAGCCATCCGCGGCGTAGCGGGGGGAGGGAGGGGCGAAGCGGATCACCGAGGTAGCCGCGGCGGGGGCGGGGGCGGGGGCGGGGGCGGGCGCCTTGCGAGCCAGCAGCGCAGCGGCGGTGGCGGCGGTGGCGGCGGCGCTCGGGACATCCTGCAAGGCATCCAACATACCCCATCCCGGCGCGTGAAACGGGGTGTCAGTGTCCGCGATTGGGGGCCGCAGGGAGGTGCCGCGGAGCGATGTGATTGAGAGCTTGGGGTGCGGCAGCGCCGCCACGTTGCCGCCGTCGGGGCCGGAGGGGCCTGCGGGAGCGGACAGGCGGCAGAGGAGCGGGAGGGGTCTCGGGGCAGGCAAACATATGGGCAGTAAGGTGTATGTATGGTAGAGGACGGGCGTACACAGGGGGTCAAGGGGCTTGCATGGCCGCCAAGGGGCTGCCAAGGGGTGGCACAGGACGAATGGGAGTATATGCGCGGGGTGCAGCGGACATGAAAAGTGCAGCAGCGACAAGAGCGAAGAGGTGCGGGCGCTTCCCTGCCCTGCATGAGGCTAACGCCATGCACTGGCTTGCGGAAACGAGGTTGGGGCCAGTGCACGTATGCAAGGAAAGGACTCCATGTCAACTTCAATCCAACAACCTGTCTAGGTCGGGCCTGTTAACACGGCCCTTTGACACACCAGCCACAGCCGCAGCTAATACTTAGTACGCAGTGGCTGCTGCTGGCAAAGCTTTCCCGGTGCCTCCTGCCAACGCATATACCCTGCCCTGTCCCGCCTGTGACCCAACCCCACCATGCGCACCATCGGGGCCGCCATCATGCACCGCAACCGGCTGCCCCCAACAAGCGGCATCTCCCGCCTCCCGCTCCGGACAGCAGCCCGCCGGGTAGCCCTGCTCCGGCTGCTGGTGCTGCTGCTGCTGGTGCGTACGGCGCCGGCGTCCGTGCGGGTGGTGGTGTCCAAGTGGCGGTTGTTCTAGTGGACCCTGCGACGGCCCCACCGGCTGCCTGTGCCGCTGCTGCTTCTGGTGGTGGTGCTGGTACTGCTGCTGCAGGAGGTCCTCATGAGCAGCTTGGCGGTGCTCCGGGTGCGGCGGGTAGTGATACGGCAGCTGCTGCTGCCCATGCACGTCCTCCTCCTCCTGCTGCTGGTGCTGCAGTGCGTGCTGGCGGCTCTGCGCAGCCAGAGACATGGACAGCGGTGTGAGGGCTAGGACTGGCTGCGGCGCAGCTTGGTGGTCGGGAGGCTCCAGGAGGTACTTGGCCGGTGCCGGGGCCTCCATCGCTCCAGAGGAGGGCCCAGAGGAGCGCCGTTGCGGTGAGTCGTGCTGCTGCGGCAGTTGGGTGTCTGGGTCCAACTCGGGCTCGGGGCCCTGTTCGGCGTCCGTCTCCATCCGTTGCCCGCGGGAGCGTGCTTGGCCTTGGGACCCTGTACCGTCTTGGCCGTGCAAGCGTAGCGCATAACGATAGGCAGCCTTTCGGGCCTCAGGGTTGTCGAAGCGGTTACGTAGCCGCGCCACATACGTACGAAGAAGTGAACGCCCCTTAAGACGCGTGGAGCGTACTGTTGAAAAGAAGATGTTCTGCATGACATACATGCAAGGCGAAAGCAACGGCGTCGATCTGGTTGTCGGGTGCTTCTGAAACCATTGCCAGGGTAAGACGTTTCGGGAAAATTCCCAGATGGCCCAATATAACCAAACGTTTGCATATTGTAGCTATGGATTGCGACCGGAAACGCTCGACGGCAATGTAAAACGGGTACCGCGCTGTTCCGGTTCCCGTCGGGCGATTCCTTGCCTCGCCGGCCGGCGGTACATAGCAACCATGTTTTCAACCACAGAAAGAGAGCGTTATGCAAATGACACACTGACCCTGGTTAATGTCTTCGCACATGCTTGCCCGAAGGGCATGAACAACATAATCGGAAAAATGCGCATACCCATTTGGTCTATGTCAGCGTCACTGATAAATGCCCACCTTCACATCCATAGATGTGCGCCCTCTTAGTTCGCGGCTGATGCTGCTCCAGGCATTTCCCAACGCAGCATGGAGCCTCGTAAGCGTAGCTTCTTCGCTGCGAGTCCAGGGTCGGCTAGGAGTCCTTCTCTTACGATCGCCAGGCGGCATGTCATCTGGCTGTTCTTCATTTTGTGACATTCCTGGTGGACCTTCACCGCGAAGCCCAGCAGCCAGCGTTTTCCTACCGCCACGTTCACAAATCTATAGGTGCGCCAGTATATACGCATATACAAAACACCGTCAGCCCTGAGGCCTTGAATTCTGAACAGGGCTTGCAAACTGCCACTAACTCTCTTGCATTCTTAGGACGGTCGTTACTAGTAGGCGTGCAACCACATGGACCAACCATTGACCAAGGCAGGCTGCTTGCTGAGCAACCGAAACAGGGATGTCGTAACCGCGCAGACCCGTACATAAGGTACGTCAAGGGCCCGCATTGAGGGCTTTTACTCACGCCATGTTAAGCCTTTAAGCTACTTGAGGTAGCGTTCAACGATGTTTCTCGTCCAGGCTGGGGTTGTACGTTAGTTGGTGGTGGGCGTTCGGACCATGTACAGGTGCATGCTTGCAGTACTATGCAAGCAAAATGGACGCGCCGAATTCGGAAATTACCTCCATAGTATAACGCAAACGAGGCCTTGCAACCAAAGCAAAGGAGTCGAAAGATTCACCGTGGGAACAATACAATGATACCAGCAATCAATGGGCCTCTTCGTCTCTGACCTGCTCCGGGGGCTTGGGCTGTGGCTTCTGTCCAAAGTGTGTGTCTCTGAAGTTTCTTGCGCTCATTCGTGTGCTATGAGGAGCTTCCCTGGCGTAATCGCCACGAGGATGGTACAGGAACTTGGGTTAGTGGAACAAGTGTTTTAGGTCAATTTAGGCCCGACCAGGAAGTCTTCCCCTGCTCTAGCGGATTTGTGTGCTGTGTGTAGTCATGTATCAGCTCACTGTGCACATCTGGTTCGTGGCAGGTAGCTAGGAAGCCAGCCATGCTGACGTAATATGGTAAGTTGGTAACGCTCTGTGCCGTACATAATGCAGCATAGAAATCATAGACCGATGCAAAATGCTGGCAGACCATCGAGCACGCGTTTATGTCCTTGCGCAACGTTTGCAAGAGACAGGCGCTTGTTTATTTCATATATGGCCCGGTTAACAGCGGCCTCTTCGCAGGCGAGTTGATCTAAGGGCATTTGTGTTCATCGACAAAGGCTGATATACTTACCATGTATGTCCATTTTGCAGGACATCGCACAACTTTACCAGGCTTGCCTTCCAAACTTGGAGGCTTCAAAAGCCCGCATAAAGGTAGCACTGAAGTCCTTTGTCGACGCCAATGACATACCGGGGACAAGTGCTAATTATGCCAGTCCAGAGGATGATCCAGTCGACGTTTTTGTCGGAATGCTGCAACATGGCGTTGTCCGGCGTGACGCAACGTGGATGTTATTGCTTTTAAAAACAATTAAGATCTTGTCTCGAAAGCAAGTCAACCGACTAAAGTTTGGCGCAGCCGGGCTACGCGCGGTTGTGACCGCTCTCGTCAATCCGCTTAACAACCGAGTAGCTGCGGAGGGGGCCAACGTCCTCTTGAACGTGTGCTATGAGGTGTCAAACGTGCAAGCGCTCCTGGAGACTCCTGGCGTACAGCAACTCTTGCTGTTCCTTATGGAGGATGACGAAGAAATTCAAGCCAACGCAGCTGGTGCTATCCAGAGCATTTGCTTCCAAGAGGAGGGACGAAGGTACAGTCCTTGGATGATAGGAAGAACCTTCACGGTCTGCTTGCTTGGACGGTACTTGGGGTCACAACTACCGGTACAGGTACACTGTTGTCGTATCCTGTCCTCTTTGCCCAACACTGGCTCCCACCCTGCCCCCGTTAGGCATGTGCACGAGAACGGCGGCATTGCTGCGCTTTCAGGCTTGTTATCGTCACCTAACCTCAAAGTGGTGACACGTGCTGTTGGCGCCATCCACAACCTCTCATCAGATGCCGAGGCTATCCGGTGCGCATGGCTAGGGCCGTTTACAGTGCGCACCAGAGTGCGGAGAGCTAAGGACAATGTCGCCTTGGGGAAGCTTTGGCGCGTAATGCTTTGCGTTTCACAATGCAATGTTAGGGTGCAGTATCAAGCTATGTACCCCTGGAAACATTGGCTCCTGGTCGCGACGTACCCGTGGGATCTCTCTGCCATCTGCTCATGGCTCTAACTGTATAAACCCTTAGCAGCTGTGTGATTCGGTGGCAGTCCTTACATGCTCGATTCCCCCAACCCGCAGCGACATCCGCACCACCGGCGCCATCCCCACGCTGGTGTCGCTGCTGCACAGCGCCCACCTCACCGTCTCCAGCTCGGCGGCGGGGGCGCTGCAGAACGTGTCGCGGGAGGTGGCCAGCAGGCTGGTCATCAGGTGCGGCGCGGCAGCAGGGGGCAGCAGGCCACCCGCGGCGGGGGGCAACAGGGCACACACGCTGCTAGTGCCTTCATCGCACGTTGGCATGTGATGTAGGGCGGCATGCGTGCGAGTTGCGCATCCGGTGGGGTGCCGCATCTCAGCCCCATGCGCATACATGTCTACATCCTGGCGCCGACCTAACCTATCGCAATCCGTGGCCCTAAGCACGCCTGCTGTAACCCTCGCCTAATGGATTGTCCGCAGGGACCTGGAAGCCGTGCCGCCACTCGCCCGCCTGCTGACGGCGCCGGACGTGCAGGCGCAGGTGTGCGCGTCAGGGGCGCTGCTCAACATCGTGGGACCCGACCTGGACAGCCGGGAGCTGCTGGTGCAGCAGCAACGGGAGCAGCAGCAGCAGCACAAGTACGGCAGGCCACTGTCACAGACACAGCAGCGACCGCCGCCGCTGCCGCCGCCACCGCAGCAGCAGCAACAACAACCCTCCTCGCAGCGTCGCAGTCTGGGCCGTCTCATGGCTCTCTGCATGTCGGCAGCAGCGATATACGAGTGCCTGTACGACGAACCAGTCCCGCCGCCACCGCTGCCACAGTTGCCGCCATTACCAGCGCCGTAAGGGTGCTAGGGGCGGTTGCTAGGGGCCGCAGTTGCTGCGTGGGTGAAGGGGCGGTCGGCGTGAAGAGATGCGACGCGGGCGCGTCTCCTGATCCCTGCAAGGAGGCCATTGTGTGCGGGCTGCCGTTGCCGCAGCGCTCTGGGAAGCGAGCAAATCGGCATCAGGCTGATTGGCAAGGCATCAGATTGCGATACCCAAGTTGGGCTGCAGTGCTGGGGCAGCTTGGAAGGATAGCTTAGTTGGGAGCAGCCAAAGCCGAAATCAGCAGCGGGCTAGCGGCATGCGATGCCCACCGCAACGCTAAGGTGAGACTAAAGGGTTAACGGTATGGAAGCGCATCAAGTATAGCAATCAGCTTGGGGAAAACTGGGTGCGAGCCCTATGTTTGTGTCTCTTAGGTCCTTGCATCGCATAGCTTTGTATCATGTGTCCAAGCCAGCCAGCATTCGGGGCCTGCAACAACTTGCGGGGCGGGTGCCATGTCTGGGCAGGGATAGGGGTTACATCGCAGAGGGAGCCCGGTATGAGTTGCAGTGCGGGGCGTTTTTAAGTGCCATGTCGCGTTGCACTAAGCATCAGTAGCTCAGCGATTCTCCATTACGACCGATAGCGCCGGAGCTGACCTCTTGGAACCCGAACCCCGCCCACAGGGAACGGCTGCGCAACTTCCGCCGATGGGAAGCATAACGACTCGGGCAGGTTGTTCACTTGCCAAGTAGGGCACTTGGCGTAAGAAGACATGTGCTTTGCCAGGCTCTTGCTGGCACGATACTATGGCTAAGATATGGGCCTCCTATCAAGGATGTGAACTCCATCCACGGGTTCTTTGTTTGGGGCTTGGGACTGCTCGACGATGGCAAGATATGTAACATATCTGACTTTCTTCTTCAATACTCTTTGACCTCAAAGAGTGCGCCGCTGCCGATCGTAAACGGTTGTACTGACATTGTGGACGTCGTCGGATTGCGCATGCCCTCCAAAACATACAAGGCCGAATCAATAACACATTCCTTAGGAAAACAATTTTACAGCGTACTTTGAAAGATATGCTCCAAGGACCTTGACTGGCAAGGGTTTGATGGCTACTTATTGTCCACTTGGAGCATTACCTGCAAATACCGACCAAACTATAGGTTCTACTGTTAAACTGAAATGTTGCAACAGGCTCGGCGACAGCGCGGTCGGTTGTCGTCGTCCCTGACGCGGCTGATTGGCAACGCTTGTTGCGCGGACCCCCACTGCGAGCCCAAGCACCTTGACCATGCAAATGAACCCAATAACAGCTGCTGTAATCCTACATCGGGTGATAGGGACAACACAAACCTCAGGTCCCCTTGCAACACATCCTCCACCGGCGCCAGCCCGGCAGCGAGCGGATTACAGCCACGCATTTCTGGGCTTGCTCAGCAACAGCGCTCCGGCCATACCTATCAGCAGCACAACCCAACCGCCGTCATCCATTCTCCTCCCGTGCCCCTCCTCACCCCACGCTGCCTCCTACCCCACCACCCTGACCCCTCCCTCCCTGCACCCCACCACGGGCTCCGCTGCTTCAGCCGCCGCACCCACGCTCCCAAGCAGCACACAGCGCCCGCCGCCGCCACCGTCTCTGACACTGGCCAGCGCATCCGGCCCACGGACCCCTCTGCTACTGGGGAGGCCACCGCTGCCGCAAGCCTGGCCGCACCCGCTGCTGCTGCGAGGGCCGCCAGCTCCGCGGCACCGGGGCCGCCGCCCGCGCCGTGCAGCCCCGCCCCGGGGGGTGCCGTACGCGGTCTGGCCACGCAGCGCCACGTGCTGCGTCTGGGCCCCACCGTGCAGTCGCTGTGCGTGCAGGAGATCCTGGGCCGCGCCAAGATGAACACCCTGTTCGAGGTGAGCCCGCAGACACGCGGCGCTGACGCCGAGGGGCGCGGGCGCTTGGTGCTTTCAGATACTGTGCAAACCGCAGCCTCTTAACCGGTACCCCTTCCCGCCTCTTCCTCCACCTGCACCGTGCCGCACCGCACCGGGCCGCTAGGTGATCATCGTGCGCTCGGACGGGCGCACGCTGGAGCCCAACGGCGGCCTCACTGCCTCCGACCTGGGGCTGCACTCGCGCGACCTCTCGCTCTTCGCCTCGGACTCGCGACTGTCGCCGCAGCGGGCCACCATCGCGGTGGGTGGCGGTGCCGGGGGGGCGGCCTAGGGCTGTAGGACTGGTGGCGGTGGGCTGCCGTCCTCAACCCAGTCGCTAGCAGTGGGATGGATCGTGGTGGGCTGAGGGTTGTTGCAACGTTGTGAGGGAGGGTTGCATGCAGCCGCGTTTCCTTCTTGGGCTTTGTTGCAACCGCGCATTCCTCTTCATGTTGCCCATGTGAAGCTTGCTGGCGCCCTACCTCTTGCTGCTGCCCCATGCTGGGAATTACCGCCCCCGGACTCCCCAGGTCCTGCCCCCTGCCCTCCCTCACGACCTCACACCCTTCCCCCCCTTCCCCCCCTTTTCCCCCGCCCCTGCGCCCGCCAGGTTCGCGGCGACCGCATCCTGTTCCGCAGCGAGGCCATCAAGGCGGTCATCGAGCGGGAGCAGTGCACACTCATCAAGAACAAGTGAGGAGTGGGGAGGAGGGGGCGGGAGGGATGGGGGCGGGAGCAAGCTGCGCGGACGCTTCTTTCCAGCGGAATGCCCATGGGGAATCACTTGCAAGGTTGTTTACTCTGGTTGGGAACAGAGGCAGGGGCAGCGAGGTTCCTTGCCTCGCCTTCCCCGACCCCTCCCCTCCCCTCCGCTCCCCCCAGACGCGACCGCGACTTCCACGACATCATCAAGCCCATGACACTGGTCATTGACGCGCAGCCGCACGTGCCCTTCGAGCTGAGCGTGCTGGAGGTGGGGTGAGGGGGGGCGAGTGGGGGGGGTGCGGGGGAGTGGGGGGGGTGAGAGCACAGTGGGCAGGGTGTTGTGGCGCGCCATGCATACAGTCCTGGAGGGGGCCTCTGGGGCAAGCGCGGGAACGCATGCTTGGAAGGCCGTATGGTTTGGGCACCTAGCGCCGCGGCCTGTTAGGGGGCACTGCCCCACCCTGCATACGGCTCGGGGTGCATGAAAGCGCCAGTGCGTCAGGCAGGCCGCAAGCGAGCGCGGGGTTCGGTTGTGGCTCTGGACGGCCGGACTGCCGCGCTCTCTCGGCCCTCCCATCCTGCCAGCACCGCCACCCTCCCGTCCTTCACTCCTTGCGCCCCCTGCTCACCCCACACCCCGCCCGCACACACATTGCCACCCGCCCCCGCCCTGCCCCTCCGCCCCCAGGTGCTGTTGCACGTCACGCTGCTGTACTTCGAGCGGCGGCGCACCCACATCAGCTGGATGATCGAGCGGATCATGGGGGACACCTCCTCGGGCGCCGCCAGCAGCGGACTGGGGGGCGGCGGCCAGGAGGGCGCGCTGGGCAGCGGCGACCCCTTCGGCGGCATCGGCGAGTCCACCGTGCAGCAGTTCGTGCCGCTGGAGAAGGTGGGGGTAAAGAGGAAACAGCTAACTTACCGTGTCATAAGGCATCATCATGGGTTGCAATATGTGAGCCAGCCCGACCCGCCCAGCCCGAATTAGCCAAGCCAGTACGGCGGGGCGGGGCGGGCGGGCAGTAGGAGCGGCAGAGGACCGGGGGGGCGGGTAGGGAGCGTCGGGCAGCGGGAGGGGCTCATCTGTTGCCACGCACATCCATGTGTGTGGTATGCATGTGTCGTACACAACGTTAGGTGCCGTCTTCTGAGGCTGTGCGGCCGTGGTTGTGAATGCCCGCCGCGGGCCGCTCTCTCCTGCTCTGTGCCTGTGCACCTGAACCGCCCGGCCTCCCTCACCTCCCACCGCCTCCTCTCGTCCCCTGCCCCCCTCGCCCCCTGCCTGCCGCCCCTGCCCCCCTCGCCCCCTGCCCGCCCCCGCCCGCCCCGCAGGTGATCACCTCGGTACTCAATGACGCTCGTGAGACGTGCGACGCCATAAACAGGGTACGTCCGGCGAGATGGGGCTGGGCATGCTTGCATCTTGGAGAGAGCTGCATGCAGTTGCACAGAGTGCTAGCTGTGACGCAGGTGTCTCCTGCGCTGATGGTTCAGCTGTGCGTCAGCTTCCCCTAGGACCGCAGCAGTGCCCCTGCCTCTGTCCTCCTCGCCAGTGCTCCCATCACCTCCTTGCCTTGACGTCCACCCCTGCTGTACGTCTTTCCCATACACCCCGCACCCAAATTGCACTTTCCTTTGGTTTAGTTCCTCTCTGACGCCGTACCCAACCCTCAACCACCTCAACCTCACTCCCTTCCCAGTTCCTGGACGATGACCGGGAGGCGCTGGGCGGCCTGCTGCTCTCCTTGCCGTACACCCCCACCTCCGCCCTCGCCGCCGCCGCCCCCGCCAGTACGACACCACGGCTGCCGCGGTACGACAAAGCGCAGTACGATGTATCTCGCTACGACCTGGGCTCCGGGAGTGCGACATTCGACTACGACGCACTCCAGCAGGAGTGCCGCGCGGAGCAGCAGAAGCGGGTGACGGAGCCGATGCCCTCCTCGTCGTCGAGTGACGGCGCCGCTAGCTGCAGCGGGGTCAGCGGGGTCAGCGGGGGCGGGTCAGCAGCGCCTGCTGGCGGTCGCAAGGCCTTCGGTGTGATGACGCCAGCCATAGGCGGTGCGGACCCCGCCCAACGGCGTGCGATGCTACGTAACCAGGTGCGGTACTGCCGCCGCGCCTGAGAGGCGTGGGATCGCTGCTACTGCTGTTGTTCATTTGTAGCACGTGCGTGCCGCAACTTGCATCCTGCCTTGAACCCATCGTGCAGCGCCCTCCCCTCCCCGCAACACGGTCCTATCCTTTCCTCCCCTCCCCGCTGCCAGGCGCTTGAGGACGCCTCCCGCATCCTGGACACCTACCTGCGCGAGATGGAGTCCATCGTGGGCTCGCTGCTGGAGGCGGAGGACTACCTGGAGTCCACTCGGTGCGGGGGCAGGACACTTAGCAGGGAGAGGAGGTCGGGGGGCTGCTCCGTTGCCCTTCTGGGATTCGGGGCGCAGGTGTGTGTATGTGTTAAGCAAACTGGCCACACGTGTGTGTGGTAGGGGGCAGCGTATTGTTGGGGGTGTGGCGGTGCCCTGCTGGTCAGGCTGCATGTGCCACGTTGCCTCACGCCGCCTCCAATCCTGCTTTCCTCTCCTTGGGTCCTCAGCCTCACACCACCTCCCGCACTGCCGCACTGGGTGCCCTCACCTGTCTCGCTCCGCCTCGGCCCCTCCCCTCCCCCCCTCGTCCTCCCGCCTCCCTTCACCCCCCCAGCGAGACGTACCGCATGCAACTGGACTCGGCTCGCAACCACATCATCCTGGTCAACCTGTGGACCAGCGTCGCCTCCATCAGCCTCATGGTGGCCGCCCTGCCCAGCGCCTTCTTCGGGATGAACGTGCAGCACGGCATGGAGGTGGGTGGGGCGAGCCAGGTGCACTGGCGGCGGGGGATGTATTTGTGCTCGGGCATGGGTGCGTGCCGGCATGAAGGATCCGATGATGGTTTTGGGTTTGAAGGAAATAAAAGGACTACCGGCTTTGTTTCCCCTGCCGTACGTTTGCCCCGCTCGCCCCGCCCCCCAGGAGTTCCGGGGCGCCTTTCCGCTTATCGTGGCGGTTAGCCTGGGTCTCGCAGTGGCCTCCTACCCGGCCTTCATGCGCCACTTCACGGAGCGCTTCCTGCGGCAGAGCCGACATGACACACGGAGCCTTTGGATGCTGCGGTAAGAGGGCTCCGGACGTAGTGAGGCGTTTTGCCTAGGCAGGGGTCCTGGTGCTAGCTCCTAACTTGGATCAGTTATTCTCCGGTCTTTACTTAGCCACAGCTTCTGTGGTTACCCCTGCGTACGCCGCTTACAAAGCCGTCCACCTCGTGTGGCTGGACCCTCCGCCTTCCTCAGGACGTTCCTCATGCAGCACAGCGACGACTTGGAAGCAATAACGGACGCACTGCATAGCCTGCCGGTTGTGACCCATGGGTCGGCGTCTGGCTCAACCAGTCGAGAGCATTTCAAACGGCACCTGCGCAACCGCCTTCCACGTCATGTGCAGCTAACAAACAGCCAGCTAGATTATCTGTATGACCAGTTTGAGCGGGACAAGGTAAGCGATAAAAGTTGAAGCCAACATGGTGCGGTAGGTATAATCCACGTTTGTTAGGTAATCTTAGGTGAAGCAGGGTCAAGCAAGAGAGGGCACATTTGCAAAACCGGCGAAGGCTTGCTGGGCGCATAATCTGGGCCAGACGACTGCACTGTTTCTTGTAGGCAGTCCAGACGAATGCAACTTACCCCTCCCGCCTTCCCCTTTCTGCCCTTGTTTCATTGCTGCCAAGGACGGAGTACTAAACGAAATCGAAGCGACGCTGCAAAGCAGCAAGAACTATGCGGGCAGGACTTCCGGCGCTGGCAGGGGTGGGGGCCACCTGGGCATGGGGCTGGGGCAGGGCCTGTTTGGCCAGGACTTCGGCTCGGCGGAGGCTGAAGATGTGGCTGACGTGGCGGGCGTTGTAGGAAGTGACGGGGAGCCTCTAGGGGGTGAAGACTCCGGCACGGGCGTAGGATTGAAAAGAGGCAGGAAAGGGGAGGGGATGCTTACTAAGAAGGACGCAGGGACCGTAGATCAGCTGGGGAGGAGACATGGCGCACCGCATGGCACGATGGGCCGGCTGCTTAGCAAGTGGGGTCGTGCGGGCAGTGGTGGTTAGGGGGATGGAGGGTAGGAGATAGACACTACGAGTGACGGGGGAGGTGCTATGCATGGGAAAGCGCAAGCAGGGACTACCGTACGTAGTGTTGGCATGTTGGATGACGCAAAGGGCAAGCTCATGTGCTAGGCATTGCAGGCATAGGTCGCTGCGTTGTAAAGTGACAGCCTGTACCCCGCAGGTAATGGGACGGAACAAGTGCGGCATGCGTTGCTCGGGGGCTGCAATACATACATGCATGTTGATATCTGCGAATGAAAATGCGTTTGGTGTTGATATGCATGGGAGAATCCAGATATTTGCCTTACTGGTACCGGTATGTAGGTTGCAATGCCAGCTACGATACATACAGTTATTGCAGCTGGGGCGCTCAACTAGCACTGCTGGTCATTATAGGTGCATATAGGGACGAAAGATGACTTACGCTCATGTTTAGGATGTTCTTGTCCTAGCCATATGGGTAGATAGTGCAGTCAAGTGGGGCCGAATACCGGTATGGTGCACAGTCAGCAGTGCAGGTATCATGCTGTGTAGGAGTCGACAGCGTTTGCCCACATACATGCACCAGCAGCTAACTTGCGCTCGGACTGTGGCATGCCTTCTTTTTCCTAAGAAAATTACACATGAGGGTTTTACAGGTGTTCGCAAATCATCACAATCCCGCCCAGGAGCACTACTGTTGCTCGTCATGGCAATAATCTAGCAGCCCTATTGGGTGCATGGCTGTCTGCGGAATGTAACTAATCTGTCATGCGGTAACGGTGAAACACGCTTTCCGTGACATGGGGTGGGGCCTTCCTCCTGGGGAGCGTAGAATCCAAACGTTTTCCCCGCCAGTCCACGAATCCAGCCCACCAAGTATCCGGGCGGTATGAGCCCAAGGTGCACCGACCCGTGGGTCAACTGTCTGTCCAAGCGCACAAACCCAAAGCAGCTGGCTAGGGGCACGTCAATCTGCGATGGTAGCATTTGTCGAGTTGACAGCAGCAGGTACAGCGCGGTACACCGCCGCAAAGAATAAAAGCGAGCTCCTTTTTGTTCAGCTCCCATTGCTTCCAGCACAACCGGCCTCATTCCCCATCGTACCCCATCATCTCGCCAACGTCAGGGCGGCGCTGTTCCGGCCGCCTCCTCCCGCTGCAGCTGCTCGCACTCTGGCACAACCAGCTGCCCTCAGGGACAGTGGCACGAATGACCGCCTTTGCTTTACCCCTGACGTCCAGATTGCTGCCAGCAGGGCGACCAATGCAGGACTCCTGGTACCTGCAGCAGCACGTGCGGTGAGGGCAGTGGCAGGGCGGGAAACCAACCAAGACTCTGCTGGCAGGCAGGATGCCAGTGCTGTCATGACGTATCATGTGCTGTTGCGACGGAGGCCCGACAGTACAACTGTCAGTGGGTTGGAGATACGGAAGTAGTCCTGGGGGCTTGTCCAGGCTCCTGCGCGAGGGTAGAGAGGTGACACTAGAAATGGATGCCGAATGATTGTAATGTCCTTTACACGCACAACGATGTCAGTGGCGCTTTTAGGCTGCCAAAAGACACGCAAGAAGTTCAGTCTTCTCCGCTAGCTGTGCTGGCAACCACCGAGAGTCCTCGCACCCTTGCCAGCATGCCGATACGGTATGGCAAAGCTCACGTAAATATCCTACCTTCCCTGTAGTGGTGCTCATAGACAAATCAACATTCAATAACAAGGAGTAAACATCACGGCACATCACATCCTTCAAATTTCGTGAGTGCGAGGGTTCCCTGAGCTTTAGCAGTAGGTCCATGAGGGAGATCATGACCTCTGCCCCTCCCGAGGCTCTGGCTAGCTACCTGAGCCGTGTATGGGAGACCCGCATGTCTGTCAGAAACCACCTGTGCAGAGCCCCTAAACGGAGGCCTGTAGGGGACCCTGACCCTGACTCTGACTTTGTTTCTTATAGTGTCCTTGGCCCCCCTGGCTCGTACGGACACACTGTACACACGTACAGATTGTAACTGTAACTGACAAGTCACGCAGCAAGCATGACAACATGCCCATGGCCACGCACTCACACTAGTCACGCAAGTTCCGACGTTTAATCAAGCAATGGCACTATCATCACGTCCTCTAGATAGACCACAAGTCGCATACGCGCGACAAGGTTGGATGAGCACGTACGGCAGCCCTAAGCCACACGATATGACAAGCACGCGGCCACGCGCTGCGTCGTGATAGCTGTCATGACGTATCACGTGCTGTTGCGACGGCGGCCCGACATTACAACTCCCCCGCCCCCAGCAGCTGAGAACCCGGAGGTCGGAAACTGTCAACAGCGGCCACAAGCAACGCACGAAGAAAGCGCACCAGAACTGACAACAAAGTAGCACAGTAACCTCCGCATCCCCATCAACGCGCGCCTACTTCAGTTCAGCAACCAGACCTCATCTCGTCCTACAACCGGTTTCAACACCCTCTCCCGCCACTCACGAGTGGCAAACACGCAAACCCACACACACCGCCTTCCCATCGGCGCTCTTGGCAGTCCCAGCAACAACACATGCCGTCCCTCCTCCTGCAGCTTCGCCAGGTACTTGGTCCGAGCCGCTGTAGCATCCGTCACGTAGTGCCCCGGCACGTGAAACGCAACGACAGGTGCAAAACGGGTAGCCAACGGCAGTGCAACGTCAAGCACTGCAAACCAAGGAGACACAACAACGGCCTCGTAGGGGTAGACCTTCATGGCCTCACCGTACATGCCAGGCTGCAACGCGTCATGGTGCATGTGAGCAACACAAGTAGGGTTGGCGTCATTGCCAAAGACTGAGTGTCCCGCCTCACGAAACACCCTGGCGACCCCACCTGTTCCACACCACGGATCGAAGATGCCCGCACACGGTTAACCAACCTGCCAAAGGTGTGATCACTGTAAGCCCCCGGCATGAGCTCCCCCATTGCCGCACTCAGCCCTTCACGTGAAGTCAAATTCCGGCTGTCAGGGAAGCCTATCACGCCTATCTCCTCCCTCAGGCAGAGCGTTTTTGGATCCCTGACTGACCTCCTCAAGACACGCCCCTGGAGCGCCTCAGCGGCCTTCACGCGCCTCCTCTGCCTGGCGGAAGGGAACCGTTGGGGAGCGGGTGCAGGCGCCAGCGGGTGCCAGCGGCTTGGCGTCAATCTGCTGCGGAATAATTCCCTGTTTGATGCAATCCGGGCCCTTGGGCACCTTCTTGACGGCTGGCTTCAGGCAGTGCATGTGCCACCCAAAACCGCACAAGTCACAAAGCAGCACCTTGTTCGGCTGATCTGGGAAGCCACGAGGGCACTCTAGGTCCAAGGGCGGCACAGTGATGCGCGGGCCCACGATGGGGTCCAGGTCAGGCAAATGACAGGGCTCAAGCCGCGTCACATGCTCCTTATGCTCGGTCCCACAGTGACCCACCAACGTCGCTACCCCGTTGGGATCCACAGAGACGACGTGCAGCACATTCACCCGCACTGGCATCTGCAGCGTGCTGTTCATGTTGTTCAGCATCACGTGCACGTAGTCCCCAGGTTCAAACCGCTTGAACCGTGGCTTGTATCCCCCGGCACGCTTCCTAGTGTACTGATAGCAATCACGGTGCCAGTCAAGAGATTTCCAGCTGCGGCAGGGATTGCGTGCCTAAGTGCCTCCCCCCTAACCTGAAGGAAACGTTTGAACTCCTGTTCGTTGGTCGGGTCCATCCAGGGGTTCCGCGAACCTCTCACATACTGCGGGCGGCACCACAGGGTCCACCCCGTACAGCAGAAAGTACGGCGTCATTGGTGTGGATGCCTGGGGAGAGAAGCGGTAACCCAGCGCCATCCATGGCAGGAACATGCTGGTAACTATCTAGGCACTACATGCGGATGGGTGCGGCCGTATCCTGCTGCTGCCTACCTGCAAAGGCATCTTGACGTGCAAGTAATGCACGAGTGGCTGCATGCAACAGCTCACTACTGCACACATGCATTACCTTTACCAAGCAAACACCATACCCCACCTAACCTGTCGTTAGTCAGACCCTAGGCTTCATGCTTGCATGTACTCCACATCCCAGGCACCGACCTCGCCACACATTGCTGCATTGCATCTAGTCAGAGGCCGCCAACGGATTACCCCGTGCGTGCTTTGGGTGTGTGTATATTACGAAGTTGCCTAGCGTCATGAACCAGTAAGGAGCCGTGGCGCAATGGATAGCGCATCAGACTTCGGATCTGCAGTGACAACAACACACAACGACAGCAGCAGCAGCAGGCCAGCAGGGTCACAGCAGGGGCACTACATGCAGCGGATGGGTGCGGCCGTATCCTGCTGCTGCCTACCTGCAAAGGCATCTTGACGTGCAAGTAATGCACGAGTGGCTGCATGCAACAGCTCACTACTGCACACATGCATTACCTTTACCAAGCAAACACCATACCCCACCTAACCTGTCGTTAGTCAGACCCTAGGCTTCATGCTTGCATGTACTCCACATCCCAGGCACCGACCTCGCCACACATTGCTGCATTGCATCTAGTCAGAGGCTGCCAACGGATTAGCCCGTGCGTGCTTTGGGTGTATGTATATTACGAAGTTGCCTAGTGTCATGAACCAGTAAGGAGCCGTGGCGCAATGGATAGCGCATCAGACTTCGGATCTGAGGGTTGCAGGTTCGAGTCCTGTCGGCTTCGGTGACATTTTGGCCTTTTAAAGTGTAAATTTTATCGATGTCAACATTATTGCAGGTACTGCTAGAATGTGTGATAAAATGGACAATCAATAATCCAGCCCTTTTGACCATCTTGCTTCAGCCACAGCACGTGCTGATGTCGCGCCCCGTTACCGGCATGTGCATTCTACCGGCATGCCAGTACGGTCATAGTACATGTCTCACAGCTTATTTGTGTTATGGGCGTAGTTCAGCGTATGTATGTTACAAGCTGTTGTGCTAGCGCCTTTACCTTGGGTGCTGTTGATTTCTGGTAGTTGTGAGTACAGCGCATCGGGCATATCTGCAGTACAGCTGCTGCTCCTCTTGGGCTGCACGGCCCCGTGACTCGGGGCTGCACACCTCTCGCAACCAACACAAGCATATAACGATGGTGTTTGATCGCCACCTGTCGTGGCCCTGCTAGCGGGTCACCTGCTTGCATGTGACATTATGTGTAGCCATTTCTTACTACCAGCGTAATCCGATAGCCATAGCAATCAAGGTTAGCCATAATAGTTCGTTCTAGTCTAGATCACTGTCCCTCACAGGCCTGGTCAGCCTGTGGCCCAGTCGCCTTGCGGTCGGACCCCAGCCAATGGTGCAAGGAGGGCTGGGCAGTGCTACCTAGATCCCGCAAGGTTTAGGTGCACCCCCTTCCTGTAACAGGCAGGAAGCGAGCGTGAAGACCAAGTGTGAACCCCGGTGACACTAGATGATTAGGCCAGTGTGTGGGCGCGGCACTGACCTAACACCAAGGTGCCAAACATAGCCATTAATTGGGACTTCAATAGCGGAACATTAGCTTGTTATCCCTAACTTGCATGTGTCCGTTGACCAGGTTACCCTGTAGTATAGCAATGCATCCCAACAGTTCGCCTTATATACACAAGAAGTAATATAAAGGAAGGGCTGCTGTGCCCTTAAAACACCCTCATCATCGTGCATACACATCAACAGGTGCGTGCTGGTGCTGGCAAGGGGAGCAGGCGGGTGCCTGGTCCAGTTGCTACCTGGGGCTACGGTACCTGCACAGCTGAACAGGTACAG